ATGTTGACATCATTGGAAGTGATCAGCGATTAGTCACATCCAGCACAAAGCCTGCAAGCGAGGAGGCGGAGCTTATTTTTGTGTTGGGGTGGCGTCATGTAAAATAGAGATGGGACAATAGGCGCCATCCCGCAAGCTTAGATACTACTCGCTGGTTGTTTTGATCTACAGTCTTTTACCGTCTCTTGACGAATACTGCCAGTTGACGAACAGGGGACTTTGGGCCAATAGAAATTAAAAGGACCGGAGATCTCGTAGCTTGGCTGTTGCTTGACTGTTTCTTTCCATACTTGGAATCCCTGTTCGTCAAGTGGCAGTATTCGTCAAGAGACGGTAAAAGACTGTACTTTGGATCCATATGGAGCCAGCCCTGTGTTTTGATTATCTGATTGGGTGTGATCGGCTGGTGTGTATATAGGGAAAGAACCAGAAAGCAAATGCCCATTTTGTATAGCCACTCCATACAAATAATCACGAGTATATCCCGGCCCTTCATCTGTTCCCGGTAATCACAACACAACGGCATCATGAAAATGTGTACGAAGGGATGCTCATGCATAGCTCTAGATCTTGTTGTCGCATGGCGCCGTTGGGAATGTTCCCTGGACCCACGTGTATCTGGACGGGCCCCCCCAGCGGCCATCCCTTCCTACTTGAGGCAATCGGTAGCGCTAAAAAATTGTCGGGACAGCTTAGCTACATGTATTTAGAAATTTTGAGTGTTTGGATACACCATTTCAAACCTCATCAATTATATATCTAGAGCCCGGAAATCAATATGATCCTGGCAATCCAAAGTCGTTTAAATAACCAAAATATAATTTGACCAAATTACAATTCCCATCCTCAAAATTCCTATCCTCCAAATCACAATTGGCGTTGAAACGAGGGCATGCTGCATAGTGGGCAGAATAGCGAGCAGCTAGCACCCGCTGATCAAGCTGGGCATTAACATTCACTACGTGGTCACTACCTGACTCCTTCCCACATATATGTAGCTGCACCCAAGGACCCGCCATTCCAACAACCCCCCTCCATCACTCGGACGGTTAACGTGGGGAGAGTTGACGAGCGTTTAAAACACGTGCACCCCCTCACGGTATTCACTCGCAGTAGTGATTTCTAGTGGTAAAATTACAAAGCCTGATACCTATAAATCAGTGCACTGCCACGCTCTACGTACTCTATCATTCGAGGAAACAAGACTTACAATTAGCTTTGTTTTAATAGGAAGTGCTGGATTCTGCATACATGTCTCACTGGCCCAAGGGATAGCATGGGATAGCTACATGTAGCCGCCTCTTCAAATCCAAATACACAATATACACACATGTGTGTTTATATATTCTCTCCAACTCCCGGCCCGGCCTATAGCTAGCTAAAATCACTAGACAGACAAAGACCCGACCAGCGTCCTCAGCAGAAAAGAAAATCTCCTCTAACTCGTGACCGATCCTTTCCAGCACCGCTAGCGCTAGCTAAAACAAGCACTATATCTACGGCTATTCTTTGCAATTAAGCGTACAACCTTAAACACCATACATATACACTACAAGCCGCTTTATGTATACGACGATCCATTAACGCGACGAAGGCGGCGATGGTGGTGACGGTAAAGGCAGTCTCAGCAGCGGTGATATTATAGCGATCGTCGGAATCTTTACCACCATTATTGCTTCAATCTTTGGGGTGTGGCTTCTAGGTAAACTTCAGAAAGGGTTCAGAGGGGTAGCAGCGGTAAGAACAATCTTTCTGTTTACCCCAGTGTGTAAATTTAAATCTATGGAAGCTAAAATCTACATTCCAACTTATAGCATAAAGGATCAGCTGGGGGTCTCGAAGCAAATATTACTCAGAGCTCATCATTCCATGAGCCTGGTTTAGCCCCCGTCCCCCCCCGAGTACACGTCCTGAACACTTCGACTACACAACCTTCACGTGGACAAATATCACGGACAGTGACAAATGACATACCGGCGACGTATGAGCTAAGCGGATCCATGGTGCACCCGCGAGAAGAACCGGTTCCCCATACCGCACACCTCGAGAGTGGAGGTGTAGCCAAGCCAGAACCAGCCTATAACGGCCGCGGGGCTGCAGACAGAACCAGTTTACATCGAGAGCTATCATTTCAACGGACAACCCTCTATGGGGAGGCCTTGCAACAACAGGAGTAATTTAAATGGACACCCACCCCATTAACTAGATTTCGCTGTATATTTTTTGTTATGATGTATTCGGTGACCAAAATTTCTCAGGAATCAGCACTTAATTAACGTGGGAGTATATTAATGATTTTCTTATAATTATATGGGCCGGCGCGGGTTAACTGTTCTTTTGGGGTCGTTGCGCGCATGCGCCTTCGATGAAGATATTCTACCTGGTCATGTTACTCTGGCTAGGTCTATAGCTAGCCTGTATGTTTTTCTTTTAATCGGTATTGTAGTCACTCGTTTCGAATTCTTCCTCTCCTTTCTACTATTGTCCGTACGTACGTCTAGTCGCTATACTATACTTTATAATATACATGTATTCTCGCAATTATATTGTACAAAATGGATAGAAGGCGTGATTGAATGCTGGCCTTGTCGACTTGTGTGGATATATGTCTCTGTTGCCAGTACCACGTACGCGTAGTATGGGTTGGACTATTGGCCGATAAAATCAGGCACACCAAGGACTAGGCCGTTGATCAATCGAACGACGCGACGATTAGTACATATTTATGGTCTTTAAAAACGAAACAGTGGCACTCAGCGCTAACAGAATTCACCCGATTGGTTAAAACCTGTATTGATCCTTCACGTACGGACAGCATAATCTTTAGTGATACTTCCTAGTTTGGTAATAACTTGTTTCGACTCATAGTTCAGCGTACATACCATCATAAGGTGTCACTCGTTAATTGGGTTTGGGTCTAGGTCTGGGTAATGATCAATAGAAAACAAAATTAATTAACTTTCATTCCTCTCCGGCCAGCAGCGTTTAGTTTCCACGATTATTCTTTAGACACGGGTCCCAAGCCATGAACGATCGCGAACACAGTCTCCGTTCCTGTGATAAAGGTGGCAATAGCGCGATAGCATTCCTACTAAGATGCAAGACGCGACGCCAAGACTTGCCCGGAACGGCGGAAAGTTTCGGAACTAAAATAGCGCTATATGAGTATGCGCATGGTTGTTAGTGGGCTATAATTTAAGAACGACTCAATATTGTAGGGTGCGCATGCTAGTACTTTGCGGCTGTACAGGTCGCATCACAGACACCTCTAGGCTCTAGCTATCTCTCTTATCTTGTCTTGTTACTACTATCAACACATGCTCCTTTGTCAGTCGAAGTTGATCCATCTCGTATTCGTACCGTTCGACGAATTAAGAGACTTAATCCTGCTTAGTCAATATTTATGTAAGAGACTTAATCCTGCTTAGTCAATATTTATGTAATGCGCCTACATACAAGTGTTCTGAAAATGTGAAAGGCTTCCCAACAATTGGGACAGGTGTCCAATGGGGGCGAAGGAATCGTTTTAATTCGTCATATAGATTCGCCACGTCTGGGGTACGTTCATCCGGCATCATATGGCCGGTTCTACGAAAGTTCTGCATCAGACTCTAGAGAATACAACTAACTGGTTTTGTTCGACTAAATCAAATAGCTTGCGGACATCGCAAAAAGACCGTCAAGTCTCGCTTCGCCAGAATTAAATACGCTTCCAAATATTCAAGGTCTTTCTTTGTAATATTGATTAATTGAGGGCGTATTATTAAGTACTGTACTATAACGTGATAGCACCTACTGTAAATGTTTAGTCTATTAATTAATACTTCTTTAGGCTATAGAGTACTCACGCGTTCGGAATTCTTAGTAGGGATTTGGTTGCAACGATATATCCGAACGCCCGAGTACATGCAACTAATATTCCCATAGCTTCACTAGGGAATATTCCGGCGGAAGGTTTAAATTCAGGTACGTGAACGGGTATCTCCGCTTTCCTAATGAAGTCATCATTCTCAACTTTGCAAGATCTAGAAGTTTGCTAGCTGGGCCTACTTGTAATAAAAGTGGCGTGTTCTTTAAACACTGTATGGTTTAACCTACCACCCACACGTGCACCACATACTGGTTTAAACACTCCAGTTATATGCTCGTAGCTTTTTGGCGCTCCCGGACTGGACTGGGCCTGCATACCACCAAAATATGGTTGTCAAGCACGATTTACGCCCATATGCAGACCCAGTCCAGTCCGGAAACGCCAAAAAACTACGAGTATACGTATATACCACAGGGCCCTTAGAGTACTTCAACGAACGAAGGGCACTATTATTGCACCCTTGTGCAGGCGGGGCTGGCTCCGGGTTCTCCCCGGTTTTCTTTACCTGGAGTCTTTCAATTGCGCAAAGGGCCTGTTGCATTGCAGCGCCAGTGCACTGTCACATGCCACATATATGCATATATGATGCCAGATACCAACTTGAGCTCGGCTGGATCATGATATCATTTTGTTCTCTTTCTCTTAACTATCCATCTCTCCCCCTCCCCGCTTCGATGACTACTACCACGCCTCGTGAGATTTGTGGCCTATACAGCGCTGATATTTCTACTAAAAGCCGCACATGGATTACCTCTCATCGCCCACAAGATCTACATTCAAGCAGATTTTGCCAGGAGCATGTACGGCAATTCGATACCAGGCATCGCTCATCGTGGTGCCAGGTCTTTCTTCGTTCTGGCACTAAATTTAGCACTTAATTAACTTTAATCATCTAGTTAATTTAGTTGGTGGGTAGGTATTTAGGTAGGTGGGCGAGTATGTGGGCGCATATCGTGGGCGCACATCCGGGCCAAATTGCGGGCGGGCGAGTAGGCAGGCATGTGGGCATGTGGGGGGAAGACAGCTACATGGAGCCCAATATCGGACCTATACAAGCCTATGAGCGGCCCCAGAGGACAACTATAGCTATATAGATGACTTCGTCATTTAAGTCTATAAAGTCACCACCATGCATGAGTGCCCGCTTCTTTTTCATCATTTCATCATCGCCACTATCACTACCACCATCACAACTGTTACCAGTATGTACCAAGGTAGGTCAGATCCATCATGCTGATTGACATATCCATCACTAATAGTGGCAGCGATGGCAGTAGCAACAGCGGTAGCGACAACAGCGGCGATGGTAGCAGCAGCAGCGGCGGTGGTAGCAACAACAGCGGCGGTGATAGCAGTAGCGGAGTCATGTTCGAAACCAGGCAAATAGAAAACCCTCCTTGGACGGTAATTTAGAGAAAATTATTCACACGCGCACTCCATAGAAGAAAAAACGTAAATACATGTAATATATGGGGGGAGAGAGAGTATTGCTAGGTGACGTGCTTTTACACCCCAGGTACCACCATAACTCGAAAATTGGCTAGCTTCCAAAGACCAAATTAATCGTTTGGGAAATTTAATACAGATCGACGCCACTCAACCAATCACTCAAGCCAAACTTTTGGAAATGTTGAACGATGCGGGCGCCGATCAGGGCTAAAACCTGTATGTTCGTACGGACAGCATGATCTTTAGTAATACTTCCTAATTTGGTAATAAGTTGTTGCTACTCATATATATTGCGACGTGTTTTGGCGTGTACGTGTGACTTCGATCTAGATAAAGCAATTTGAAAAAGACTCGGAATTAAGGTCAGCAGCCGTAAGAAGTGGTTTGTTCATGAGTGAGCTAAACCCTACATTCTACTCATAGTATCAAAGGCCAACTGAAGGCCTCGGCGCGAGGCAGATGTTAACCAGAGTTCATCAGCTTATGAGCCCTACAGCTGTTCAGCCGCTACGGGGTCGGGACCTGGAACCTTCGACTGCACAACAAATAGCCCAGGCAATGATGATGGCTATCGGCACTGAGTCGTGTCAGCAATCATGTTGGAAGATGTCTCAATATCTTACCTTGTGCTCGTTATGGTGTGCTCAAGCGGGTGGTCCAGGGCTGCTCGTGCGATGGGATACGTTCACCTCGCCCGACATCACCTATTGGCTGGAAAAGCTGACAGCTCACATCAGTATGTAAGGCCTTCGATGCGTAACTACAAGCCACACTTAGGACGTTTCAAGCCACCTCCCAATGTTCCAAGCCACGATTTGCTGAGGTACATACGCCCAGTCTCAAGTCTCGACATTGACAAGGCCAAGGCGTAACTGGAGCCAATAATTTGAAATAGATAGTTCTGTCGATATCGCGATCTCTTATCTGTTGTGGCATTTTGTCTCGAGATCTCGCGAAGGTGGCTACCACGGTTCATGGGATATTAATAGAGATGAAGTTTATAGAACTTGAATATTTATCTAGGTTAAGAGGTTATAAGAGACTGAACTAATTGACTATCTTATATGTAAATTAAAAAGGTGCTAAGAGTGAATAAGGTGGACTAAGATTGTATCCATTTATACCCCGGCCGAAAAGTAACCCAAGCGAGTGATTGCTCATGAATTTAGAAAAAACCACTGGCCTTTTTATTTCCTTTGATGGTACCGGTGCCGGTGTAGAACCACACATTTCCATTTCTTTCCGGCCCGGTCCTAACGTACTGACACGAAACCACATGTAGCTATCTATACTGTGGTTCAATCATGGGATGTCACTCGATATCAATTTTTCATGCCCAACCCTCACTTTACTCTCACTTTGAAAATATATACAGAGCTACAAGTGGTTTCTGGCCTTCGGTTACTATATGTATTTCAATCACTGCAATATAAAGGTAAGCCGCTTTGCGGCTTAGTCCCCCTACTTGCCTGCTAGGAGGCAAAGTCCATCACTATATCTGCTCTGGTTGATATGTACCTCCTCTGATATCCCCCATATATTAGTGGGTAGATCAGGCAGTTTCTCCCTTTAGCGGCCACCGGGCTGCTGGGGTCGAACTGCTAGTTGGTTTACAGATTTTGTTTCACTTGAAAGATGTTATTTGGATATGAACATATGGTATTATACTGAGTAGTATCAGATTATTAATAGGTTTTCTATTGGTACTCCATCAATGAGCCAATCAGAAGCTTTTAAATGCACATGCATATGTAGGTTACAATTACACACTTATTAGACGCACGCATATTAACTCAGGAGTGTACTCGTAATTTCATAGCGTTTATAAACACAACTGGGCGCGCATACCCGCATAATCCTGCATGATGCTCCGGATTTTGGTTTATGTAAACCCAGCTGTGTTCACAAACGCTATGAAATTACGAGTATGTCGGGACTTGAATCTAAAAGGGAAACTCTGAGAAGAAGGCCGCCTAGATCTTTTCCGTACGAGGTTATGATCTATAATATTTACGCTTGCGGTTACTGTTGTACCTCTTTAATTGATCTACTTACATATATATTCGCGGATGCAGCCGCCGTTGGATTTGGACATGTTTGAGTGAAACGGGTGGCGATATCCACAGTAAACTAGTGAAGCCTGTGGTTGGTAGGGGGTTGTCTACGGCCGAATTATTCTCGAATTTCAGTAAGATACTGACCCCTATGGTACAAAATTTGGATGGAAAAGTTTAACCCAAACTTCGAATCGTTTTGAATAAACATCAAACAAGCACGTCAATGTTTACTATAAGCTTGGACGAGTTCAACAAAAACATTCCGGAGCTTATGTTTCTTGATTTCTATGTTTGTGACAGAAGCTATCAATGTTTACCATAAATTGTCACTTTATCACGGTGTAAATTAAAACGCCTACTTTTGTGCCATAGGGTGACCCTCAGAGAGAAGAAGATTAATGTGGCTGATCTACGTACTAACAGGTTCTGTTATCTCTCTTATCGAATATCTCTCATGCGAATCCAATTGCTCTATTATGGGGAGAGGGGGTCGGCAATGACGATGTAAGAGACGAACTTTGTTTGTGCAGTCAACAGCTTTCCTATCCAAGGCGTATATATGTTGCACCGCCACCTGTCTACAGACTTACCCAGACATGCACGCTTAGCATACAAAAGTGGCTGATTTTAGTCCTGATGCCGCCCAATCAACCAAAAGCACGTTCAAATATATACTTGATACAGTTAAGATTGGCACATTCATCAGATCTTCTCTAGAGTAATAATATGTGGTTCGATCGTATGAGCCAATGACCACCAAATTTGAAACTCAACTAGGGTGGACAAGCAAAAAAGTAACGGAAGGTCAATGATCACTTGGGCAAAAAAAAATAAATAGGGGTGGGAGGGTACCATAACCGTTGAACTTTGACAAGTCTAATTGCAAGCCGTGTCTGGAGCCAATAAGATGGTTTACACCTATTCGATCTTGGCGCCGTGGAGTCTTTTCGCATTTACAAAACTAATCACCTTCGATCGCGACGATTTAAGTTATGGGATATTAATAGCGACGAAGTTTAGTTTTATAATTATCTTATAGATCTTTGATTAGTATATATCTAAGTTCTCTATGTAAACTAAGGCATTAATTAATTGAAGAGTTGTGAGTAGGGTGGAGGAGAGGAAGATTGTATTCATTTATACTCCCGGGGGTGGGCCGAGTGATTTTTCATGAATTAAACCAGTGGTTTTTGTTTGTTTATTTTGATGGTCGATATATTGATTGATTGATTACTTCATTACATGTAATTGTATACAACCCGGATTGGAGGGTATATACGTCATTTATTTTGACGGTGGTGCCGGTGGTGGCGCGCCGTTATATACGGAATGACAGGTGGACAGTTAATTTGGCTTAGACCAAAGAGTAGGGGACACGTTTCGTCCATGCGGGTTTCAAAGTAGAGTAATTGATATTCGCTTTATTTTGAAATCTAGCTCTATAGAGGGGTTCGGGAGAGCACTGGATCCATATGGAACGCCATGCAGGCAAAAAAGAAACAACGCATAATTCCCATGGCATAAAAAATTACAAGCAATCTTAGTTGGATCATCTACAACATTACCATGATTGATGATCAGAGACGCATTCTCCAAGCACGCTATAGAGTGCCAAGAGCGAAATGAAAGTCAGCCTATACTCCTGAAGAAGAAAAGAAAGCCCAGATAAAAAAGAAAAACAGAGGCGGAGATAGAAACGTTAAGGAAACCCTTCCTTCAACTCTCCTCTCCCTCTCCCTGACCAGCATCATCAGCAGGAGCAGCCGGAGAGTCCGCCAACTCCCCCATAAACCCCTCGAGCCACCTATCGCCCACCTTCTCCCTCCGCCTCCTCTTCACCTCCTCTCTCTTCTTCTCCACCGCCTCCTTCCTCTTCTTCCTCCTCTCCTCCACTTTCCTCCTCTCCTCCGCCGTCTTCACCCTCTCCCTCTCCAGCTCCTCCATCTCCGCCATCCTCTCCCCCTCATCCTTACTGAACTGGTAAAACCCCACACCCTTCGTCCGCACCTCCTTACTCGCATCATAATGTAGCTTCTTCTCCTCCTCCTCCTTCGGCATCGCCCCAGCCAACATCGCACTCGACGGCACCGCCGAAAACGTCGCCGTCGTAAACGCCGCCGTCTGGATCGTATTCCCCACAATCAGCCCCTCAGGCGCCCTATTCATCGCCGCCGCCTCCTCCGCCGCCCTCTTCGCCGCCGCAACACGCCTCTTCTCCCGCTCCACAGCCCCCCGCTTCCCTTTCCTCGTACGCCCAAACTCGTCCTCATACTCGATGATCTCGTCGTCCTCATCGCTCCCGCCACCGGCCTTCTCCTCCGCCTCCTCCTCCGACTCGTCAGAAGGGTGCTCAGCCCACTTGCGATCAAAATCCACCAGCCCCTCCCCGCCCTCATCCGCAAAGTCCCCGCGCTTCATGGCAGCGTACAGACGGCTCTTCTCCTTCATCTTCTTCCTGCTGCGCTCCAGCTCCCGCTCCGACACGGCGTCGCCGAGCTGCGCGCTCGTCTTGCCGCCGTAGCTGTCATCTGGGGCCTCGTCGCGCGCGGCACGTTTACTGACACCTTTGTTGGCGGGGGCGAAGAGCGATGCGGTCTTGGAGGGACGGGGGCGGCCCGGCGCGGTTTTGGTGGTGCTGGTGGAGGAGAGGCGTGCGCGCGCGAGGGTGAGTTCGTTGGCGAGGGCGTGGATGGACGTGGAGGAGAGGGGGATGGGGTTGGCTTTGGACTTTGGGCGCGGGGCGCCGTAGAGGTTTTGAGAGCCCATTTGCGGATTTTGGAGTGGTGGTTTGTGGGTTTGTGGGGTTTTGAGTTGGGGTGACGTTGGGTTTGAGGTGGTTGAGGTGATGACAAAGCAGGGATATGCAGATGCAAGCATGGCAGGGGTGCGATGTGTGAGATTACTAATGCAGAGGTCAGTGATTGTACAACTAGCGTGTAACGTGGGGTATAAGTTGGGCACATATAGGCTAGACAGATCCACATGAGACCGAAGCTGAAAGTTACAGACTAAACTGTATAGTATTATTTATAGAACAATAACCAATACAAACTATGTACGTACAGAAGGATGGTTTTTTTGGTAAAGCAAAACCCAGCACCGCGTAAAGGCAGAACGGGACAACCTTATAGCTGTGGTAGGTGTGGAATCCAAGGAGAGATCGAGAACGGGTAGCCACAATAACATATCGATAACGCAGGAAGCACAGGGATTTTAGGTGATGACCATGAGGAGCTGTACGTTAGCTGTAAATTCGAGAATTGGGTAGCTAGTGTACAGCGGTGGGTAATAAGTGATCAGACAGAACGCCACCAAAATACGCATTTGCAGGCAAAATTGTGGCTAGGCCGTCCGATGACTTAATACCCACCGCTGTACCGAAGGGAAGAGCGGGTAGCGATAGCAAAATGTAGACTCTCAGACCCGGCAATCAAGTATAGAGCCTAAGGAGAGAGCGGGTAGCGATAATGGAACGCGGGTGGCGGACTAACGGACGTTTGGGTGATGAAGATTATGAAGATAAGTATGATAGACCGGTCACGAGGAAGGGGAGGGTACGCTCGTTGGTGGGAAGAACCAATATAAGTCCCTCACGATATGAAAGATATTTAGGTATAGTACTGAAGGACGGGCCGGGGCAATGAACGTGATGGCCCCCGTAAAGAGGAAAGATCGAGGTAGTCCTTCTGAAAGCCTCCGCAAAGTCAGAACGAAGATCAGCTATTAATTTGATTTTCTTAAGATCGGTTGTGAGTGGTGTGAATTGATAAGATGAGAACGTACATTGGATTCTTGAGGTTAATCTTGATAAAAAAACATGGCTCTTGTGGACGTGCCTTACGCGTTGTGGGCTGACGCGTGATGTAGAGAGCTGTTAAAAGTGAGAGACCTAGACAGGGACGCTTGGAAGCGGAATGAGTAAAACACCAAGTAGAAAATCGAAAGAATTAAAGGTACGCAGAAGATCATAGAGAGATCACAGTACCTAAAATTAAAACGGCGGAGCTCTTACTCCGGCTCCGACGGCCGGGATCCCGAGAATGAGTATGGATAGAGAAATTGGACATAACACGATCGTGAGACTAGTAGCTGGGTTAGGGGAATCGATACGAAACATCTGAACACATATATCATTAGTCACGAGCACGAACCAAGCCCGACAGCTGGCTTTTAGAATTTGGCCGCCTTGTTACCCTCTCTCGAATTCACGTTCGCTTAAAACCCTTTTTTTCGCTGTAACTCTTTCTCTTCTTCTTCTTCTTCTCTCCTCGTGGGCGGCGGTGGCTTCGAGGCCCTCATTCAGTTAAGTCTTTCCTTCAATTCCTCAACTTACTGTCTTACTTTTCTTCAACATCTTTGATAGACATCGTACATGTAGGTACATGTCTTGTGTACTTTTAGGAATATATCTATTTTTCCACTCGAAGGATTTATCTGTCGATTGTGTCCTTTCATTCGAATTCTCGAATGGGAAGTTTTCTTCCTCCCCTTTTTTCCCTTGATATTTCTGATTTCTAACCTTCTTTCTTTATATCGAAAATCTTCCTCTCTTCTTAATCTATTCTTTCATGTGTCGACTTTTCTTTCTATTCTTTTAGGTTGCCATTTCTTCTCTTGTTTTCTGATTTCTTTTTTCATGTAAGGAACGCTCTTTTTCCCACTGGGTTTTTTTTAGTGAGGTTCCTGTTTTCTGTCATATTTCTTTTATTTTTCCTTTTTCTTATTTTCCTTACGTCATGACACCATTTCTTTTATATTTCTATTCCCCCCCCTCATACCATTATCACCTCTTGTGGATCGCCCATCTATGATAGATGGGGTTCCTTTTTCATATTTCTCATATTCTTTATTTCCCCCCTCATACCATTATCATGTCTTGTGGATCACCCATCTATGATAGATGGGGTTCCTAAAATGTACTTGTTATGACTGTATCACTATCGGTTCGCTCTTTTCCCAAGCATTGACCAGCTGGGTTTTTAATGAGGTTCCGCGTTGTCTGTCAAATAGAATACAAGTCATTTTCCGGTCAAATATATGTGCATGTACTAGTGATTATCGTAAATGCTTTCATTCGCCATTTATCTCTTTCATACTCTGTGAGGGTATGAGCATGTGAGGCGAAACTCTCATGTTGTGTATCCCTTAAGGGGTCGGTGATACGGTATAATACACAAAGCTTCTACATTGGTGAAATATCGTAATATATGCCATCAATGGTTGTAATTGGAGGAATCACATACACGGGGAAGCGTGAGATTTACTTAGACATTCCGAATCCATCTAACGTCCAGCTACAGTTATTTATCGGGTTTATCTTGTGTAACAGCTATGCAGACCCGCCTTCAAGCTTTCGCCCCATCACTAAAAGCTTTCCAAAACCTTATCTTATCACACCTGTAGATACAAGGCCACGTGTAAAATGGACCCGAAGCCGTCATGGACGTCCCGCCAACGCGATCGACACCCTGTAGGGTGGTACTAGCGACCGTGTCCAGTCACAGCCTGGCTGTCGACACATGTCACCTTCATACCAAGCTGAAGTAGATACTTGGCTCTTTTCCTCCTACGACGTGATGGAATCTTCCATCCCATTCATTATCTATTCACTCTTTTAACATATCCCTCCCCGACGACCGGCCGCCACATGTACAGCTGCCAGGCACGAATCCGAGTCATGATTGGAATCTATGTCCACTGTGCACGTCTGTTGCACGTCCTCGTGTGACATGGCAAGCTGCACGCGTCCAGTTTATGTACGTGCGGGGTCATATTTCATCTCTGGCCATCTGGACGCGGCACGTATACAAGTGAGTGCACAGTATCCTATCGAGCTTCTAGTAGACTAGAGCGGGGAGTAATTGGGCTAACATTTTACGTTTTCGAGGTGTAATAGTTACCTCCACGATTTTACTTGTCAATTGCAAATTTCTTGTTTCGCGGGAGATATGTTGCCCTGTGTTTCGAACGGCCTGGCTATACCGCGTCTCGGAACACGATATTAGAGACTTTGCGTTGGGAGAGCCAGCTCCATTTTAGTAGCAATTGGCATTGTGACCAAATTATTCAGCAGAGCCAGCTCTTGTTTTGAAGCCAGAGCAATAACCAAATCCCCAAATTAGACCTCCGCTCCGTATTTTCCTCACAGCTCAACCAATACTTGTCTAATTTAAAAGATTTTTGATTCTCAAGATAGCCTGGAAGCATATCTATCACTGACATGTTTTAAAAGTATTTAAACAAATGTTGTGATTTGCAAGACTTGTCTTGAGTAGGAGGGAATGCTTGGCGAGGAACAATTCCAGGCTGCGCAACCAGTGGCAACAGCTGCATTCACAGCGCAAAGTGAAATGGAGATCCGGCTCCAGCTCTAAAATTCTTGGCATTTCTGTGACGGGCTGCAGCCAGCGCAAAGTCTCTATTTGCCTAGCTAGTCTCAAGCCGGGGTGCTTGATTTCTCAAGAAAAAGTGCATCCTAGGGTTCCTTGGTGAAACGCCTATTGTACTATAGCTATATATAGCTAGGTCCTTCGTTGGGATTGATGAAGCCACGCCAGATGACGGTAAGCCCCCAGGACGGTGTGTAGCTGCTATAATAGGCATTGCTAACGGCCAAACATCACTTCTGTTTAGATCATCGATATCACGATCGATACCAAGAACCTCAAAGCCGACGTTTGGTTCATCAGCCAAGACGGAGGTCAGTTCTGGTGCACCAGTCCACCGCTCGCTTGGCATGTCTTATCAGGATTGACGTTGGGTTCTGGGGACCATCGTTACCAGATCGGGCCATGCCGCAGCTAGCCGCATCGATTCCTAGTATGCCATTCCCAAAACCGTCCAAAGCGCTGCAGCACCAGGGCAAACACGTCTATCGCACCTTTAAGGGTCCACAATCTCGCAATCTTGCCTGCAACAGCGTATTCGCCAAGACCGAGTGATGGACCGTGACTGTCTTGGCGCTCACTGACGTCATTGCAATCTTCCCCACGTTTGCTTTCGAAATTTCTCTAGCCTGCGCTCGACGTCGTTGGAATCCAAGGCCACGCACAGGCTAGAGCAGAAGGAGAGAATCATGCCTGTGTTCTCTGGCAAACAAAGGGCCAAACTGGTGGAGATTCCCGTTGTCCGTCTCGGGCTTTCCGTCATTAGATGTGAGGCGGTGACATCATGGCCGCTTTATGCGCTCATCAAACCTCCTCGGGAGGCAAAGGGGTGGTGGTGGTGGGGGGAATTGCGGGATATGGGGAAGAGGAGGAGGGATGAGGGCACACTTTATATCGCAAACATACCCAATAATACTTTCGTCTCTCTCCTCGCTCCTCGCACCGAGAGGAAAATAAGCATAAAGGCCCAAAACAAAGAAGCATCAACCTAACATCATCACCCACAAACCGACCAAACCACACACCCCCACACTACAAGACCATACGAAACCATTAAAACACGTGAAGAAGAACAAGAATAAGAAGCAGAAAAAAGAAAAGAAAAGACCTTAAAGACTAAAGATAAAGTATATCCCACAATGCGCTCTGTCCTCCACCTCCCCCGCTCCTTCCTCCTCACCCGCACCGCCGCCCCCTCCGCCGCCACTACCCGCGTAACCCTCTCCGTCTCGCGCCGCCGCTCCTTCACCCGCAGCCTCGCAACCCCCTCCACAAGCGGCTACGGCGATGCCGACCAGACCGGTGAGTCCGCCCACCCCGAACGCGCCGGCTCTCGCCCCCGCATCGACACCGAGCACCCCGGTCGCGAGCCCGTAGACGGAGGCAAGGGCACCGGCAGCGGCGGCACCGCCGAGACCGGCAGCAGCAGCAAGCACAGCACCAAATCCTATGGAAAGGGCTACGGCGAGGCGACTAGCGATACATCGCACGGAAAGGGCTGGTCCGAATATGATGACGACCGGGCGGAGGGGGACAGCGCCGAGGTGCAGCAGCATAACCGCGAGATGGACAAGCGCTATGACCATAAAAAGACAGGACCTGACGAGAAGGTTGGGAAGGGCTTCTGGAATGGTGAGTGAGAAAGGGGTTTCACAGCCAAAACAAGCCCCCATCCTGGGGTTCCCTTTAATTTTTTTGTTTCTCCTTTACTGATTCTTGGTTTTTGTTTTATGGCATGTGAAGATGGCGAGGCGTGAAATAAGGTTATGTAGTTTGTTGGATCCCTGGCGATATGTCTCTCATTTGTACCACCCTACTCTACTCTGCCACTCTGCTTGGGTGAAGGGAAGGGAGGGGAAGGAGGTGCATTTTGAACGACCGGGGAGACTTTGTTTCTATTTCTGTTCTAGGACACATCTGCATGTTGGTGGCCTTTCTATGTGCTTTCGCATTGCTATTATTGTTATTGATGTTGCATGATGTTTGTCCCTTGTATTTTTTTGTTTTTTTTGCTACTATTACGGTGCATGGATGATGAGAGAGAGAGAGAGAGAGAAAGCGTGATGGGGGAATGCTGGCACAATGAACACCTGTCACGTATGTAGTAATTTTGTACATGTACTCTACAGTCTTTGATATGATAGGATAGCAGTAAGCTACCGGGGGCCGGTATTGAGCAATTGGAATTGAGCACTTTGTTATTTTGTCTTTCACCAGTAGAGTTCGAGTTCCTTTACCGTGTCTAACAAATTGCACCAATTGCACCAATTGAATCCTTACTCCCAACTCACAAGCTTCCAATCGCCCTTACCGTAGACTCTGTAGTTGTTGGTGTTCCTTGCTTGTGTAACACCGAACCTGTTTCCTTGATTACAATATCAGTCACGTGACGCATCCTTTCACAGAATGACGAGAGATTGCATCACCTCCGTTCCAGCCCACATCCAACCCTTTCCTTTCTCCACAACAACAAGGCGGGTGCGTCGATCGATGCCCGGCATGAGGCATGGAGGAAGGTAGGCAGGCAACAGTAAAGTAGATTTTAGTGGAGTTGGCGTCCGGTCCCGTTACAAGTAAAGGAACAAGTTACATAGCGGCATCATTACGACACCCGGTTTTTTTTTTTTGAGGGTAAGGGGGGGGGCGGGTGGGAATAAATAAAGAGAGGAGAGCCCCGGAGACTCTACCCTTAATTTTTTTCCATTGTCATCTCATCTATCGATTCTACCATCTCGTGTGTAGAGTGCTCGAGATATCCGTGATACTGTTTACCTACTTATCTACGACAGACGGAAAGGGATTGATTTGATTTGATTTGAGTTGATTGATTTTTTTATTTTATTTTGCAACCATGAAGCTCTCGCACATTATACTCGCGGCTGCGCTAGCCGGCGAGGCCTGCGCCTGGGGAATGGGCAGCAAGACTGGTTTGCTTTCCCCGGCCCGTTTTATTTATTTCGCCCATATATATTTACTGACATGAGCTATAAGCCTACAACAAATGGAACGAAAACGAGCTCGAGCGCTGGCTCAGCGACCACAACGTCCCATACCCCACACCCGCCGACCGAAAGGATCTCGAGAAGCTCGTCAAGGAGAACTGGAACAGCAAGGTCGTGAGCCCGTACTCCGACTGGGACACACCCCAGCTGCAACACTACCTGTCGGAAAAGGGCCAGCAGATCGACGTGGAGCAGGCAAAGTCAAAGAACTGGCTGGTAGACAACGTCAAGAAGGCGTGGGAAGAGACAGAGAGCACGGCCGAGGAGGCGTACGGCAGTGTCAAGGGGTGGATTTTTGATTCGTATGTTGTTTTGAGCTTTTTTGTGGTTTGAGTGGTGGTTGTCATGATGACGTCATTAACCGTTGTTGTGGCTGCAGGTGGTCGGAGAGTGCGCTCAAGGCATTCCTGGACAGACACGGTATTCCAAACCCACAGCCCCGGACCCGCGACTCGCTTCTGGCGACCGCGAGAGACAACTACGAAACCGTTGCCAACAAGCTTGGCGAGACCACCGCATACCCCGGAAACTGGCTTTATGAATCTTGGAGCGACAGCGATCTGAAGTAAGCATGCATGCATATTTCTTGCCCAAATTATCATTACCCTGCTAACCGCCGCCGACCACAGGAAATGGCTTGAAACCCACGGCTACGCTGCACCCCAGCCATCAACCCGCGATAAGCTCATTGCCGTTGTCCGTCGCAACTCCCGTCTCGCGTCTCTAAAGGCAAATTCGGCTGCCAACTCCGCGCAGTACCACGCCAACAACGCTAAGGAAGCTGTCTCAGACACCATCTTCGACTCGTGGAGCGACAGCAAACTCAAGGAATTCCTCGACAAGAACAATGTCAAGGTCCCTCAAGGATCTGGTCGCAACGAGCTCCTGGCTCTTGCGAGGAGGAACAAGGCTTACTACACTGGCGATACCGTCTCCGCTTCTGCAAACAGTGCTTACGGCTCTGCAACTTCATACGCCGGCGAGAAGGCCTCCCAGGCAACCGATACCGCCGCTGCATACAAGAATGATGCTTTCGAGGCTTTGATTGAAAACTGGAGCGACAGCCGTTTGAAGGAGTACCTTGACTCTCGCGGTGTCCCTGTCCCACAGAACGGAAAGCGTGACGAGCTTCTCGCAAAGGTCAGACTCAGCAAGCACAAGGCCGCCACTGGATTCGGTGCCTGGACATTTGACACTTGGACATATGACAACCTGAAGTATTTTCTCACGTCCCCTCCCCCGATTGCTCTTTGATTTCTAACCCACTATTATTAGGAAATGGCTTGACGCCCGGGGTCACAAAGCTTCCGCCAACGCCGCCGCCTCTCGTGACGAGCTCTACTCCTCCGCCGTTTCCGCTTACTCAGTCGCCAGCGTTTCCGCCGCATCGGCCGCATCAGTCGGTTCTGCCTCTGCCGCCTCTGCTGCTTCCTCCGCCGCCTCGGTTGCCTCAGCTTCCGCCTCATCTGCTGGAACCGTCGTCGGATCATCCGCCACCTCCGCAGGTTCAAAGGCCACCGATGCCGCAAAGGATGGAGCCAACGTAGCCTATGATTCAGCCACGGACGGAGCAGCCATCGCATATGCCTCTTTGACGTCTGCGCTTGCCGCTGCTACTGACTCTGCCAAGGATATCACCTTCGACACCTGGTCTGACAGTGAACTCAAGGCATACCTCGACCGCTACGGCATCAACACCTACCAGGGTTCCACCCGCAACGAGCTCATTGCCGCGGCGAGAAGAAACGCACACGCCTTCCGATATGGCTCCGCGGACCAAGGAGTTTATGGCCAGTTTTCCACTGGTATGGGCTGGGTAAGAGACCGTATCTATGAGATATTGGGATACGGAGCTAAGAAGGCCGAGGTCGCTGGTGATAAGGCGTACGAGGCTGGACAGAAGGCTGGTGATAGGGCCTACGAGGCTGGTCAGCAGGCTAGTGACGCTGCGAAAGAGAAGGTGCAGCAGGGATATGATGCTACGAAGGAGAAGGTACAGGAGGGTTATGATAGGGTTAAGGAGGAGTTGTAGATGGAGAAAAATTACTAGGCGAAATTCCCTTTTCGTTTCTTTTGTTGAGTAGTGGGGGATCTTCTTTGTTGTGACTTAAAGTTATTTCCTATGGCTGTGCTTTATGAAGATATGATGTGGTTTACTTACTTGGGGATTTGTATTTCTGCATTTTTTCCTTTTCTATTGATGTACTGCAGGATTAACAGAAACCTTTAATCTTATATTCCGGTATTTATAAGCTATTTCCCATAAGTTTTGCAATTGATGTATGTTGGAACAAGTGATACTTCCATTTATGCCCGGGCACCCAAACCTTTCAAACTTGCTCTTAGTGTTCGAAACGAAGGAAGATGAGGGTGACAATGATTGGATCAAGTCGGAACCACAGCTTAACTTTATAGGAGCTCAAAACAAACACATATTGCTTAACCAGATAAAACATATCCGTACGCATCGTAACCGTGTCTAAACACCGATCCCACTAACTTAACCCACAAATCAACTCAAGAAATGACCACCAACGGATCCTCACATCATTGCTCTTGGGCCACCCTGAGATTAGCAATCACTCCAGGAAAAAGAAAAAAGAAAAAAAAGGGCGTGGCTGGCGAGTGATATATGGTGATGCAAGTACTCGGCCCGGGTCCGCGCATAGCCGCGAAGGCAGCGGAGTGACACTTCATGATGTGATCGAAAAAAATTGGCGGATGGAAACTATTGGGGGAAGGAGACAGCTATAGATGCAGCAAACCATTACCAAATATGATGGACAATTGCTGCTGGAGTGATGATAAGGATGAGTTGAATGATGATTATGGCGGAAGAGAGGGGATGCGGAGCAGAGGGTCGATCTGGGGTTTTGTTTATCTCTTGGCACACTTCGAACAGCACTAGTACCAGTCCTCTCGCCGATATTCGGGGCCGATATCTGGTGTGTCAAGCTGGCCAAGTTACATACACCAGAACCCAGTACTAGGCGTAGGTGACTTATCTTCATGAATCCAAGCTTCGATGGCTACACCCAGCTCCCATCCGCTTCTTTGTCTTGTCGTCTTTGTGATAATGCATGCGCACCCTCGGGATCCTGCAGTATTCGAGACATCCTTTCCATCCTGCTCCCCTAACTAAGGCCCGCTGTCAGTTCTCTGCGAAGCCCTTCTAGAAGAGTCCCAGCCATCGGTCCCTCGCATCTAGCTATGATCTCTTTCAGTCAATACTGGTAACTCAACAATCCTGACTCTAACTATGGGATTGAACGATGTATCTCATAGCTGCCTCCCTCCAAGTATACATCTTCCCTCCCTCCCTCCCTCCCTTCTTGCCGCTCCCTTCCTCATGATCATATCACTGATTGCTAACCTCCACCACTCCCAAGCACCAAACAACCCCCAATAAATACCCCCACGATGAACCACCTCGGCCCCAGCACCACCAGCACCCTCACAGTCACAATGTCCAAAACCGACCCCTCCAACTACCCCCTCATCCGCGAGCTGCTCCAGCACTACCCCTCCTCCTCCAGCAGCAGCGACGCCCACCCCTCGTCATGGCTCTCCGACCCGGGCGTGCTGCAGGTGCTGAGAACCAACATGCCAACCGGCTACTCGGACCCCACGCTCCTGAGCCGGACGGGGCAGCTGCTGATGTATGGGTGCCCAAAGGCGAGCTGGAGGCACTGTCTAGTCGTTGAGGGCCTGCCGTGGAGCACGCTCAAGCAGGATCTGGAGGCGCTGTTTGAGGTGCATGACAAGTGAGTTTGGCTCATATACATGCAATTCGTCTTTTTGAAGAGTCAATGGTACCGCGGAGCTGGATGTGGGTGTGGAGAAGAGCTGTTGTAGGTGTGTTAGTACGTTAGCTAGTGCTGACAGATGTAGTGTTGAGCCACCAATTATCCTAGGGAACGACAAGGCGTTTATGGCGTTGGTGTACATGACGGGGAGCAAGGCGTGTGAGGTTGCGATTACAGACCTGGACGGGGCTGTGGTTGGCGGGGAGACGTCATTGAGGGCGAGATATGCTGGACACGCGGATTTAGAGCGGGCTTTGAAAGCTCAAGGAAGGGGTTCGATTTCTTGAAAAGACTGGGAGCTAGCTGCGAGGGTTAGGGCTACAAGTTGTTTCTTGCGTTTCAAATTCTGTGTTTGGTGGTGTTTGAGTAGACCTTTAGATCGATTCGGGGATTGCTTATAGACGGGTATTTTTTTTGCGGTGTGTCAGGTTGAGGAATGGGGTATAGGTTAAGTGGTGTACTTACTAGCGTGTGTACAGTGGATGTCGGGAATTTTTGGTATGTCTGAGCTGTTGGGGTGTGTAGGATTTAAATGAACTGCTTCTTGAATTGCCAAGCTGTCCAAGGCTAGTTGACCCGCCACACACACCGGTAGATACAGCGAGAGGTAGATTTATTATAGAAACAGGGTCTAAAAACAGTGTTTCTATGGCTGGGCAAACCAACAGGACTCCTCCCATACTTCTATCAACAAATCGAGCAATAGGTTACTGGGCAATTGCAAGTCAAGTCAAGTCAAGTCGACCACATGCATGTGATTGGGGTGGATGTCCTATTTTGTTTCCGTTTCTACATAACGATCTCGGCCGCCGCCGACCACAAAGAGGACACAAATGGTTTATTTTCATTCCGTATTATATTATCGTTCGGCGGCGACAGGGTTTGTAGGACTTGTTTATCTTAAACCAAATATTAAACAAGGGACTTGTGGCAATCCGTAATTGTGGCTCACCACACAAATCCACAGGCTAACTCAAAGTATGCTTTGATCCAACCATGATCATACATGTAGGTGCTTGTATGTATACCAGCCGTGGACATCCCTAGATACAGATACATGTAGAACTATGAGTTTAGCATATCGACTACGGGCAAAACCTTATATCAGATTGTCGCTCGATGGTATACAATTACACCGCAACAAATATATGTACACGTACCTCTATTGTCAAGTTATAAGACCGCTTACTAGACCGCCTCACATCGATGTGGATAGAGCTAGAGGCAGTCCTCGTGATCATGATGGAACCTCGATACGCCCGCTCTGTTAAGGAAGGGAAGTTGTTTGGGCGTGTCTGAAGGAAGACCTCTGGGGTTCAACTTGACATGGGGGGCTGATTCACCACTTCCTCTTGCAAAGACACATCATAGATATTGGTATCTCAAATTGCTCAAGAACAGAGCAACATACTAGGAAATCAAACTTGCAGTTTTAATTTAGGCAGAAAGTAGCCAAATCGGGTCTAGTAGGCAGCGCAGATTTATAAGCCAGTCGATCGAGTGATGTCCTATGATTCTACAAGGATGCCATTATGTGAACTCATTCTATTCAGCAACTCATCAGCAAGGCCTGTAGGCGTGCTTCCGTCACTTTTTTCCCGCGCGCGGGTGTATATACATGTAGTTCATCCAGTTGATGCCATGAGATCTTTCAGTTGATACATTTAATTAATTATTATTCCCATTTATTTTTCTTATATTAGAGCGTATTTACTAACCATCAATTCTAACAATTAATACTTCGCAACCCTCCAAAGTAGCATTCATGACAAGTGTCGTTTTTGTGTGGGGCCGCTTGCGAAACTATGAAATACGTGAAAAGTATACCAAACTTGAATACACATAGGGGATATTACCTTAATACTTATCATACTGTTCTTGCGGCTTGTGTATATCTAATAAGTATATAATTATAACCTGCATATGCAATGTGCTTTTATAGTCTTCTGATTGGTTCATTGAGAGATGTTTTTGTTTCACTTGAAACATGTTGTGTTGGATATTAACATAGGGTATTGTGCTGAATGGTGTTAGAGTGTTAATAGGGTTGCTACTGGTTCTGGGAATTGATAGTGGTTCGATTTTAGTGGTTTGGTAGCTGTTAAAGGGATATACCTGTAGTTTTAATTGGAGAAATTGTCTGACTTATCTGTTGATATATGGGGATAATATATCAGAAAAGTCACATATTTACCAGCTCAGATCTAGATATAGTTAGTGATGGACTTTGCCTGCCAGGAGGGGTCGAGGGCCGCGCAGCGGCCTGAGAACCCCAACTGACAGGCAAATAGACAAATAAGCCGCAAAGCGGCTTGCCTGTATATTAGACTGATTGTTATACATATAGTACCGGCCGAAGGCCGGAAACTACTTGTATTTCATATCCCTATCTCTACCAGCTTTGTTAATGAATCAATTGATTCGTTTCACCGCAAGCGGGTTTTGGGGAATGAATCAATTGATTCATTTACTGGGGACGTTAAATAAAACTGAAAATTTGATTCATTTACACACTCACCGACATTTGATGCATTTCCCGGTCTCATCATTCTGAACACTTTTCCTGATGCCTTTCCTGACACTTTTGTTGGTGCCTTTGCTGACACCGGTCTTGTAAAAATGTCGGAAAAAGTGTTGAGCAATTCTGCGTATTGAATGATAGCAAGCTTAAGTCTGAGAAATCCAAATGAGTGATAGTATTTCATATCCCTAGCAATTTTGGACTTTGTGAGATTTTCAGCTACAGTGCAAATAAAATAAACTTTATATGAGTATTAATTGTAAACTTAATATGTGAAACAACTCATAGCATAGGCGATAACTCTTGCGCTTGTTAGTCAAAGTCATCGAGTTCAATCCCTCCCCACTCCATTTTTTTAATTCTGCCACTAGAATTTATTATCGAGAAAGGTATCTTTTTTATTGATTAGGAAATGTGTAAGCTTAAGTGATAAAGTGAACTTATAGATTCGTTTACCGCTTCATTTCCCCATATTAATTTGATTCGTTTACTCTGATTCGTTTCCCAGCCGGTTAAAAATCGGATTCATTTACTGATGTATTTAAAAAAAAAAAACTGATTATAGAGTATGGAAGGGAAGCACCAACCCTACCTCTTGCAACCGTCAATTTCGAAACGCCAATTGTCAAAAATTACACCTAGTAAATACGCTTTATTTCCGGATTATGCACCCTTGGGGCCTCAAGTATTTGGGTGTCCTCCAATTTTTGGCTGTTCATATGCAGCCGCTATACAGGGTTAGGGTTTCTCTGGTCTTAGTCTCCCTGTGGTACATTTAAAATAAACAATACAAAAAGGTTGTCCGACTATTTTTTGTGTGTATGTAATGCCGGTTGTGTTTATAAACGCTGTGTGGTTCCGGGGGCAGGCACACATATACCCATGCTACTATGCAACGTTCTGAGAGGGCAGGCATACATATACGCCTGGTGGTGTTACGTTAGCCAGTTATGTTTACGGATACTGACTGTTCTCCTCGCACGCGCCAATGAAAAGTTTGCATGAGCCAATGGAACGTTTGGTAGAGAAGGCCCCTTCAAAAAAAGCCTTACATGTCTCACATAGCTAATGATCCTAACTAGATACGTGTATAGTAGAATATGTAGCGATCAAGATAGGTACCGGCCATTATTCCTTTCTCCTCCACCTCTTACCAACACCGAAAATTGACAACGGACTTTTATTTTCTACGCCCATTCTTAATCATATAGTTTTACAACCTTGATCTAACGCACGGCCATACACCACAGGTTCCAAGCCATGAACAAATATAGCCTCCGTCCCCGTGTTGAAGGAAGCGGTACTAAGGGCAGCCTTGATAACGGTGATATTATCGCCATTGTCGGAATCTTTGCGTCTATTATCGCAACATTGTTTAGCGTTTGGCTTCTATATATGCTCCACAAAAGATATGGCGGGTCGATAGGAGCAGTAAGTACTCTACGCCTTCTTACTATTTTCATTAAATTTAACTGGTGTATAAACGTATATATAACTGCTGTGTAGCATGGGCTAAACTCTAAATACTACTTTATAGCAAGAAAGGTCAGCTGAAATCCTCGAAGACAATGGAAATCAGGTTCTTGAACCCTCTTCAACCTCCGGGAACTCCCTACAAGACTTAGTAGCCTCATCTATACAATCGGCACAATTTCCAGCGACAGGAACACGAAGTTCACAATGGCATGGCTCCATGCTCATATCGGCGCCTGTCGAGAACGGATCCTCGTCGCGCCTGCGAGAAGTTTTGGAACACCCGCTCGAGGTTGGAATAACCAGGCCAGAACGGGCCCATACTTGGGCTGCAGACAAAACGAAACATTGGAACGGGTCAGAGGTCGGTACTAGTTACAGATGTGACGGAAATACCCCCGTATCTTAACAAGCTACATTACTAACGAGTTCATGAGCACAAATTAAGTTAGAGGAAGCTTTTCGTTTGGCAGGTAGATCAGATGGCGTTTAATGGCCGGTGACCGATCTCAAAAGACATGTATTATGCTGGAGGAAAAAGCCAGTATCCACGTACGCCAGATCTAGGATCTTGTCTAAAGTAATAATGGCTCATTCGGTGGCAACGATATTGAAAACTTTCGCTATATACTATATCTTGTGGTATACTAGTGTTTTAGCGCAACAACGATTTACAACGTAAAAGTGGCCATCACCGTGACCTCTAGGTTTGCCGAACATGACAGAAGACTCCTGGAAACCATTGGATTTAATTATAACATGTTCGGTTGTAATTTTAGTTTATTAAAATACATCTCTTTTTACTATATGTAATACGTCCGGTCTTAATTCAAGTGTTGAAGGGCTTTCAAAGGGTGATTGTATCATGATTCATGGTGTGTCCTGGCGAACGTTAATTGTCAACTGGACTACATATGTACATGTAATCTCAATTGCCAACCGGACTATCACCTATCCACCACCACCCACACCATAGATACCCTCAATCACTCACCCACTCAAACACTCACTCCCGCACTTACCAGTGCATTACCACTGCCACTATGGCGCACGCCTCCTAGTCAGGGCAACGCGAACATGACAACGAAGAACCGCTACTAGTTGCCGAAACTTCACGAAATATTTAATTTCAAAACATAGAAATAAAGAGAAGAACCATGAGAATGGTTCTATCTTCTTTTTTCGTAATTTTATAGTGTTGTTGTTGAGTAGGAGCGATTTTGGTGGCCAGGAGTCAATTTTTGAACCCAAATAAATGATCCGAGTGATAATTCATGATTCTGAACCATGAAAATATACTGTGCATTAAGATTACTAAGCACATGGGTTTTAGACCGAGCGCCAAGAATTACCTGACTAGGTGGCGGGCGCCATACTACCAACGCGTCATTGCCGATCCTACCCACGCTACCCCTCTCCCTTTTTTTTCTTCTGACGGGAACCAACGGGGCCTCCTTACATTCCCTCCATGCGGCTCCTTTGGTTCGTCAGGTTTCACAGACATTCTGTAGCGTCCTGCATGCCATGCTCCCGCAAAACAGGGCTTGACCTTCCTCTAAACTCGCTGCGGATGGTAATGGGTTTGGGAGTGGGAGGAGAATGTGGTCAATGAAAGGTGTTCGCTGGAATACATATGAGGTCACATTATGGTCACACACTCTAGCTAGCTTGCTCGCATTTCCCAAAATTTTCAAATTCGAGCGAAAACTTCCTATTTGGTGCGATTATCTGTCGATTTGGTATCGACTTGGCGCTGATTCGGGCAGAGAGCGCGTCAAAGAGATTAGGACTAGCGCCAGGACATGCAAAATCCAACAGCTAATAACTTGACCAGTTCTTACCTGGTAAAAGTAATTTTGGTTTCTTTTCGAGCAAATTCCACTCATCGCTAATCTCAAAATCACTGATATGGTATTGCTCGAGGGTGTCTTTTGTATCCCGATGTTTGGTCGGGCAAACCACCTGCAGAAAGGCAAACCAGTGATCCGATCTTAGCTGCTACGGGAGCCGGTTCTAATACGCTGAAACCCAGTGTAAAGCCTGTATAATCCCTTTAGGGGATAAGTATCCCCCCCGGGTTTAATTCATTAATTGCATGTAAGGAGATAAGAATAGATAGTTAAGTCATTTGGAGAAATTACTTGGTCATCATTATCACCAGCTACCCGATCCTCAATAGTATCAAGATAGGTTAATCCATTGTGTTCATTAGATTGCCACTGCTAATGGCGGTAGTAGCGGTAGTGGTGAAGCAGCGCAGATACTACATGCAGTATGAGCCAGTCGGGTCCGGTGGATAGGTTAGATTCTGCATGGGAAGGGTGGATGGTGTGGTTGAAATATAACTAATGGAACTGAATGGAATATACCTCTGGAGAGTACACTACTACAGTAAGAAGCACCGGGTCGATCGAGTGATATTTCATGATTACAGGTAGGACGCCGTTACGTTAACTCATTTTATTCAGCAAAACTCAGCCAGAAAACAAAGAAAGAAACTGTCCTAGAAAAAGGCTAGCTCTAAGCTGTAACAGAAACCACACCATCCTTGGCAACCTCACTACCGTCTTCCACATCGTTCCCTTCCCTCCGCAGCTTAAGCTTGCCACTATGAGTCTACTTTCGGTCAACTGATCTCATCACCATCCCTAGACTTCTCATGCTCACAGATGTTTTTACTTCCTCCATTTTTTATACTTTAGGCCTGCCACCAATTTTTTTCATCCGCTAAATACTCTGGTTGCCGTAAGTGTGCAGGCACGGAGCAAGGGAAAGTTCGAGTCTCTCCCTAACCAAGATAGATTCTTGTTAACTGAATAGTCGCTTCTCCGGCCGATTGGCCAAGATAGGATCTACATACCTTGATATGTCTACCGCTCCTCTCCTCAACGCACAACATTATCAGCGGCCCGGGCACAATCGGGTGATCTCCCAGTATAGGAAGCTCCGAGAGAAGCACCTTTTAGCCGCCGCTACTCCAATGTTGATCGACGGGCCAGGTGTGTTGTTTGGATGAGCGCAGCTCAGCTGATCAGCTCTAGCCCCGTGGATCTAAGTCTTTTCAGTGTGCGTGCCTTCCAAAGCCCGAGACTACTCTAAGGATTGTGAATTCAGCACACGCTGAGTATTGAAGGGCTCCGGAGGACCCAAGAGCACAAACAACGAGAAGAATGATTTCGGATTTAAAGGCATGTTAACTGTAAGGATCCTTCCAACAAACACTCCCGTAGTCACAACCAAGTGCTAAACCCAAGCAGACAGTACTACTGCCATCTAGTGTATAGTTGGCGCATCTCGTCCATGCTGCGATGCTCCCCTTGAATATTTCGGGATCGAAAGAATTCTAGAAACGGTGCACGTCTATTTTGTTTGCTTACAATCCCATGAGTACTGCTACTCACGTCGGGGACAAACATCAACACCAAATGATTAATAGGCAACTACCTCAAAAGCAGGTGTTCTCCTTCAGGTGTGTGGCCTTCCATGGAAAGTGACTTCTCGGCCTGGGCATTCCGCGTTGCCTGACTAATTGAAGCGATTGAATTGAAGACTTCGGAATAATGACCGTTGTCATTCGATCGTCGTCTATCTATGCCTACATCAAATACGTGTAAACTGCACGCCCCTCAAGTAGGATAACTACTCATCGGTCATCTGGTGATACTCTCCGCGGCGACTTATAAGATTTTGATGAGACTAGTGATTGAAATCCTTAAGCGGTGTAAACAAGTCAACGCATCCCAACTCATGGTCATCCACGCACGATCAGTGAACAATTTCACACAAGTTCCATAGTTCGAATTCCATGGACTAGATAACGACGCTAGTATTGTCAGTACTGCAACAAGAGGGGAAAGTTGAAAAACGCTCAGCAGGAGAAGATGCAAGAGGCAAGTTGATACAGCAGCTTATCAGCACCGTGCCAGTATGAGCTTTTTCAAAGTAAGGGGTCGAGAATTGATAGGTCGGATCTTTGCTATAATGACTGCAATTACTATAGCGTTTATTATTCGGATTTGAAGTTCCAACTGGATTTCCAGGTTAACGCGAGACAGGATTCCAGCTAGCCAATATAACTTCCCTCGTTAATTCCGTCAAGAGGTACCTGGGTGTTTTTGGTAGACCGCATCACCAAAAACCTAAAGAGGCCAGATTTCTGACACACCACGCACGTGTTCGATACTCGTAAAGTATTCTATTCTGAATACATTATTTGTTTAGAACATACCATGTGTACATGTAGTTACAAGTATACTTGTATACAGAGAGAACACGAAGAATCACGTATCAGAAAGATCTTATTAATATTTAGCATTAGAATTTGGACGTATATATATTTTTAAAACTTGACATATATAAGCTACTCGCAGTACCTATCTCTCCTCAGAGATGGAGTATAATAGAGTATGCAAAGATCATATGCTTATCGGACACGGTGTACTCAGTCTCAAGTATTCGCGCGCACATAGCAGAATTCTCGAGTTCTTGGAGGGCACCGCGGCCCCAAGCCAATATCTGGCCTTTCGTCCCAAATTTCGCCGACTTGTTACCCTCTCTCACAATCCTTTAAAAGCCTTTTTTCGCCGTAACACTTCCTCTTCTTCTTCTTCTCTCCTTGGGGGCGGCGGTGGCTCCGAGGCCCCCAAAATGGAAGACTCCCTTTCCTTCCTTCTTTGATTTTTTTTTGATATTGTCTGATCCTCTTGTGTGATTTTAGGAAATTATTCAGATATTTATAATATTTGACATGGCAGATTTCCGCCTACATAGAACCTTTTCCGAGCTTTGCCTCCTTTTTTCTTTTGTCTCACATTTCTTTTATATTTTTATTTCCCCCCTCATACCACTATCACGTCTTGTGGATCTCCCATCTATGATAGATGGGGTTCCTTTTTTTATATTTCTCATATTTTTTATTTCCCCCCTCATACCATTATCACCACTTGTGGATCGCCTATCTATGATAGATAGGGTTCCTTTCATATTTGTCACATCTTTATTTCCCCCCTCATACCATTATCATGTCTTGTGGATCTCCCATCTATGATAGATGGGGTTCCTAAAATGTGCACCCCTTATGACTTGTATCTCTATTTGTCGGTTCACTCTTTTCCCAGCATTGACCAGCTGGGTTTTTAACGAGGTTCCGTTATAACTATTTTGTCTGTCAAAGTAGAATACAAGTCATTTCCGGTCGTAAATTTCTTTCCATACGTGAATAGTAAATCCTCGTGTGAATAGGTAATCCTCGTATGAATGTAAATCCTAGTGTGAATTGTGAATCCTAGCGTGGGTGATGTCGTGGCCTCAAATGCCATCCTTTCTACCACCTTCTTTGAGACTGTCTACTACTAGTACATCATGATATATCACTCGGAACATCATCTTGTAAAACCAGTATGAAAAAAAACATTGTAACACTGAAATATACTATCAATGTATGGAGAAGACAGCTTGATGTTATACCAATTTGGGTAGGAAACGCCCACGCCTGTCACTATGGACCACGCACATACTACAAACTGTTAGTACACCAGCTAGTGTCAATTCAATTTCCTGTTTTTACAACCGACAAGCCGTCCCGCTTTTTATGTTTATATTAAACTTAACAGGCTACATGTAAATAAAACTAAATAATTAAAACAAAAGATATAGTCCTGTTAAGATTCATGTTCTAACCCTATTTTATATAATTGATACGCTAGAACCGTGATGCTCACTTTCTAGTACAGGCACAAGACATACAAATCAAAGGAATGAAAAGCCGGTGATGCCTTCATTGGGTTTAAAAACATCGATGAAGGATAGATGTGTCTTCTTTTAACCAAGTATACAACAAAGATAAATTGACTCTAGTCTTGCGCTTCTAAGACCTAAAGGTGAAAACCCAAAAGCAAACCTGAATCCTACGTTTGCCTTGAAGAAAGAGAAAAAATGAAATTATAAGCGATAGTACTACCGCCGCAATCGTCATCAAAGATTCGTCAGTATCAGCTGTAATACCCATCCCAAAGATCTGAAAGAAATCCTAACGATTCTCATGTTATTGATATCCGGCACGATTTTATGGTGGGTACAAACAACATCAATAGCCGCTAGTACCATGTCTCTCGTGCCTAGAATAAAATATCTCCTCTTCTACATCTCTATGGGGGATTAGATGATCTGCACCAAGGAATTCCAAAAGACGCCAGAGCTTATTTTTCTTGGTCTCTCCATTGGGACGATACTTCCGGTCGCAACTGTGTCCAGAGGTGAGATTGTACGCGAAGAGAATACGATCCAGGGCGCTGCCTATATAACGGCATGGCTATGAGTACAGTAGCAATCAGGCGGATCTGAAATAAAATCAATACTCACTGTCCATAGAGTTGAGGTCATCCACTGTCTTGGGGATGCTGAATTCCTTGGGCCAAGAGCCATTGTGCATCATTTTAGGATGGACCTCACTCCAGAGTGCGGTTGTTGTAATGCCCCGATTGACCATATCCGTTTCCCGATGATTCCTATGAGAATGCGACTTGTTATACCCTGAACACTTTCTGCAACTGAAATGGGTAGTAGTGATAATAGTAACAGATTTAAAGGCCAACCTCCTGATAATATCCGCCAACATGGTGGGCTCAATGCGCGCATGCCCTTCCCCGTAGCCTTCTCCTCCTCCATGACTTCCATGCCCTCGATTTTCTCCATGCCCGCCATGTTCTCTATGCCCTCTTTCATTCCTTCCTCCTCCAACGTATATCCAACGTCCTACCGGAAATTCGGGTGTATGGTGTGTATCAGAACGTCCTGCCATAAGACTCCCATTAAAACAGAAAGACATTCCAGCTTCGGCTCTGGGGCTTTTGTGTCTTTGGCCCAGGGCCTCCTCCACCACACCAAACTGACATGGGGGGCCGTCTTCGCAGCTACGGAGATATGAAACCCTGTCATCGTCGTAGCTTCTGAATGGACTGGACATGTTGAGTTGTTGTTCAAGGTATATCTTTTAGTAGTTTTGATTAAATTTCAAAGTAATAAATTGAGTTTAAGATCTAAATGTGACTTTAGTCCACTTATAAGGTAGAGTTGCTGAAGGAATTGAATGAGAACTAAAAGCTGGCAGGAACTAAGACTATTTATTTAGTGTCTGAAGGTTTGAAAAATATTGCTGTGAAGTCTTCTGTCGACTGGGTATTACCCCTGAGAGTTCATGACCTGTTATGGAAATAGATACTTCGCATACAAGGTCATGATTTGACGGGTATATGCATACGCCCCTGTGGTTTCGTGACTTTATTGACCTAAAATCAATATCTTTAATGCTTGGTAAGGAGAGTCACTAATTCGTTTTCGTGACCGGGCAAATGAACCCTATAGCCTATACCGGCCTAAGATTAGTTCAAGCAGCATATTTTTCAGGAAAAGGAAAGCCCAGATCAATCCCATGTGAGCTTTTCGACGCATCTATCCGATATGCTGTTGGCGGGCCGTTATTAATCATAAGATCGTTCGTCATTTGGATAGAATAAATATATGAAATAAAACCATCGGTATAAGATCACCAACCCATAACTCCACGGTATAATTAGAGCATGCGGTGGATAGAATCGTATATAATTTTCATATATCACTTCTCACTCGTGACGGTTCTGTTATTCATATAGACATAGAACTTATATGTATGTGCATATCACCGGATTAATCGTATACTTTCCCGTTTGTGGGGTATTGTTGCACCTGGGCTGGAATTTGGATATGATGCGCATAGGGGGAATCGGATAGGCTTTCTTTCCTTGTTTCCAGTTGAGATCAAGATACATAAATGCATATGTAAATGTACTATCGGATGTATGGTGAGCTCATGTGTCTCCCTTAACCCTAAAGTTATTTATGATCGGAATGTATTCTTTATAGATGTCAGTAACAATTTCAATAAACATAAGATAAGAGTTTGTCACATGCAGTCATATTTCCTATTTCATTTTGTCTTTATTTCGTCATCTGATAACCCTGTCCTTACTCTGTTACTTCTGTACTTTACGTAGGGTTGCAAGACAAGCGGCGGATTCTTTAATATCTAACGATATGAAAGTGTAAAAGACGATTGCTCGATGAGTGCCGTACAATGAGATGCATAGGGTTTACTTTTTCCCCAGTGCATACCCGAAATATGTTGTGCTGGCCAGTACTTTGAGCTTAACTAGACCAGCGGCCGCGTGCATGCAGTTCATCCTGAGGCGAGTCAGCGAGTGATAGCCTGTGAAGCACATTGTTTGTGATGCTCATGATCAGCAGGGAAACGCTTAAATCTCCCATATTGAGCCTAGAAGACCGGAACTCAGTATTAATTACAAAGACCACTGCTGGTATCCTCCCAGGTCGAGGCATATCTGGAAGTACAGAGCTTATATTCTGTAGCCAATGAAGAATCAAAACCAGAATCAGAATCAGGTTGGTAATATGTTAAACACAGAGCGTGATACAAACCTTTTCCTCGGGTATATCAGCCCAATCCATACTCAACTATAGAAATCACCCCCTAGTAGTAAGTTGAATGTTTGCTCCTTTATCTCCTCGCCTGACAATGACGACGATATTTCATTACTAAGACCTCCCATTTGCAGGTAAAAGTGGTGAGGGCAAGGTCCTATCTGTTCGTATGTCATTACTTATGTATTTGCGGCTGATTATCTCAAACCCTAATTGAAATGAATTAACCCCTGGATAGCCCAGAAACTTCGTGCCATCCTAAACCCAGGCCATGAAAACAGACCACCAATTCTGTATTTCAAGCCGACAGGCTGGTCCCAACGCTATCCCCGATCAAAATGGTTGTAGCCAGCTGGTAATTTGTTCTGCCAAAGAACGTGTCAGTAATTCAGACCCAGCAGCCATATGACCCAACGGAGAACCCGATATATGTTGATTGCACTCCGATTAGTTAATCCAGATAAACGTATCAGTCCACAAAGACACGATAATGAGGCGGTTGATGACCGGCAAAATATGGCTGGTATCCAGTATAATCGTTCACAGCCTCGGTCCCAGGTCATATTTCCCGCCTCTATTACGAAAAATATCAGTCGTCTTCTGCTAAAGTGCTAATAAGAAACTCCTACTCAAAGCCCAGCAGTGACTCTCATTTCTCTGAGCTCGTTCAAGTAGTGGCCCCATCGCAGTATAGTAAGCCCTAGAAGAAGCGTTGGGCACTAGTCCCTCTGTTTCCCAGTGTCGAATCACTAGCCGTAGCGGCTTCCTCTTTGAGAAGATGCTAGAGCAAGCATAGAGCACTAGATTGTGCCAATATTTCTGTTGTAGCTTAACGTTTTAGAAATTATTCAGAGGTCAAAAATGGGCCTTGCTATGACTCTGAAGACCTTCATACAGATGTCCATTATATCATGGTGGAGAGAGTCCCGGTCCCAGCTAGATGGTATCCAAACCTCCAGTGCGGGGCGTCTCATTGTAAAAGAGGAAGGACAATATTGGCCCGATAGTCATTGTTCTCTATCCCTAGTCAAGAGTAAGTTTGATGGCTTTAGTTGAGCTGCTGACCAAGTGGCTTCTGGTCACTGACGTTTCTGAAGAGTGCGGTTGGAGTCTAGATGGGCGCGACTATGGCTGGTGGTATCGTCTAGCTGATCTGTGTGGTTGAGTTAGGTTTGTCCATTCATCTATCGAAAGTGTTACCCACCTTAAAGTTTGTGCCAAGAGTGTGGGTGGCTTTTCCCACAGATCTCTTTATCTTTCTTATCAAATTGATCTCTCACCAAAGTTGCGACCCTATCATAGGATGAACAGCGTCCACAGATTGTATCGCCAGGGCAATGACTATATCGGCGGACACGTAAGTCTCCTGCTGCGCAAAAGAACAACGAACTTTATTGGCAGCTATTGATCGTTTTATTCTCCTCTGTTCCTTTTTTTTCTTTTTTTCTTTTTTTTTTTAACGCTTCCTTCGATCCCCTTGTACTATCCATAGGATTGGGATTATGACGAGTGACTGACAAAAAGCGAGTTGCCTTTCTTTTATATATCTCTCACCAACACTCATTCCTTTCAGCTCTATTCGTTGTCTAACTTTCTTAACATTTCAGGTGACCAGCAAGCCACCTATGCCACCAAGCAGAGCATAACCACAATGGTCATCAAACTATGATAAGACAACAAAAGCCAAAACCTCAATCTTCTCCCAACTTCCATCATGAGACATAGCTGTGATGAGCATGAGTCGAGCAAGAATTAGTAACCGTATATGAAACTGCTTATAACGCCGCTAGGAGATTGATTGACAGTAGCAATGAAGGATTGTTTTGAACAAAGTGAAGATATATGTATATGCGCGTGGAAGGGAAGGTTATAGCATTCCATATCGACCGCCAGTTCATACCTACCGGGGGGTTTAAAGGATGTTTAGGTACAAGATACCTACTAGGTAGCAGGCGTACTCGCTCCTCCCAGCCTTGCAATCAAGATAAGAGAGGAACAATCTACTTGATGGGGTGCGTGCAACAGTACAGGTAGGTAATAAGTCACCGTAGATACCATTTCCCCGTTATGCTCCATTTCACAGCACCCTTTAGCTTTTTAACCATATTGCTCAGCTTTTTTCATAAGCAATTAGCCTTTTTAAAGCTCTACTGGCTAATGGGCAGCTAGAGCCAGATCGACGAGTGATATCTCATGATGTAACCCCCCACCCACATATATGTGGGCAAGCCCACGTAGAATGAGTCAGTGTGTTCCATTTGAGGAAGTGATCTTTCTACTCCCCTGACACCAAATTCAGCTCGGTATCAAATTCATCCTGTGCCTCAATATTGCTGACAAAGCTGTTGTGCGTGTGAGTCAATGACGTCCAAGTCAAGTCGTGCTATCTATCCAGCTGCACAGAAAATAGTAACAGCCAGTCAGTCGGCATAACATTGCGCCTTAAGCCCTCATAATTCGCAAACACAGCAAATTTCAAATTTCATAAAAGGCGCTTCATAGAGCAACTTCTCACAAACAACAGCCAATCATTTCCCTTTCCCGCCACTTTCGTTGGGGGCGGAGGTTCGAATCCTGACAAATGTCGTCTGTCGCCTAGGGTTGCCGCCCTACCCGGAGTTAGGACTGTTTTTTCGGTATTTAGCCCTGCAGCCGACCCACACAAATCACCCCTCTCACTTTCCTCGCCACTGTTGCTCGGTAATCCGCATTGCCAAGACGCAGCATTAGAAATCAACTACAACTGCCTCTTGATCAAAACTCCTCCCTCCCCCTTCCCCTCGCAACTCGACCAACACAGCACACCCTAACGACACCTATTCACGACTAACCCACACATCAAGAAAAAATGGCCCGCCGTCCCGCCCGTTGCTACCGTTACTGCAAGAGTGAGTTTCTCTTCCCAGATGCTGTTGGCTTTTTCTTGTGAGAGGAAGTTGGAAGAATTTGGGGCGTGGAAAAGTGGGAGGAAATGGGGATTTGGTCTTTGGGAGCGGGGGATGAGGAGGGACGGGTGTTGCGTGGCGGCGAGAAATGGAGGAATTTTGTTCGAAAAAAAAGTGGGAACAAAAGACTAACAGTGACTTTTTTCCTCTTCTGAATAGACAAGCCGTACCCCAAGTCGCGCTTCAACCGTGGTGTGCCCGACCCCAAGATCAGGATCTTCGATTTGGGCCGTAAGCGTGCCGGTGTTGACGAGTTCCCTCTCTGTGTCCACCTCGTCTCCAACGAGTACGAGCAGCTTTCTTCCGAGGTACGTCATCAGCGAATCACTTTTCCTTATCGCCCGAAGCTCCACCTCACCACAACATCTATAAATTTATACTCGAACAAAATAGCTAACGGTAACTGTTTGGATAGGCTCTTGAGGCTGCCCGTATTTGCGCCAACAAGTACCTTGTCAAGATTGCCGGAAAGGATGGTTTCCACATGAGAGTCCGGTATGTTCCACCGACGTCACCTCCAAACCGAACGGAGTAAAATATCGAATGTTGGATCAGCTTTTTTCTAACTTGGACTTTACAGTGCCCACCCCTTCCACGTCATCCGTATCAACAAGATGTTGTCTTGTGCCGGTGCGGATAGGCTCCAAACCGGTATGCGTGGTGCCTGGGGTAAGCCCAACGGTACTGTCGCCCGTGTCAACATCGGACAGATCATTCTCTCCGTCCGTACCCGTGACTCACACCGTGCCACCGCTATTGAGGCTCTGAGGAGATCTCAGTACAAGTATGCTTCCCCGCCTCCAGCAGCTCCCACATAAAGTAAAGACACTAACCTCTCTATCACCACCTAGGTTCCCCGGTCGCCAAAAGATCATTGTCTCCAAGAACTGGGGTTTCACCCCTCTCCGTCGTGAGGAGTACCTCGAGAAGCGCCAGGCCGGTGAGGTCAAGGTCGACGGTGCCTACGTCCAGTTCCTCCGCCCCAAGGGTGGTCTCGAGCAGAACATGCGCCGCTTCCCTGAGGCCTTCGCCGCCCAGGCTTAAATTTTCTAATTTTCATTTGGCTTTGGGGCTTTGGGAATTTGGGAGTGCGGGGGGTTCTAAAAACTTTTTTGTATGATTTTAAAAAAAACTGAAAAATTACATCTAAAAGTTTTTTCCTCTTCCTTCCACAAATTGGAGTTGATTCGTTTCTTTGCGCATACTGCTACTGTTCTTTTTGAAGGGAAATAGATGCCTGGTCTTATCACGTGCCGGAATCGCGAATGTTAGAAGCTCGATTTGATGCAGGGCTTATATCACCCCGAGCTATGATCAGCTTCTCTAGCTCGGCTGTGAAGGGGTGTCGTGAGATGAAGCGGGAGATCATCGAGGAGCTGCATGTAGTAAAGTGTGCTTGGAGCCTCTGACATCAACCTAATCGCCATTATGCGCCCAGTTGAGAGCTGGGGTTCGCATCTGTAAATCTCCAGTTCCGGAAAGGCCTCCAGCCACAGCGTGCTAGATCAAAATATGCGAGTGAGATAACATGCTTAGGGAGTTCCAGTGAATAGTCTTGAAGGATTGTGTAATACCTTGTGGACCTGTGGGGTACATGCTTTGTAGAATTATTGTCGTATGTACCAGCAACCTCGTGTTTCATCGCGTACTGTCGTGCTAGCCATATTGTAAAACAGATCTAGACGCGTCCTATTAAATCCATAGCCATTGAGGAGCCTCCTCTTAAATCATTAGCTATATATTAGCCTCTCGTTATTAAACCTGATCCACCACAATAAAAACACAGCGCTAGCCCTAAGATGTCCGTCCTCAACCCATGCAGGCCCAAAATCTATGAGACGGGGACCCAGAAGACTGCCCGCGGCACGCCAGAGCCGGATGTAAATCCGTTCCATCATGTCGATGGCGGCACCTTTATTTCCAGAGGGCAAGAAACCACTTAATCATTACAACTGGGCATATAACGACAGGTCACCGACGCCGTTGATGCGAATACAGGGTGGCGGAGGCGTTATGAGGGATGGCTGTGGAGGTATTTCGATTGAAGTATCATAGATGGTGGTTCTATCGATTCGAAGAGAACCCCCCCCCCCCCCCCCAGATACTTTACTAGCTTCCTGTTAGCACCATGCTAATACCACGACACACTTAAACCCTATCATACACGTAACTCAAACTACCAACGGCTGCCTACAATAACGCCGAACCTGAATTGAGAGCCCGAGATTGGGATTTGGTGTGCGGACTGGAGGGTGGACGTGGAGCTTCTTTGTTGCTCCAAATATAATCAAAGAAGTAATCAATCAATTTGTTACTAATGAATTTAAAAAAAAAAAAAAATCAATTTGTTACTCCAAAATAGCGTATCCGAGTGATCCGAAGGCAATTAGGAGTACATGTACTTATCAACCAGACATCTCCTGTCGAATAGCATAGCGTAATTTACAGCCAATCACAAGAAAGCTGTAAACGTGACAGAACCTGCTGAGAAAAGCTTGTAGAAACATATATGGAAGGCTTACAAATCAACGTGGTGTAGGTTAACTATTGGATTGGGCCTTCCTATTCACTGCATCCAAAACGAAGAAATACCACAAGTGAAGCAGGCCGTCCTCCACAGCTGTCTCCCTGCAGTGATCCACATAGCCCCAGAAACAATATATATATTTATCTTTATATCCATATATATCCCACCACAATTTTTCCCGTTTCCATCCTCACACCCCCCCACCAAAAAACCAGTGACAGGAAATAAAAAACGAAAATGAATGAATGGAATAGATAGTATGCTATACCCTCCTCCCCGTTCTGCTCCCCTCTCCCCTCGTCCCCTCGTCCCCTCCCCCGAAATCTCGTGATAATTACTAGTACTAACTTAACTACATCCCACACTACACAAAAGAAAAAGTAAGAATAATGGAAAACCAAAAAAATATACAGCCCAGACTGACACGATAGTATCCTCCTCTCTGGTCGACCCCTACCCACCACCATCTACCCCTGCTACCCATTCCACCGCACCCAAATCCACCTCTTTTTTCTTTCTCTGCCCGTGGCTAAGCCTACTCTGAATATAGAGGAGAGCAGAACCAAAAAAAAGAAAGCAATAAACACAAAAAACAAGCAAAAGAAAAGATTAAAAACAACGCCCACACTCAAAAGAGATTCGTCTTAGAACACCTAACAAAAAAAAGAGGATTTCCGCACAGGAAAAAGGAAAGCCATTAATCACAGCCAGACAAACAGGCAGACAGAGGAAAGCAAACAAAAGAAACCGCTATAAAAGATAAACCCCTCCTCCCACCCTCCCACCATTCCCCTACCGCTCCACCCACCTTCAACCCTCCCTAACCTAACCAGGCACCCGTGAGTACCCGTAACCCAATCCTTACCACACAAACTCCGCCCCCCAAACTATCTCCTCGGCCGCCATCTCGACGATAGTCTCGACAGTCTCCTGCACAATCTCCTCCACCTCCGGCGCGGCGCCGAAATGGGCCGCCCACAGCTCTGTGATCATGTCGGGTATGGCGGAGATGTATTCGGTGAGGAGCCACAGCGCGTGCCCGATGCTGTGAATGGCTGTCCATGCGTGGCGGAACAGCCAGATTGCGGTGAAGACGATTGCTCTTGTTGGTTTTGTGCCGACTGGCGGGGGGTCCTTGAGAACGACGGGGACGCGCGAAAACTCGGGGGCATTTGCGAGACACTACACGTTGTACAGCGAGAACACGATTGGTATTAGAATGGCGGACTATAAAAAACCGAAGATATAGAAAAAAGAAGAAAAAATCCCGCCGTCCCCCTAAGAAAAAAACATGAAGAGAAGAAAAAAGTGACCAAAGAAGAAAAAACAGGCGGCCGCCACCACCACCACCCGGGTTTAGGTGGGGTGGAACGTGTCTCCAATCTCATATTCAACGAAAGGGTATGCATACAATATCGCGACCTCGATTGCCATCCACAGCGCCATCCCAAGGAGCACCACAAACCCCCACTTGAGCAACCACATCATCCAGCTCCACCCCGAGTTCTTACGCTTAAGCGCATCCTCAAGGACCTTTGTCTGGAGTCTTAGTCGTTGTCGTTCCTCGTCGCACCGCAAGCGGTAAAGAATCTCCTCCTGCTCCGAGATCTCGCTGATGATATCGGATGATGAGCCTGACGATATTGTCTCGCCGCCGGGAGATAGCCACTGCTCAAGCACCTCAATGCCCCTTGCTACAGAGCGTACTTCGAGCTGCAGAGTCTTGAACCTGTTCATGAGTTTTTCGTGGACGGCGCGCTCGGCTTCTGACTGGCGATCGCCGGTCGTTGCGTCAGAGACTGAGCGGGGGGGCTGGTCCTTTGTTTCTTGTGGGTTGTAGGGTTTGCTAGCGACAAGAACTTCAATGCTGTCAATGTCGTCCTCGTCGTCGCTGGAGCCTGGCTTGAGAAGGGCGGAAAAGTCTTGATCGTGTTTGATGAGATGGTCGAGCGAGTCGTCAGAGTCTTCTTCAAGGATAGAGCGCTTAGGGATGACGAGGCTCTTTGGGCGAACCGTTTTCTTGATGATGGCTGTTTTGATGATTGCACGGCGGAGCTTGCCGGGCTTGGTGGTTTCTTGCGGCTCCTCAACTGTGCCGCTGTGCTTCTCTGCGATGGGGCTGTTGAGGCTCTCGGGGCTCATTGGGGGGCTGATTGGCTCCCTTTGTGATTGCTTTTCCCGCACGTTCTTGCTGTTACGTTGTTGTTCTTCCTCTTCTTTGTCACTGTCTACGAGATTGAGTAGATCCTCGTAATCCTCAACGGCAGGGCTTCTAAGTAATCTTGCCGTAAAGTCTCCCATCTCACTAGTGGGTGAAAAGAGCTTCAATGGCGTCTCCAAGTCCATTTCCGAATCACGACCAGCGGATCTCGGCCTTGACGGCGTTTTCTTCTCAGCATCTAGAGATGCACGATTAGGTACCAGCGAGTCCAACGATTTCGTCCTCGACAGTCTTGACGGCGATCGGATTTCCTGGTCTTTTCCCAGAGAGTCAATTGATGCAATGATATCCTTCAGCTTCGCCTCCTCTCGTTCAGCATCCTTGCGCTCATCCTCCTTCTTTTTCCTCTCCTCACGGCGGCGTTCCCTTGGCTTTTGTTCATCACCTGCTGCCTCCTCAGCCTCTGTGGACCAGCTACTTCTATTTGAACCTGGGGGAGAAAAACGGGTAAGCTTACGAAGAGTTTCTAAATGCTCGACAATGTGATGATGCTCCTCCTCCTGCCTTGAACCCTTATCCGCGGTAGCTGACGTCGGACTGTATATTGCCGAATGACTAGAAGACGGCCGACTAGACGACTGTCCAGATGAAGACGATGATTTTGTCATTCCGAATGGGAGAGGGCTCTCGGGCATTCGCGAAATATCTTCTTTTGATGCTTCGTGCACTGTTGACGGCTGGGCAGCAGAGCCAGCAAACCCACGAAGTTTTGGGGGTTCCCTGCTCCTGATTGTTGATGATCCTTGGAAGCGGGAGGTTGTTGATGCAGACGTGGTTGTGGCTGCTGCAGCTGCAGCATTGGCGTTAGCGGATGTCGAGGATGTAGCGGATGTTGCCGACGTAGACGAGTGCGACCGATGCAGGGCTGACGATGATGGCGCAGACGACTTTGTTCGCTCGTGCCTGGTTGAGGGTGAGGGTAACCCGGTCTTGGCACGGATAGGCGGGGCGGGTGAGGGAATCGACGACTTTGAGGTTTTGATGGGCGTGTTTGGTCCTGAGTTTGACGGTCGAGGGAGCCCGCTTCGTAGGGACAAGCCAGAGGCGGGACGGCCTAGTGGTGGGGATGCCCGCTGCTGTGTGATTGTCGGTGATCTATTGCGGGTTCCCTCCTTCTCATCTGCTGCTTTGCGTGTTTTGGAGGCGCCTGCACCACTACCGCTACTCCCTCCTGATTGTATACCAATGTTACTGTCTCGTACTGGGATGACCGATCCTTTCCCTCCTCGCTCGAAACCATTGCTGCTACCATTCATCAGGGTCCCAGGAGCCCTGATTGTGCCTGAGCCTCCAAGACTGCCACCAGTTCTGCGTGGTCCTGGTCGCACGGGAGCCCCGTTTGATGTCGCTGCTGCTGGGGCGGTATCTGATCCGTTTGTTGCCATCTTTTCTTTGCCTTTGCTGATTTCCTCAAGGGCCGCAGTCTCTGCATCCTTTTCTTCCTTGCTGTACTCTAACGAAGACTTTTTAGAACCTGCTGGCTGGTTCTCCATCCTTCGTCGTCTCCATGCACTCATTGTGATCCCAACCTGCTCTCCGTCTTCACCCTCACCATCCTTCCTGTCGAACCCAAGTGATTCAACAGACTGAGCTAGCCGTTGCCTTCGTCTAGGGCTGGTCTGCAGCTCTGATATTGGGCCCTTCCTCCCCACCTCTTCCGACATGCCTTTATACACCTCCGGCCTCGCCCCCGATGCTGACATCTGTCTCCCCATCTTTTCTCCACCATTCCTCCGCCTCCTCTCCTCTTCTTCCGCCTCTTCCTCCTCCTCTTCCCTGATCGAGTTGGACGTACTCGACCTACTCTCAATGCTACGACCGCTCTGTGCACTACCCACCCTCTGCGGATGATAGTCCCTATTGCGTTTCACTTCTATAACTTCCCGGTCGTGGATCTTCCCCATGATGCTTGTTGCATCATCAATCACCTTGGGGAGGCCAAAGTCTAGCTGCCCCCTCTGTCCCCCGGTATGCCGCCTTGGCATCGAATGTGAACACTTTGACCCTGGGGCTTGACATAGTCGGCGGGTCCGCGTACGCGGGGAGGGGTCGTCGGTGGTACTGCTCACCGAGTCGAGGTCCATTGAGTCCATGAGTGTGATGTGGGAGTCGAGCTCCTCGTGGTCGCCGGTGCATTCATGGTCGTCGCCGGTGAAATCCTGTCCTCCACTTCCTCCACCCAGTGGGGGGAGGCTGCTGCGGCGATCCAGTATTGGCGGGGAGGGGAGATCGGTGCGCGGGTTGCTGAGCCTGTTGATGGTCGATGTTGTGATAGTGCCGGTCCCGCTGCGGGCTTTTGGAGCGCCCTGTTGCGTGACCATTGTGTCGTGGTGGTGGGTGGTGCCTTGATGGCCGGGAACGGGAATGGTGAGTGCTCCCTCACCTTGGTGGGTTGGTACAAAGGAATTGATAGACAGATGGGAAGGGAGGGTGCGCGCCCGGCGGTGGTGGGGAGCGAAATATTGTCAAGTATAATCGATCGGATCCGGGGAAGTGGTTTGTTTCCTTTTCTCTTATCCCTTCCCCTTCTTTGTAACTATGTAGGTGTAGTAGTGTGTAAGACCTTTGAAGATGGCCCGGAATGGGATGCCTTGGAGATGGAAAGAAAGGAAAAAAAAGCGGTCGCCGCTATAATAAAAATTCCGGAAAATAAAAACAAGATGGCGCGCGCGCTGAACCGTACAAACGTAAGGGTTGACACACCCACACTCACTCAACTCAACTCACGCACACCCACAAAACACACACACACACACACACACAAACAAACAGTTAGGCTGTAAGGTTTGTTTCTACGCGGGGTATGTATGTGCTAGTGAACGTAGTGGTAGGCAGGCAGGTAGGTGGTGGTGGTGTCCGTGGTGGTGATGGTGGGAGATTGCAATTGTTAGGGAGGGATGTGGAATAGTGAAGTCAGCATCGGTCGATAGCCTTGTTCCCTTCCCTTCCCTTGCGCAACGCGTCAAAAAGAGGGTAAGAAGGAAAGGACGCTCAAATCCAAAAAGCAAAAGCACCTTGCTGGGGCTCTTGGGGGGGGCTTGTTTGCCTGTGGGGCGTGAGTTATGATGAAATTGTTTTGCGGAAATTCAGAGACAAGTTACGAACACGAGTATCAATGGAAAAAGGGTTTGTTTTGCACCCGGCCATACCAGCCTCTCTCCCTCTTTCTATGCCCGATGAGGATAGAGCATCTACGAAAAGGGGGCGAGAAGAGAAAGGGTTGTTGCCAAGCCTCCCCGCGAATCACGTAGAACTAACCCCCCTAGTTATGCATAGAATGTTCAGTGGTAGATGACACGATGACTAATGGTCGTATTGTAAGGAACTGACTGACTCGGTTCTCTCCCCAATATCTGCCAATGATCCAACATCCCGTTCTTTCTGAACCACCAACCTCCCCACCAGGCCTCCGGTGTGTGTGTGTGGGTGTGTGAGAGAGAGAGTGTGTGTGTGTGGGCACAGGTATGGTAGGTAGGTATGAGAGGTAAGTATGAGGTAGGGGGAACTGTGATTGCTCCTGCCTATGTATTGATTGTTACATGGCACTTTTCTTTTGCTCAGCAGCCGCCTGGCAAACAGGGCTGAGGGTGGGTGAGAAGGAAGGGAAGGGGGAGAGCAAAGGAAGGAAGAAATGAGCAACAAGGCGATACCCACAAACAAGTGAGCAGGTGGGTGTGTATGTTATGTACCTATGTGAGTGGTCATCATCACTCGCTCAGTCGGAAGAACAATCCCCTTTCTTCCTCTTGATTTGTATGGCATGCCACAGCTGTTGTCTTGGACTGCCAAACAGATGATCGTTTTGAGCGTGGCGGTTTTGTTACGCTTTTGGCTGAAGGCGTGGCAAATTACCACGGCGGCGCGAGGAAACTCGACTCCTGCCTTTGGCTGACTAACATGGATATGGATGGATACGCCGGTTGTGAAGCCATACAATCCATACACAATGTCCTCATGTTGATTGCACTCAACCATTGCCCCCTCCAATGAAATTGTAAATACCCACGCGAAGGAGGTTGCTATTTTTCGAATATGGCCGAGGCTACCTACCTGGCTCGCTCCCACCAGGTTTGTCGTTGCAAAAATTGCTTAACTTCATGTACTACCGGTACATATCTCTCTCTCCATTTTGTGCCTGTAACCATGTAGGCAGAGTACTACACCCCCATGTTGCACCAGCCGCCTGAAGGGAGGATGGATGTAGCAACCAGGCCAATGCTGCTGCTGCTGCTGATACACCTGCTGAGGAAAGATGCTACATACACCCTATTTTAATGATCCTTGGACGTGGGCCTCTTGTAGAGCAATTGCCGCAGCCGGGCACCTGAGCGAAAAAAAAAAAAGAGAAAAAGTGAGGGTGAAAGAGATTTCCTCCCGCCTGCAGGCTTTGCTGTGTTTCCTATCAAATCTTATCCTCGAGATGTATCATAATAGATTGTCTGCTCTGTGTGGGTAGATACGGTAGAGTGGTTCGTCGTAGCAGACAGCCCATACAAACATCCATTCATGCATACTTCCGAGCTAGAACGTCTTCGGAAGCCGCCAAGCCGTCTGTATTGCTGACTAACATCCTTCCAACTGGTGCCCGATAATTCGAGCGCCGAGCTTAAGCACAGACCAACGCGAACTTCCCATGGCGAGTACGGCAAACACTGTGGCCAGGCGAACTCGAATCGTTTGATACATTTTTCACGAGTTTGCTGCTCGAGAATTTGCTTGCAATATGCTTACATGTACATAATTCCGCTGCCTGCGTATCCCAGCTACAAACAGCCCATACACATCTCCCTCCCCTACATGAAATTACATACCAGTACGCACACCACCACCACTGCGCGCAGCTCGACGCCCGTCATGGTTGCTTGCTGGGCGGTAGGCGGTGGTGGTGGGGTTAGGGGAAGAATGCGGCATACTGTGCTCTAATTGGGTGGCTGGGCCTGCTGTGGTGCTGCTACGTGCTAATTAACCCCATAGGCAAATTTGGGTGGGCCTTGCTAACTAACTGCTGTGTGTGCCTTTCCCCCGAATGAGACGGGGTGATCTGAGGTCTGCCCACAGCATAAGGTCTCCCACTCCCACTGTTTTTTCTTCCCACCCAACCTGTACTGTGTTCTCTCTCTCTCATCTTTCCCTCACTGCCCCATACATCCCACTGCTGTGAGTAAGTCTCCTCCCTCCCAAATTTTCCCCCTTCACCAAAAAATTTCCCCCCTACAAAATTGCCCTCTACCATTTCTCTCTTGTTGCTACAAGGCGATAAGATAGGGATAGTGTCCCACCCCCATCCCCACTCCACAACCATACATAACGACTGACATCGAATTTTCGTAATTATCAGAATCGACACTTCTTTGCACGGTTTATTCTGTGCTGTGATTCTCATCTCGTTTGAAAGGTTTGTTGTCTCCTCTCTTCCATTTTGTTGTTGTCGGTTCTCTATTAGCGTTCCCCCTACTATTCTTCTCCCTTCGAGCCTCGCATACACGAGGCGAGTTAAGCGACGACGACGGTTTCTGTCGTCTTGCGCTCTTGCCTTTTTGGCTGCCCACGCTTTCTTGCTTTTTTCTCTCCATCTTCCCCCCCCTTATGATAGTATCATTATTTGAGGGTAAAACAAAAATTTGTATCTGCCGATATCTATTCTAGAAATCTCAATTCCCTTTTCCCAATGACGATCCGCATCATTCTTTCTTGTTCCGCCAACAACCACCTTTTCATTCCGTCCTTCTCATCCGCTTTCTTGTTTTTTTGTCGCTAGCATTCGTCATCCCGTTCGCTTTTTTCCTAGGCGTTCTTGACTAACACCCTCCCTCTCTCTTCCTCCCATCCACAGACGCGCTACTAAAACATTCGCGTCTCCCCGTACAACTTCCATCATCACCAACACCATTCTCATCACCAAATAAACCACAGAGATGCCACGCACAGAGAAAGCCCGTAATAAGCCCGTCAAGGGAGCCAAGAAGAAGAAGGGTATGTTATCTCCCCATCAACTTCTGTGTTCGTTTTTCATGCCATTGCCGCTGCTTATCATCATTGGATGATGGATGATGATGATTCATCCCGCACTCGATGAGATGAGATGGCGGTGATGAAACGGAATGCAGAAAACCACCCAATCGATCGGTTCATTGCTAACATCCTTTTCTTGTCCTCCAGACCCCAATGCCCCTAAGCGTGGTCTCTCCGCCTATATGTTCTTCGCCAACGAACAGCGTGAGAACGTCCGCTCTGAGAACCCCGGCATTGCCTTCGGTAAGTAACTTCCTTCAATTGACCCCCTTATCCATTGAAACCCATCCTAACCTTTTTACAGGTCAAGTCGGCAAAGTTCTTGGTGAGCGCTGGAAGGCCCTGACCCCTCTGCAACGGAAACCATACGAGGACAAGGCCCAGACCGATAAGGAGCGCTACGAAAAGCAGAAGGCGGCCTACCTTGTAAGTCCACCCGCGCCCGTCAAAATGGACGACAAACCCACTATCACTAGCACAAGACCAAGAAGAAGAAATGCCAGCCCTGTCGTCTAGCAATATTGTCTTGTTTTCTTTGTTTTTTCATGTTTTTCATTTCTTGCTCTGAAAGTCGCAAGGCCATCATAGCTGACACGATAAGGAGGAACAGTCTGCGGCTCCCGAGGATGAAGAAGAGGAGGACGACGACTAGATTTTCGGTTCGTTCGTTGCCCGGGCAGAAAGGGGGAAATTTTAAAAGAACAAAGTGGGAAAAGAAATAATATAAACTCTTTTTTCCTCGCTAGTTTTTTTTGCTTCTCTTGCTGCCATTTTCTTGCTGCTTCGTTGTTGGGGTGTTGTTCTGTTGCCTTTTTTTTTTTATCTATAATTGCAGTAAACTTTAGTTCTCTCGTCTTCGTCTCTGTTTCATTTTCTCATTTTTTTTTATATTTTTTACTCTCGAGCTTTCACTCATCCTCCCGCGCCTCCTCGTCCCCCCGCCACCCCCTCCTCCGCTCCTATTCATATTAGTTTCGGGGGGTTCAACAACCTCTATATTTATTTTTTCTTTTCTTCGGCGGCATTCCCGCCGCCGGCGAGGAGTCGGAGAGAGAGAGAGGGGTGTGGGAAGAATGAGTGAGAGGAGATGATTGAATGCTCGCCTCATCCGGGAGTTTTTTATAAAAGCATTGGCATATCGGAGTCGGGAAGGGGGGTGGGTGGGGGGGCGGAGGAGAGGAAGAGGCGGGGGAATTATCTTAAAGTCTAAAAAAATGTAGCCGTTGATCTCGGTGGGGGGTGGAAGGGTTGAATGGGACGGAAAAGAGGGTCAATGATGTAGGATACGTTTTCTGTGCTACGAATGAAAACGGATATGGTTGCTGTTGATATTTGTGTGATCATTTTTTTGAACGTGTGGGGGGGAGGGGGGGAGGAGGAGGAGGATAAGGGTGATTTAATATATACTGTACTATACAATACCTGCCATTGATTGCATTCTTTCGAGTATGTATCTCTCTAGCTGATTTGTTCTTAAACTCCTCACGTCGCCGAGTCGTGATGAAGTTCTTGCACTGTCTTTGTTTGCACCTTCTCGGCGGCTCCATAATACACTACCACTATGGAGGTACTACTGCTACTACTGCTAGATAGAGTACCACCACAGGGCACTCGCATGTAGATGCCCCCATACTTTACATCACCGCCCAGCCCTGCTACATCATAACTCAGGCGTAACTTCTCCTTACTTCTCCCTTAAGTTCGATCTAATCCCCTGGTACGGTAACTCCCTGACCGCCCACGTGCACAAGGGCTTGCGCCATTCTCGCGTGGGAAGGGAACTAGGGGAAACGCGTCGGCATGTGATCGCGCGCGCGACGGTGACGGTCGGATGTGTGCAGCTCCGGGGGTGTGGGAGATTTGGGGGTTGGGTTGGGGTCATGGACGATCACTCAGGTTTGTGGAATGGGTAGGGGACTCTAGGGTAGGGTAGAATGTCTCAGTCGGGTTGGAGTATCTACCACCAACTTAGCCTGCACGATTTTTCTTTCGGACTTGGGCTTGCTGGATATGGAGTGTGCTCGTGTGATGTGATATGAGGCCAGGACGAAATAGAACCCCGAGTGAGGAAGTGAGTTAGGAAATGATGCCAAGGGCGACCGACGGACGGAGTGAAAAATAGAGGCAGAGATTTATGAAGATGAGGGTACCTACACGATGGTACTACTCTAAAAAGTATTTACTCTCCAACACGAAGTACTAGTACTCGTATACCAGGGTAAGAACCAAAAAATGCAAGTGACGGAAACAGTAATGATTTGTATGAGAGATCACCGCCACCCCATACAAATAATCCTTGCCCTGAGAAACTGCATTTTCTGGTTCTTTTCGTGGTAAACGAGTACTTGGATTCGGGGGGAAACCCCAAAGAAGGGAATATTCTGGTTCAGGAGTACTGAGGAGTTTGTACCTGTCTGTACCTAACCTACCAACGGGTTTTGTTCGTGACCCCAACTGCCGGTAGGCAGCACGCACATAATAAACGCGTCATGCAACCAAGCGAGGACTCTTCCCCTTGATTAGCGGAGATTTCAACCAACAGCCATGTAGCGTCTAGCTGTTGTTTGAGTGTGGAGGACATAGGAAGGGAAGGAACAGAGGAAGGGGGCGAGGTTTTGTTCCCTCTCTTCTGTCTCTCGCCCCTCACGGCTCTCGTCCCCGCATTCAAAAAAAAAAAAGAAAAAAATAAATAAGGATATAGAAAGAAAAAGTAAAAACGTATCAAGGATTTTCTCTTCAAGCCCGAGGCGGTAGAACGAAAGAAGGCAGTAGAAAAACCTGAAACTAAGGGGAAGAATAAAAATAAGGTCATCTGTTCGTTTCCTGTCAGATTTTGTCCGTTATTGCTCGCCTTACCCATCGTCGGATCATATCACTCAGGGAGCGAGAACTGAGTATGGTTACGTACTCAGCGTCATTGTCGTACTCATATATGATGAGGGATCCCATCCCGCCCAGACTAGAATTTCTCCCACACATCTGAAGATGGGGAAGTGGTTTCGCAATTCGCATCTTGACCTCAATCGGGAGGTGAGGCTGTACCCTACAGTGATCACGGGCACCTGGGGGTCAGGGGAATAATCACATCGGTCGAATTCTTTTGCAAGCGGAGGAAAACGGAGCCAACTTTTTTTCCTTCCCTCTCTCACTCTTCTCCCTTTCGTTCGTTTCTGATGGAGAGAGAGAAAAAAAAGAGAGGGGAGAGGGAGGAAATGGGTTTATTACGATGGCGCGGTTTCCGCTGTTCTACTCTACCTGTAGGTAGGTAGGCAGGCAAGGTACTCTACCCTATGCACAGGTACATATACTGACAATTTGGGTATAGCAGAAGCGATTCTTCCGGTCCGTCATTTCTGCGATACCTGCCATGCGATATAGAAGATGTCTACCCCGCCATACATTGGTTTCCTTCTGATGGCTTACTGATGCTCTGATGGACCGCCGGATGGCCGCTTGATGACTTGCTGGAGATAGGTTGGGGGTGGGTGGGGTGGTTCTTCACTGATGGGATTCGTGGCGGGCAGCCCGTCATCGGAATCTCAAGTTAGGGGAGAACGAATCGAGGATTAGGCCCTTGGGAAATCATCGATTTCTTTTTTGGAATACCCGTAAGGTGCTGTTATTCTATATTGCTTACCTACATGCCCTTAATGTGCAGGCAGGTCACTGCTAGGCTGCCTATGACGATGGTTCGGATTTAGTCCTCGAGCAGAGACTGGTGCCGGTTATTATACTCATGCCGGGCACGGTGCACCGGAAGGTAGGTGCCTGTCTTTGCCTACTCTTCTCCGCCGGGGCGGCGCCGCCAGGGGCACCACGTTTGCATTCGTGTTTGGTGGTTTTGATTTTCTCTGTGGCGGCGTTCTCACAGAGATCGTGGATTGGAAACACATTGCAGACTGGGACTTGAGTGCTATCCCACGATCCGCCACAACCCTGCAGCCGTTGACAGAAAACCCCACCACCACCCTAGGTGGACTGCATGTGATGGTACGTTTTTTCTGGGTTGTTTCTCCCATTCTTTTGTTTTTTTCCCTACACCTCGCTTTCCCACGCGAATTGGGTTTTACCTTGATGTTGGATGTTCGTCTCTCTAACGATGGGATAGGGTCAAGTATTTGTATTTTGTTTTCCCTGGTTTTGTACTCTTCTGGTTGTCCATGTTCATAGGGTTCCTGCATAACAAAGAGAAAAAAATACATACGCCATCATTCGCCGACTGGAATATTGTTGAGCCTGTTGGACTATTACTCAAGTCATGTTACCAAGAAAGATGATTTTTCCTTTTTTTTCTCCTTCAGAGAAACCCGTCCTTTCCGCGCCGCAGATCTAAATCCCGGGAGAAGAAACCGATTTGCCTGGTTTCTCTGCTGTGGCTGGATGGAATTGAGGGCCGGGAGAGAGAAATAGAGAGAGTACAGTTTCAATTCTCGGAAGTTTTTTAGGTCAGGGAACATGATCGCTCGATCGGAAGGAGATCATTGCGGATATGCGCAGGAATTTCTTGTGATCTTGGGAAAGAGCGATATATCTTGTTGCTGACCGGTTTCACGAGAGCCTTCTATGCTGGTGGAGGTTAGAAGGCGGTGGAGAAGGGTGGGTTATCTGGGTGGGGTAAGAAGGCACCCAAGTAAACCAATGCTGAAAGTACTCAATCGATGATGCAGCAACAGCGTGGCCCTATCAGAATCAATTTCGTCAACAAACGGCCGCAGGGTCAGATATATACTACCATACGAAGGGGGGACGGTTGCAAAGTTGGACTACGATTTCGCTTACTGTTGGTCAGTGGGATCGCTAGCGAGCGGCGCACCTCGCGGGGTTTTTTATGGATGCTGATGCTTGCTGCTGCTTGCTGCTTGCTTCTGCATGAAACTGGAGCTCCGCTCGCCGAAAGTTCTCCCCCACACCTCCGGTCTAAGGCTTGTGCGTGCCTTGGTTTGGGCATGATTCTGGTAGTGGTCAGAGCAGGGAGGGTGCACCTCGAATCCAATTGGTGAAGGGTACAGTAACTTTTTTTGTCCATCGTTGAGAGCCAGTCACAACCAGACGTTTACATCCCTATGGGCCCTCTGCAGCAGGCTCTCTGGAAAAGACAGTTCAGAACCAGCGGGGAGTATTGACGCTAAAAGTGGTGATGCATTGATAACCACATTCTCCTCGTACTCTGCCAGACACGTCAGAGCCCACCTTGACCTGGAGCCGCATGGTAACATCCCCTCTTTCAAAGGGCAGCTAGGCTGTCAGCCCGCCTCGAGAGATATTACATTATCTGGTCGGTCCGCACCCTTCACACGGAGGGTCTAAAAACAGCTCGTTCGGCGTTGAGATTTCGACTTTTTTCTTTCCTTCGTTTTCGTGTGTGTTCCGAAATTGCTCCATGGCCAGCAAGCTTTAAAGATCAACCCTCGACCCATCCAAAGAAACCAATTCGACCACCGAAAAAAATATCCAAAAATATATTTTCTTAAAAAAAAAAAAAAAAAAGAGGATACATCCAATAAAGAAAAAGGATCTCGCTTGTTCCGATGGCTGACAGGTCGGCTATATTCGGTGTTCTCACCACCTCAGCCATTGCAGGGACCATCGCAGAATCCCTTCATCGCTACACTGATGACCTTCCAGAGGACTCTTCGCGTGATATTCGTGGTGTTTTTAACTGTCTACTTGACATCAAAGCCATATTGAGGGATCTCGATCTAGCATTTCAAGACCCTCGGTTCAATCGCTCATCGCGAGAGTTGCTGGACGACATTGAACTGGGTATTGGAAGCTGCTCCAGGAGCTTGAGGGAATTGGATGTTATTGTGGCACGATACACATCTGGGAGACGGCTAGCGAGTGCAAGAAGGGCATGGTACGAAATACAGGAGAGCTTTCATAAAGCAGATGGATATGCTCTTGTTGGAAGATTGGAAGTTCACAAGACGTTCTTGTTGCAGTTGAAGGGCATTCTTCAATTGTAATTATTTCACCCATCTTTTTTTTTTTTTTAAGTAGCCAATTGATCTGCTACCCCGCGTTTCAACTCGGTTGTTTCGGGAGGCTTGCGGGATTGGATCGTCGTTTTGTCTCACTCGGTCTTGGCGATGGTATCAGCATTGCTAACCTTTAAGCCCTTCTAGTAAAAACGGTACTGGTCGGACCGAGACACACCGCACGAAGGAGAAGGTGAAGTACCATGGCGAGAGCCACGAGCGTGCTGCCAGGCAAGTCCGTGACATGGAGGACCATCGAAGACGCTATCCAGAAGAGAAGACATATGTCTACAGATGCCCGGCACCAGTTCCTTCACCTCCTTATGACGCACCTCAGCAACAACGCCGGACCTATGTTCCCCCTGGAACATTTCCACCGACACCACCCATGGAGCCACAGAGGAGGAGTTTCACCCCAGGTGTTGGATTGACGACGTCGTTCCCGCCCACACCACCTATGGAGCCGCTTAGGTATCACCATATGTCATCTCCGCATGGATCTTCCCACGGATCTACCCACGGATCCGTCCATGGATCCTCTCATGGGTCTCCCCATGGGTCCGTTCATGGGTCGAGGCCTATGTCACCTGAGACACCAATGACGCCTCCCAGTAGGTATGCACCACCACCAGCACCATCACCAATGTCGTCTCCTGCCGGAAGGTCGAGGGGAAGTGGTGGTCTTGGTAGTGCCCTTGCTGCCGTGCCCGGATCCAAACCAAGCTGGTGGAACGGTATCTCCGATGTGCCAGCCCCTGGAAATGTCAGTCCAGTAAGCAGCGGCGGTAGCAGTGGTGGTAGCAGCTCTGGATCAAGGTACAAATCTCCCGTACCGCGCGGTTCGAAGATCGTCGTGAAGGATTTGAGTGTTAATTCGTTATTGTGGCGTAGGAATGTTGAGGGTTCGCAATGCTTTGGGATGCCTATGGACTCGTTGAGTATGGCGAGGGAGGAGATTGAGATCATCAAAGTGTATGTTTTATTTCTCTTCCAATTTTCTGCTCTATGGAATTTTTCTTGCTAATGCTATCGTTGCAGCGAATTTGATAACGACCTTACTCTCCGTCTCTATCGCGATGAAAGTAGCGATGCAGCCAAAGTAGTATGCACCATCGGCCCGCAATTCGGCGTCGGTTCAGGCGACTACTTCAACCAGCGCTCCGCACCAAACAAGTTCCAAACATTCATCGATGCCAGTCTCCTCACAGTCAGCCGAGCAGGCAGCAGCCTACACCTCAAGAGACGTGGAATCATGTGGGCGTGTCTCTACTTCACCGACATCGAGAGTATGCCTCCCCCAATCAAAACTAACCCGTCCAACCGATCATTTCACTAACAAAAATCTCTTGGCAGACATGGTCCTTTTCTACCACACCTTCCTCGCCTTACGCTTCAACGGGCCCAACGCACCAAGCCCCAAAAAGTCCGAATACTGGCTCGATGGCGAAGAGCTCCTCTTCTCAGCCGAGATCGACGACGCCGGCTACCCACACCTCCTGCGCGTCCTGCGGGACCGCGACTCAGGCGTCGTCCGCCTCGCGTCGGCTAACGTCGAGGGCGAGTTCACGGATAGCACTGTCTGGACTGCGTTCATCACGGACTACATTGGACAGCCAGAGTGGATGCACTGCTCAAGATCGAACAAGATTGTGCTCCGTACTATGAGGCAGTTTGCGTTTACGGACTACTTTGACACGAATACGTGGAAGAACTTTGAGTTGAGGTTTATGGTACCCGGTGATGCGAAGGCGTTTGAGACGGTCATTAATGAGTTGAGGGTGCCGGCTGTTGGGGGTACTCCGTACTAAAAAAATAGGGATTGTGGGCAGATGGATGAAGGACGAAAAAAAAAAGAGGAGTGGTTTTTCCTTGCACTCGCTTGTTGGTTCCTTTTGTTTCTCTAATTTGGTCTGGATTTTGGATTTTGGATCTTGGGTTTCTGCTTTTTGGAAAGGGGCAGCGGGTGGGAAATGCGTTTATACCTTGACGACTGTAACGCGACTATGAATACGGTGTTTGGATTTTGTCTATTTTTCTGCTTTTATCAACTTATTTTGGGGGAATATTTATTTTTACTTCCTGTTTTTCTCTTTTTTATTTTATTCCCTTTATTCCCCTAGGCGCAAAAGCTAGTCTTTCTGGAACCCGTCTTTTTCTCCGTTCGCTTTTATCATCACCTTCTATTTGTCTGGCCGTCTGTGTTTTATCTGTGTTGGGTCTTTTTTATTTTTATTTTATTTACTACCCTAACCACCCCCCCTCTAGCTTACCCTTATTAGTACTATTAAGTCTTGTATTTTCTGACGTATATCCTATTTCTCTTCTCTTCGATTCAATTGGCTGTTGGATGGCTGGATCTACGATTTTGTTGTTAGTAGCTTCTGTAGGGAGGAGGAGGCGGAGGAGGAGGGGGGGATGTGTTACATACTGAATACTTACTTTACTCACTTACTACTTACTATTCCACTCTACATGCCACTCTACTTTGTGCCTGACTGACGTGCACTTTCCCCCTCTACCCACCACTAGACAACATCCCCTCCCAAGAAGAAAAAAAAAAAACTGCCAACAACGGCCAACCCCACACACGCACGCACACACACACACACACACACACACACAAGAAACCCAAGATCGAGAAAGCATCCCCATCTCCAAACCTCGTGTGGTGTGCATCCAACCCGGGATGGGGATCGAATCTACAATTGCAAGGCCACAAGGCTGAAACACTTCACCCTCTACCTCTACCACCGATGCGGCGGGCCAAAAATAAAACCTAAATAGTGGTAGTGGCCTAAGGGTTGCATGCGAGTATGAATTAAACAAAAAACAAAAACCTATATAGTGGGTTGGTGGGTTGGGTGTAGAGTAGAGATATAGTATGTAGGTGGTGGTGTTTCGATCAGATGTCACGATCATGGCCAGAGCCTAAAATGTTGTACATACCCGTGTTGGGGGCGGCGGGGGTTGTGGTGGGGACGCTCGGGGATAGAGAGGTGGAAGGGGAGGGGTGGAGGGGTAGAGTAGTAGTGGTAGTAGTAGTAGAGGGGTACTGACAGAGGCAGAGTACCTACGTAGTGCTAGTAGGTAGAGCAATAGTAGGTAGGACAATAGTAGTGGAGGTACGTAGTAGAACTGCCATGCTACAGATCGCGAGATAAGCGATATGCTACCTAGAGTACTAAGCTACTATTACTCACGATGGTAGCCAGATACAGACTAACAGATATAGTACTCCATGTATTTACCAGGTCCCACCCAGGTCCCCGGGAGTTGGGAGTTTGTGACTTTTTCAGTCCCGGGCATGCAGCTAGAGTAGACTCCGTCACGTGAGCCCCAGTACCAAATGAACGGCTAATAATTCAACCGCCACAGACAATCGGTACCCAATCTGCCGGCCCGCCGAGTGAGCGTCTTGGGAAGGTGCGAGAGAGAGGAGACTAGAGAGTCCGCTTATTAACTAATCCGGGTCTCCCTCAGTTGCAAGGGATCTCGGCAATCTACGGGGGAGGGAGAATGGGACCTACAACGGCCTACAAAAAAAGGACCCGGCCCTGTTGGCTGGCTGGTTGAAGAAGTGGAAGTGGTGTTATTGTTATGTCACTGAGTATCAGCATCCGGGTTTTCAAGAACCGTGACCGTGATAGTGCCAGCAGCAGCAGCAGCAGCAGTAGCAGCTGGTGGTGGAGTATTGATTTCAAGATTAAGATTATCATCCCCGCCGCCGTCGCCATCCCCACCCAGATCACCGCCCCCGCTGCCGCGGCCGCATAGCAACCGAACCATGGCCCATGAAGCCGCCGAATCTGCCGTCGACAGCACCGACAGCGGGTCCAACAACCTCAAGACCCCGACCGCCGGCCAGCGTCTCCTGGGGATCCTCCGCTATGTGCCCGCCCGCTGCCGTTACGACCCCACCACCCCCTTCGAGTTCACCTTTGCGCTCAACCTCCTGTTTGCCTTTGCCGCCACCTTCACTGTCGCAAATCTATACTACAACCACCCCATCCTCGATAAGATGGCCGAGACTTTTAATGTCTCGTATGAGCGTGTCGCCGTCGTGCCCACGCTCATGCAGGCGGGGTATGCGAGCGGGCTGCTGTTCCTGAATCCGCTTGGAGACCTGTTTAGGAGGAGGGCGCTGGTGCTGGTGCTGATATTGTTTACGACGCTGTGTTGGGTGGCATTGTGTGTGACGAGGAGCTTTGAGGTGTTTGCGGCGTTTAGTTTTGTAGTTGCGGTGTCGACGGTGACGCCGCAGTTGATGTTGCCGCTGGTGGGGGAGTGAGTCTACCTTCATCCTGGGGTCTATTCTGTTTGATATATATATATAGATGCTGACAGTATTGTGTAGTCTTGCACCGCCGGCGAAAAGAGCTACAGCACTGTCATACGTGACCTCCGGCATCCTACTGGGCATGCTCCTCGCCCGCATCCTCTCCGGCATTATCACACAGTTCACCCACTGGCGCACCGTCTACTACGTCGCCCTAGGCCTGCAAGCCCTCATCTTCGTGCTCCTCTACCTCTTCATGCCTGACTACCCGTCCACCAACCCCTCGGGCCTCACCTACACGCGCTCCCTCCTCTCCCTCTTCGCGCTCGCCAAAGCCCACCCCACGCTCGTGCAGGCCGCGCTGATCGGCCTCTGCGTCAGCGCCGTCTTCACCACATACTGGACAACACTCACATTCCTGCTCATCGCCCCGCCATACGGATACTCGTCGCTCGTCGTCGGCCTCTTCGGCCTCATCGGCGTCGCGGCCATCTTCCTCGCGCCGCTCGTCGGCCGCTTCGTCATCGACCGGCACACGCCGAGTCTTGGGCTGCTGCTGGGGCTCCTCGTGGTGCTGGCGGGACAGGTGGTGGGATGCTTTGGAGGGCTGTATTCGGTAGCTGCGCCGGTGCTGCAGGCGTTTCTGGTGGATTTGGGTATTCAGACGACGCAGGTGAGTAATAGGACGGCGATCTATCGGTTGGATGCGGGCGCGAGGAATAGGGTTAATAGTGTGTATATGTTGGGGGTGTTTTTTGGGCAGGTGGTGGGGACGGCGAGTGGGGCGCCATTGCTGCATAGGTATGGGTGGAAGGGGAGTGCGGGGGCGGGGGTGGGATTTGCGGGGCTTGCGTTGGTGGTGTTGGCGGCGAGAGCACCGGGGGCGGGGTGGGTGGGGTGGAAGGGAGGATGGGGATGGAGGGGGAAGACAGAGGGTGCAAGTGGGGGAGGCGGAGCGGGGGGTGGGGTGAAGGGCGAGGTGAAGGGTGAGGGGAAGGTGTAGATTGGGTGTGTATGTAGTTGTAGGTTGTATATTTAGAGTATATAGAATATATCCTTACTGAGTTTTTTTTATATGATTTTGTAATCATCCGTGATGTTGCAGAAATAGAGCCTGCGAGGAAAGAGCCCCAGGTCACATCAGCTCCGAGTCAATCACCGTGGATCACCCGCACATTACTCACACAAGCTGTTGAAAAAGTAGGACTAGTTGATTGATTGGCTGATAATTCGTAAGTAGGACAGGTTGGTTGGTTAATTGATTGATAATTCGTTATAAAAATGATGTGTAAAAAGTAGGGTGAGGTATGAAGTGAAATGGGCTTGACGAGGGGTCTAAAACATGCGGCTGTAGTCACGGATCAGGCGGGTGTCAGAAGTGGTGGTGGTCGACAGAAGTAACAAGTGTCGTCAGGAGATTAAAGGTTATACGCAATACAATAAATCACCCTCTGCACTTCAAACGAAACAATCACAATCAATCACCCGCCACACACCAAGGACCCGACGAGTGATGCTCCATGACCTACTCATCATCATGATATTCTCTCTTTTTTTTTTTTTTTTTTAATCATCACAAAATTCACAAAACATTTGATTTTATAATATTAATATTAATATATTTACAGAAACACGTCCAACCTTCATGCCGTCCCTGGTTCCCGACCCCCACAAAAATACTCCCCCCACCGAACCGCACCGCGCAGGTGGACCTGCAACTCTTGTCCTACTTCCCACCCTATATCTTCGAGAATTCCAACAGGCTCAACCACCAGAGCCAGGAGTGGTGCAGCTCCGGAGGAGCATCAGGCCATCTGATGCCAATGCAACCAACGATTAAAACCGGAGGTGCGGTTCTGGAGAGGCACCAGGCCATTTGGTGATGGACCAGAAGGTGATGCATCTGGCCATCTGTTTTTCGGAGTCGAGGTTAGATCTCTATAAGTTATTTCGGAGTATGGTTCTAGCTTACTTGGTGAGGTGAGGTGAGGTGGTAGATAGGGATGGGAAAGAGTGGATGGAGCGACGGTGTCTGGGTACGGACCATTAAAGGGTTGAAGAGGAGGAGGAGGAGATTGATGTCGTGTGGGTGTATCCATCCACCTGGTCTGTTGAGTATATAGTCACTGGACAGCCGACAGCTGTAACAGTGCCAACTCTGGCTCGGCTGGATTTTTATATGTTAGCCATATGCATGAATTGCCACAGATAAAGGAATATATAGAAGGGAGACTTACACATGCGTTGCGCAGTACAGGCACCCCCCAGGATATCTGGTACGGCCACCAGTCAACCCCCCAGGGTGATCTGGTACGGCCACCAATCGCCCCCCAGGGTGATCTGGTACGGCCACCAGTCTCCTTGGTGCGGGGGTGGTGGCCGCCCCGCAGAATGTGACTGCCCCCTACCGCTACTCCCTTGCTGTGCTGGATCCGGCACTTGCAACATCTTTTCCCTATAAAAGGGCAAAAGAAATTAAACGGCCGCAAAACCGGCCACCGACACCAATGTTGATGTCGATGATGTCGAAGATGGTGGTGGCATCGTGGTGGGCAGCACACTGGCCCCGCAGGATTGCAAGGGCCACCAATCGCCCCGTCATGAATGATGACAGTGGGCTTGGTAAGGTGAAGGTGTGGTGGACAGTACAGCCACCCTACAGGATCGATCTGGGATTTATCGACTTCCACCCTAGAACTGATGTTAGTACATATAGTGGCTTTTTAGAAAACTCGATTTATAAGAGTTTGGGGCATTGATCTTACCGATTGATGTTTCGGTGGTTGTTTGGAGGCCCACCCCACCCTAATGGGACCTATGGTGATTTGATCGGCCCCATCGATCCTTCGGATCATTTCTGGGGAGGGTGTGGGGTGCAGTACAGCAGCCCTGCAGGATGCAAGGGCTACCAATCGCCCTGTTGTCGGTACTGAAGATGGTGCAGTACATTCGCCCCACAAGAAGGGGTAGGGGCCACCATTCACCCCGATGGCGGGGTTAACGGTATGTTGCAGTACTTTATCTATAATTTATAGGATGTTAATCTCGGAGCTAAAAATTGGTGGAGATAATAGGTAGCATATAAACTTACCCTACAAGATATAGGGGGCCACCATTCACCCCGATCTCAAAACTCACAATGTGGTGTAGTGCATTTGCCTAAAATATTTATAGAATGTTAATTTTGGAGCTGAGAATTAATGATGATAATAGGCAGTAAACGTACCCTACAGGATGCAAGGGCTACCAATCGCCCTGTTGTCGAGGCTGATAGTGGTGCAGTACATTCGCCCCACAAGAAGGGGTAAGGGCAACCATTCACCCCAACGCCAGGGTTTACGGTATGTTGTAGTACTTTGCCTACGATATTTATGGGATATTAATCTCAGTGCTAAAAATTGATGAAGATCATAGGAAGTAAACATACCCTACAAGATATAAGGGGTTTACCATTCACCTCGATCTCAAAGTTGACAATGTGGTGCAGTACATTTGCCTAAAATATTATGGAGTGTTAATTTTGGAGCTGAGAATTAATGATGATAATAGGCAGCAAACTTACCCTACAAGATGTAAGGGCCACCAATCGCCCCTGTTGAGGGTTGATTGTAGCGGCTATGTTGGCTATGTACCTGTGGTGTACAGTACAGCCACCCCACACGATAATTCCTCACCTTGTGTGCCGGGCATCTGCAACCAAGACTCCCTGTCGACAGATCAATCTGTCAAGACTTTCGGTCTTGGTATTGCTGAACTTTATGTTAGCTTATAATCAGTGATAGAAGGGGTTAATTGGAAATTCGTACCATTAATCACCCCGATTGTGGTGGATGAGAGTGTACAGTACACTCGCCCTACAAGAGGTAGGGGCCACCGCCAATCATTAAGATTGGCCATAGACTATGATGGCGGTGCAGTACTCTGGCCCTATAAGAGTAGGGGAATATCAATCATCTCAAAAGTGAGGACTCATGATACTGGCATGGATGCCATTTGGGTAATAATATGTGGTGATGGAAAGAGGAAGAGGAGGTTGACGGACAGATGTGGTATATGGTGTCGGATATACTTCGCATGGGTGGGATGGGATAGGTTTTAGGGCTAGTTTTTTGAGTGTATGGAGATGTTCGCACGGTGCGGGTACTGGGAGTACTTTATGATTACCGGTATCTACTTTTTAATGTAATACATGAAGAGTGTAATACTTGGAGATATATCTATATACCTTAGAGGTATTAATATCTTAATACAATGATTTATAGTACTTGGGATTGATTATATGTATATTCGATGAATTGGTATGTGTCATTTCAAGGCATCAAGAAGCGGCTCTCACAAACTTTGTGTTGGATCTTAGTATGCCTGTCTGTGTGCTGGCTACATTTAAGCTCGGCTCTTGATTGACAAGTTCCCCAGCCATACGTGTTTTAATCCACGCTTTATGTAATCTGGTTAGTATTAAAGTATTATTATCGAGTAAAGGCTTATTAAATATGATGCTTAATTGAAGCAGTAGCTTTGATAGACGGGGGCGGCGTGGAGCGAAAAGATTGCCTTCGTTGAGAAGAGAACGAAGCCGACAGAAAAGAGTCGCTATGACAGCTACTTCCTGCAACGCTTACTACTCGCGACCCCACAGCCGCTCGGGATCCAGTTGGATTCATGAAACGAAGAACAAAGGTGTACTCAATCTACAGATTCGCCCTGTACATAGCGTGCGTCACAACTTATCACTCGTTGATGATCTTGCGCGAGTGTGGGATATTTGGCATTTCAATGATGCCGAACCCATATAGGTGATCTGTCCGAACCTGTCACTGACGATACTTGTCACTGGCATATATCTACGTGTCCGATCTGTGACTGTATAGTTAGACTCTTTGTCAAGACAAGAGTTAAGTCTCTTCACTATCTCGTCCCACTTTATCGATAACAAGGGGTTTAGAGTGAACGCAACATGCAAACTTGACTGGCAACTACTATACCATCGGTAGCCTGGAGCTAAAGACAAGCTAAATGACAGTCCGCGTATTCCGACCATAGGAATCAGGCTGCTAAACCGAAAAACATGGATGAGTCTGGCATTTATCTATCTACACGACTAATTCGCAAGCCGTTATAATCTACGCGTTGCTAGCAACCATCGTGAACAGACGAGGCTGAGCACTCGTTAATCATGGAGGCGGAGACCACTATACTAGCCTTAGCGATTAATGTTCAAAGACCTCCTCTGGTTATCATATATCTACCCCTACTATCCCGCAACGAATGTCCTCCAGCTTTGCGGCTGCGGTAGTCATCATATATCTTTCGAGTGACAGACCATGACGCACGCGGCGCCTGCATGTCTCACCGCTCACACGGTGCACGAAATAGGCCGAGTGGCTTTTCTTTTCTTTTTTTCCGATAGTGACAGTCGAAGACAGATGTTCAGCCTTGTGTTACCATCGCTCAGGTGATAAATATGCGCCAATATCCCAGCTTAGTTCTCGGTTGTGTTCAGCCTTGCATGTCCAGGACCAGCGGTTTCAACACCGCGAGGAAATCATGAATTCAAAACTCCTTAGATGCGTGTTGGCTAGCTGCGTCTTTCTACGCGCCGTGAGTATACTGCTGATTGAGTCTCTCTGAGGCAGCGGAGCCAATGTACAGCAGGTGCTGATGTGCTCAGAATGCAGCCCCGCAACAAACACTAGAAACGGTATTGATATCGAACATGTAAACCCCACTCCCGCGCAACAATGGGGAAAATTCAAGTTCTAACCATACAATTCCAGCTCCTCCACCACAACCTCAAACGCGAACACAACCACTACATCATCCGTCTCCTCCTCCTCCTCCTTCTCCTCCTCCTCCCCCTCCTTCTCGTCCTCGTCCTCCCCCTTCTCCTCCTTCTCCTTCTCCACCCCCACCACCACCACCTGGGATCCGACCACATACTTTGAATACACATACACTCGAACCAGCGAACTGCCCACTAGTACTGGAAGAAGCAGGCCAACCAACAATAACACTATCCATTACGACCCTTCGCTAGATAGTCAAGGGATTTTCGGTATAGCAATCCCCATCCAACAAGAATAACAGCACCTCTACCGTTGCTAATAAACAGGGAAAAAGAGTTTGCGCTGTGGGCAAAGATTGTGATCCCACTACTGGTGGTGATAGGGGCGCTGGGGTTCGTCGTGTATTGTTGGAGAAGCCGTCGGAGGCAGGGGAGAATGATTGGGATGCTGAGGAGCCTAGATGTGGTGGAGGAGAAAAAGGCGCAGCTGCAGGGGGAGATGAAGGATAGCGTGGGGGCGGAGGCGGTGGGAGATATGAATGGGGATGGGATGCAGGTAGATCGCATCCAGTCTTATCCGGAGAGGAATGATGAGGAGATGGTAAGGCCGCGTGGACTTTAGGTTCGAGGTTTTCTCCTTTTTTTTCCTTTTCTTTTTTCTTTGAAACGCTGGGATGGATAGTTTATGGCTTTTGTAACTCTACTGATACCACACTACACTCCAATGCTAAGGTGTATGCCCAGGTAAAAGGTGATTCGATTCCTTGTTGAAACAGTTATTCTTATGCGTTCGACTGGGCTGACGGTTTAGCTTAGTACATGTAGTTAGACAAATATAAAGAATATAATAAAATATTACGAAGACCTTCTCAGAGGAAAGCCATAGGATATATATACAGCTGGTGGTTCTCGGCCCGCCGCCCGTCAAATATTTGTTGCCAAGCGATTGAGGACTGAAACTTTACCAAAATCGCTACTGTAAGATGCCGACCTCATGGCGGTACAGTAGAATCACTGGCTCTGTACTGGCTGTGTTGCCATAATCATTGGGGACTTCTCTTGAATATTAGCTTACTTACGTAATAATATCCAAGGCGAGTGATGACTTGTGATTGACAGATGCAATCTTTTTACCATCGATCCTAGAGTTTCATTTACAAATCCCACACTTATCACCTCGGAGTGCCTAACCTCAGCTCGAAATTCTCACTTGCTCCTTATATCCTTCAGCAGCAAGACACTGGCCTTGAGTTGGGGCTTGGGTCGAACTGTCACACTCTATCGATTATAACGGGTGGTTTACGAACACAACGTTCGCGCCCGACCGACGACTATTATATGATCGCTAGCCTAGAGCCAGAGACAAGCTTGATGCGTCCTTCTATCAACATCATCTATAAGACGTAGTTATATACTTGGTCTCGATAGAGCAGAGACTATTAACACTCTACACATATATAGCATCCTCACAAGAAACGTCGGCCCAGAGTCTACTCTCGTACACCTGATATGAGATTGGGCCTCCTTCTCGACTATGCGAAGGATCGTTAAGTAGGTATGGTGATCATGACCACTCGACTAGTCTTCGCAATTAGCGTGCTCCTCTACAGATCTGGTTGTCCTACATAATGTAGCTACCAGCACTAAACGAATATCCTCTAGCTTCGCAGCCGCAAAAATCACCATACCCCACACCCACACTCGAGTGACAACCCATGACGCACGCGGCGCCTGCATGTCTCACTATCCTAATGCACGGTGTACGAAATAGGTAGAGTGGCTGTTTTCCTCTTCCCCCGCGATATTCAGCCGTTGTGTTACCACGGAGCGTGATAAATATGCGCAAATAATCCAGCTCTTGTGCTCGACGGTTGTACACACAATTGTGTCCCAGCTTTGTACAGATCAGAAATGCTGCTGAGAATTATGGAGGGAATCATGAGTCCGAAACTCCTCATATGCCTGTTAATGGCCTGCTGCGCCATTCTGGGTGCCGTTGTGAGTATACTGCTAATCAACTTTCTCTGATTGACTTAGTGGGGGCCAATTGGTACTGATGTACTAGTCAGAACGGGGCCCCGCAAGAAATAGAGACCGAGGGGTCATTTCCATTCTCAATATTGTAGATCCCACTCGCGCCCGCTCCACAATGTTTGAGAAAGTCCATTAATTAAGTGCTAACCATACCGTTCCAGATCCACCACAATAACCTCAGGCGCAAACACCACCACCACCACCACCACTACATCCTTCACCTCCTCCACTACCGGGTTTCTGACTACGTTCTCTACATACACATACACAGACACCAGCACAGGTACTTACTATATACGAACCACCCGTAAAAGTGGCAACGGAGGCACCCCAACCGATGGTGGGAGCGGAAGCACCCCAACTGACGATGGCACTGATCCGGACCGCGATCATGTTTCGCCGGCTAAGCAGGGGATCTTTGGTATGGCATCCCCATCATGAACCTCCCATACAATACATCTACTACTGCTAATGCCGATCGGTTGAAAGCGTTTGCGCTCTGGGCTAAGATTGTGATCCCGCTAGTGTTGGTAGGGGCGCTGGGGTCCGGCGTGTATTGCTGCACGAGCCATCGGAAGCAGAGGAGGAGGAGGGTGTTAGGGGCGGCGGAGCCAGAGATGGTAGGGGAGAAGAGTGCGCGGGGGGAGAAAGATGGTGCGGGGGTAAGGGAGGTGGTAAGGAAGGTGGATGGGGATAGTGGGTAGTATGGATTAGTGGGTGGGGGCGGGGGATGTAGGTGGATTATATTGAGTCTTATGGGGAGAGAAATGAGGATGGAGTGCTAGTGGTGAGGCCTCATGAGTTTTAGGGTCGGGGCTTAACTTGCGGAGACGCTGGGGTGGGTACATGCATGATAAAATATATGTAGTTATGTTTTATGCATACGACTAAACTGGAGGGTTAGCTTACATATAGTTGGGGAAATATAAAAAAATGAAGTATCACCGACCGGGCCTCTTTAGAGGAAATTAATTGAGTAAAGCCATAGGATATACACTCTGCTGGTGGTTCCCGGCCCGCCGCCCGTCAAATATTAGTTGCCAGGCTATATTAGAAACTGAAGCTTAGCCCAAACGTACCGCTACCGTAAGAAGTTGATCTCCCGGTGGTATAGTAAATTTATTGGCTCTGTATTGGTTGTGTTGCCATAATCATTGGGGACTTCCGCGCTAAGACTATTAACTCACTTACGTAATAACATATGAGGCGAGTGATGACTTGTGATTGACAGACGCAACCCTTTTACGGGTATTACCGACCCTGAATACCAGCTTCCCCTCCTCCCCCTCCTTCTCCTCCTCCACTACCTTCAAGGAGTACACAGAGCCAAAGAAAAAAAAATGCGTGCATCGTACAAGTAGACACAATACAAGTAATAAAAAAAAAAAAAAAAAAAAAAAAGAATTCCCGTTCCAAGGTCCAGAGCAGCAAAAAGGAGAGGCGACCCGCTTCTACTCCTTTACCCAGTCACACAGTGTATGTTTTCCCACCAAGTCTGGGAGGTTCGAACTATCGACCTCGGCCCCTCTGGGCGACACTTCGGCCGATTAGGCCACAGGAAGTGGTTGTTGTACAGAATTTTTGTAACGCTGCTAAAAGCCTTAGCGCTAGTGCGTCACATCTAGTGTGGTCCGCGAGGTTCCTCGACCGAGGAGAGCAGAGACAAGTGCCTCGAGGTACTTCCGCCTAGTGTGGTCCATGACTTTGCTTGCTTGTGCGAAATAGGTGATGCCTCGAGATGCTCGGAATGGCTCGAGGGAATTCATTACTCGTGTTGTCTGGGATGGGATGTACATGTGATGCAACATAGATTATAAGCACGTATGGAAATCAAGTCTGCGATATCTTACAAGGCCCTTCCGCCCCATTTTTCTTTCTATCTAGAGTACATGCAAGCACAACTATATACAGCACAAGATCTCCCTCCCTCCCCCTCTTTACCAACTCCCCAACTCCACATCCAACACCTTCACCATCTCACTCTCCCCCTCTCCCTCCTCCTTACCCACCCCCAAAAACGGCATCACAGCCCTCTCCACCACGCCCTCAAACAGCCCATCAATCACACCCCCCAGCTCCTCCCCCGTCTGCCTAAAATCCGGATACGCATTCACCTCCAACAAATACACGCCCATCGCCGCATCCACCAAAAAGTCCACCCCAAACACCTCAAACGCATTCGGCAGCGTCTGAAAGTGTACCCTCTGCCCCCTCGCCGCAGCCTCCCACGTCTCCCCCACGATGCGCTGTATCTTGCTCCACACCCCCTCCAGCGCCTCCTTGCCGCCCGCTACGTCATCAGCGAGGTCCCAGAAGAGCCGGACGCTCCCGTCGCGGTCCCCGCTCTGGAGACAGGTGTTTGTGAGGTGTCCGCTGAGATCGGCGCTCTCTTCCCATGGCGCAACGTAGGGCTGTCCCGCGAAGAGCGCGAGCATGCGGCGGTACACGTAGACGCACAGCCCGCCGACGGCGAGCACGTAGGTGCGGATGTGGAACTTTGTGTTTGCGATGAGCAGCGGCGGGTGGATGTAGGACTGGGCGACAAAGTGGCGGAGCTGGCTTGTGACGATGCCGGATGCGTTTGCGGCCGCGTCGGACGTGACTACTTTGCCGTTCTCGACGCCCCAGGCGTCGTTGTCGTTGTCTTCGTCTTCGTCGTCGGTGTCGTCGTCGCCCTCAAACTCCTCAAATATGGCCTCGAGCTCGGGCAGCGTCGAGAACAGCCGGATGCCCTGGCCCCGGTCGCTCATCCCCGGCTTCAGGATCCACCATTGGCGCTGCGAGGGGGGCTGGTTGTCGTTTGCGGCGAGGGAGTCGCGCAGCTCGTAGGCTTCTGCGAGGGCCTCGTCGAGGTACTCGGCGTAGTCGAGCTCGAGCTCGCATGTTGTTGATGTCGCACCTGCGAGGATTGAGGCTGGGTGCTTGGTGGTCCAGGAGGTGAGGGTGTGCGAGAGGTAGTGCTTGCGGATGAGGGCTTTGCGGATGATGTAGGAGCTGCAGAGGGCGCTGTCGGGGTGGGCAAGGATGTCCTCGAAGGGGATGGATTCGTAGGAGGACCAATGCAGGATCTTGGCTGTGGGCTTGGGTTGCGGGATGGGGGTGGTGAGGATGCGGAGGGCGGGTAGGTGCTTGTGCAGGGCGGCTAGGATGCGCGGGCGGACGTAGGGGTCGGCGTAGTCTACGAGGGCGTAGTAGGGGGCTGCTTGCTCTACGGGTGCTGATGAGGACTCTCTTACTGCGAGGGTGCGGGTTTGGGGTCTGGAGAGCGGGGTGTTAGGTGGGGGGACTGTAAGAGAAATATGGGTAGAGGTAGGTAGATCTTTGGAATTTGATTCTAAGCAAGCAAGATGTACAGATGCAGCGGTGCTTGTATGTAACAAAGTCTATGCCCAGCTCTGACCACGCGCGCAGCTCATGTATATAGTACTTACAGCTTGATCTCGCCCCCAATAAGGCCATCGAAATGCATAAAGTTAGCTTTCAACGGCGTCACGCTGTAGAACGAGCAATTCATCAGTATCAATATATGCCATAACTCCACAGCCCAAAGCAGGGCAAAAAAAGAACTCACCTAACATGCCCCTCCTTCACCGCCCATCCATCATTGCCCGGCGGCGCCTCCTCCACACTCCTATACACATCCGCAAACTTTGGCGCCCACTGAAACGTCTTATGCTTCAACCCCACGACTTTCTGGTCGCTCCCTCCCACGCCCTCACCACCCTCCCTGATCTGCATCTCCCTCTCGTCCGGATCGAGCTCATCGTTCGCCTCAACCTCCTCAAACGACGACCCCATCGTCCAATAATTCTGCAAGATATTCGTATACAGCACCTTCGTCCCGTCGCCATCCACACCCAGCAGCAGCGGCACATTCACCGAATACAGATCCACACCCTCGGCCCAGTTCTCAAACAGATACTGCACCACCCTCACACTAACCTCCGACGCACCCTTAATCACCGCCGGATCATGGTTGCGGTCAAAGAACGCATAGCTCAGCGCCACGCTCTTCACCCCGCACACCGCGCCCTCCATCGCGCCGCCGATGGTGCCCGAGCTCAGACTGAACAGCGAGGTCGAGTTGCGCCCGTAGTTGGGCCCCGACACCACCATGTCGATCTTGCCGCGGTCGTGGAAGTAGTGGTTTAGCCCGATCTGCGTGCAGGAGGCCGGGGTGCCGTCGATGAGGACCCATTCTTCGCCGCCGTCGGTGCGTGGCCGCGTGTGGGTTGTGCCGTCGTCGGTGTGCAGGGTGCCGGGGCGGAAGTAGGTGGGGGTGAGGCGGCGGCCGGCGAGGTGCGCTTTGCCGATCCAGGAGCGTTGGATGTGTGGGAGGACGACGGAGACGGTGTGGCCGTGGGATTGGAGCGTGTGGATGAAGGAGTGGATGTAGGGGGATGATTGCTGGGAGGGGGGGCCATCGTCGTTGACTACCTAGAGGGAGGGGGGGGGGGGGTTAGTGAATGTACTACCACTACTAGATGTAATGTTTGCAGGAGGGAGGGAGGGGGATAGGTACGAGGATATGCATTCTGATAGTGATGGGTGGTTCAATTTGTATTTGGTGCTGTTCTGGGGGAAATTTGTACTGGTGAACCTGGTTGGCTGGTGACTTGGGTACGGGGCGTGAGGTTGCTTCGTGTGAGGCTCAAGGTGGGCTGTGACGTGCGGTCATGTACCCCGCTAATAGATAAGATAGCACCCCGGTCCTTGGCAACGAATATCTGAGCACAAGTCTTGACTTTATGAGTATTATGAGCATATGGAGTTCAAAGGGAGCTTGGGAATAGTTGTTCAACCCTCAAGAGATTAATCACTGCGCTTATTCTCTCAGCCTGCATAGTCTCATACAGTGATTTAAACAATGGGAGATAGACGCTCTGAGCACCCGCCCGTATCAGATATCCCATCCTCAACGCACCATAATTCAGATTCTTGCTATAAATCTAGATAGCGCGAGCTCCCCAATCGGCCAGAAGTACCATCAATTTCGTTATTTTATGATCTCAAAAGTCAATATATCAATTTTCGTCGCTCTGAATCCCGGAAACGCCCCAAAAGCTTAATCAACACGTAGAAACTTGAAGCAATTAACAACAGCCTTCGCCTCTCGAGGCAGGCAATCTGACCCGCATTGTTATATTACTTAGCTTAGATATATTGCCCTTAATCTACACTGTTTCCCTGAATACACAACGACCTAGCTAGTCGCAATTACTCCCCACAAAGGCGAGCAAGCTCCCACTCGCCCGCCCAAGTGCCTTATAGCAAGCCCGCGCCCGCCGACTTTGCACATAGATAGCTTCACCCACAGTTACCCATATTCGAGCCCTCGTAAGCTGTTGAGGTCTGGAAGGTGGGTCAGGCGTCGAAGATAGATGAGTTCTCATGGGATGTCGTTCCTGTGCATAACTGTAGATACACTTTAATAGACACTAGGCTATAGGAGGAATAAGTGAGAAACAAATATGCCTGCTGGGCATTCATATCATTACTTTAGCACTACTAAGTTTCTCCTATATTCACCAGGATACCATACTCTACGCCGGCGCATATAGTAGTAGAATCTGCCGATTGGTCCTGGCAACCGAGTGCTAGCTCATGATGCATGATATACGGTTTCACACGCCAAGCCTAACACATGAAACACGCGTGAGTGGGGGTAGAGGCCGCACGTTGAAGCCATAGCTCTGCTATATCTATCTCCCATGCAAGGCCCGCTGGAGCGGTATGTACAGACTTGTCAACGTCACAGTTGAGTGAGCTCTTTCCTCCGGCGGCGGCAGCGGATGTACAGGCTACTGAGGTGTACTGTACCGGGGCACTCGTCTAATTACTTTGGTCGGGTCGGGTGGGGGCCGGGGAAAGGGTGAAAACGTGGGATCTGTTGATATTGAAAATGTCGTTCAAGGAAGTAAGCTTATAGTGTCGAACAGGTGTCAAATAGTAAAGATCCCGCTGTCAAGAGGATTATAGTGTCCCGTCCAGGTTCCTATAAGATAGCATGTATTAGCCTTAGACCTCGACATCAGTTGAAAATACTCGTTCTACTTTTCAACAGGATCGGTAATATTGGGGCGAGTGATAGTCCATGACTATATCTAAATAAGGGTTAATACGTTCGGCCCAAAAAACACTCTCTATATTGACATGTAGCGCGCGAATATATATATGGTCAGATGCGTGTGAGACCCGTGCACCTGTGGTTTTTAATATACATATATAGACGTTGACTGGCCGTATGCGCCGGCCGGGCTGGGTCTACTAGTGAAGACATGTGTTACGTTGGCCGGACCGTGTCAGGTTTCTATAATGGCATGGTCGAGTCGGGCTAAACGTTAATTATCGAGCCTGTTGATGAGTATGGATCCCTCTTGGGGCCGGACGTAGACCATATCTCTGAGTGTTTAACACCGGTTTTTTTTAAACTAACGGGGTGTGTTGTTTGATCGGGCTAAGCTTAATTAACTCTGTAGCTCGCATCGTGAGTTGTATGTAGACCACTATTAAGGGCCATGATACATGCATCTATTCACGATCGCAATACTCTAGAATGTAGAACGCCCTAGCTCTATGTACCAAGATACCATACGTCGCTGAAATTCGAGAGTATAGAATGATATTACGAGAATATCTTTAATCCTAGCACAGCAAGAGAAAAAAAAGAATATGTACAATATATAGGGAACCGGTCATGCAGCAGAGCTAGCTACATGTAGCCTCTTACCCGCGCCGCTCTCTAGGGCCCTACCGGGGTTACTAATTCCTGAAGAAAAATAATAAAAAAAGGAAAGGAAAGGAAAGGAAAGGAAACCGTCTAGCTAGTCAAGAGTCGCTCTGGGGGGCCGGGGCGCATATATACACTTCACTGGCCACCCAGCAGCTACCCTATCACAAGCCACCAAAGCTCAAAGCCCGATCACAGCGTCAATCGCCTCCCCAACGTCCCCACGTGCACCTCCCGCATAACAGGTGTACTCTCCCCCGACGCGATGGCCAGCGCCTTTTTGTGCCTCATGTTCTTCCTATGCGCCACGCACAGGAAGACGCCGAACCCCACCGCGCTCGCGAGTGAAAGGGGTATCACGATCTTGGCCCACAGGGACAGGCCTAGGCTAGTTAGCTTGTGTCCGGCTGGGTGTACATGGGGGAGGGGGGCTGGGACTGGCGGGGTACCAAAGATCCCTTGGTAGCGGAGTGGCTCTTCGGTGCTTGTGCTTGTTGGGGCGGTGGATGAGTCTGTGGTTGTGGCTGTGGCTGTGGCTGTGGGGGTGGGAGTGGTTGTAGCGGTGTACTCGGTAGTTGGTGGTGGTGATTGTGTTGGTGGAGGTGGTGGTGGTGGTGATGGGGGTGGAGGTGTCGAGGTGTCGATAGTGTAGAATCTCGTCGAGCTGGTGACGCTGGTGGATGTGAGCGCGGAGCGGGAGGTCTCGTTATTAACGATTGTTGAGATGAGGAGCGTGGCGTTTATAGTAACGACTGAACTTGAGCTTGAGATATCGATCTGGAGCCCTGATATTGATGATGATGTTCGGAGTGTAGTTAACGCTGGGTCCCGCGTGGTGTTTTCAATGGCCGAGCCATTATCGGTTGAGCTTTCAGCGGAAACGAGTGTTCTATGGCCAGCCCGTTAGCATTAGCCGTTAATTCTCATAGGAGGAGTGGTGGGGATGTGGACAGTATTGTTTCGAGCTGGCCAGCTTGCGGGCGCGGGACTGCGGACTGTGGATGGATGACGTTAGCGATACTAGCTGGTATGTATCATACGCAATTTGTGGCTCAGCGTTACTCACGACATGGAGTATGACAAGTAGTTGGTAAAGCAGAATGTAAGTGAATAGTTGGCATTGTTTCATCGTCGTGGGAAGCTCCATGGCTAGCTTAACGTCGGTTTCGGGATTTAAAAGCGAAGGACTCGGTACAGGTACTGAGTTATGTACCCTAGCTTAAATCTTTGGATGCTGCGCGCACATTAGGCAGGCAGATAGATAGGATAGATATGTAGGTCCATATAAGACCCCTAGGCCCTCGGATCCTCCCAAAAAAAAGAAAGGAAAGCACATAAGTGCACATATATGGAGCCATTTATATCCTCGTGCATGCATGCTGCAACCCACAAAAAGGGCAGAAACATTCTACTCTAGAAACCACTTAGCCAGGGACATGCAGTGGGGGCCGGGCCAATAAACATTCCTCCCCGCATCTTTCTCGCGAAGCATATATATATACGTATATACGAGGGGCTGAAAAATCGGTGGTGCAGTTATACTTGTAAGTTAAATGGCTCCATGGGCCGGATCTGCAGAAATCAACGTCGCCCGCCATGGCCATAATTAGTTGTTTCGGGCTGCGCTGCACGGTTGTGGCCCAAGACGTCATGGATTACGAGTGTGTTGGACGGACTGGAGGCTCGGCATGCCGAGGAGGGTCCAGTAGATTTGGTTGCCAAGCAAGGTTTGTGTCTTACTGCGAGTGAGCGTCATGGGTTGTCACTCGGTCGGAGAGTCTGTGCTTACTAATATAACCTGCCACTTTCTAAAGGACATCGAACTACGAACTCTTGACGCTGCTGATCCGCTCTGTTCAGTTTTCTACTCTCCGAACCATGCCGAGAATAGGAAATTCTAAACGGGAACACACACACGTTTGACTAACTGGTGGGCTTGCTGTCACTAACAGGACCGCAGATCTACTCAGGTAGACCTATCCGATATTCCACCCGCGAGTAGCTCAATCAGCAGTTCGATTCTACTACTCGGTGAACCGCGCCCCACCTACATAAACCTGACCTGAGGAGCAGAAATACCACTACGATCAGGCTACAACGACAACTCCCTAACCCGCTGAGAAAGCCCGGGCCCGTTCTTTTATTAGACCCGGCGACTCAGACGGGTATATATGGGTGTTTAAATGATCCATGGCTGGATATGTACGGACTTATATCTTATCGACGTAACGGCGCCCGAAGCGCCACACGGGTTCTATGCTCCGTCTTAACTAACCCGCAGAAGCCCAGCTTTGTTCGGTGGAAGCGGTGGTAGAACCCAGCCCTCTGGCTGGACATACCGACGCGCTCCTGGCACTTGAATTGAATTCGAAATGAATTCTACTCATATAATAAGGTGTCGCCAAAATTCAGCCATCTATACATTTTAATGACTTGATATCACCACTCTACCACCACTATGTTAGCTTAAATCTGTCACATACGCCACCCTAGCCTCGTCGTAAAATGTTGTGAAATAACGGTCACCTCCGGAAGTCTTACACAAAAACTAACCCCGCTATGAATAGACTGGAATTATCAACTACTAACTGTCGGTATACCGTGCTTAATATTTCGGCAAGCATAACCATGTCAATTCAGTAAACTCGATCCACTCATCCATTGCCACAGATAGCACAACACATACTCATAAACCCATAATGACCTTTCAATACCGATTTTCAATCATAGTTTTTACCATCTTTAACCCACACTCCCACCAACCCACCCCAACACACACCCATTCCACCACAATGACATCCCAAAAACCCATCCATTTCTAGCCTATGTTTCCCCATTTACCCCCACACACAGTACCAGATCATACCTATAACCGAAACTCGGAAATCCCACCTCCATTTTCACAAATGAAACTCCCAGCATTGCGACAGCTTTCAATGATGAAATCCTGCAAAGATGACCATTTCTAGTTTAGACCCTGGTAATTAGAAACTAAGATAGATACTGGATGGCCTGGGATATAAGCAGCAAGCCAGAGTTTCGAGCTGAAGTTTGGTGCTCTGTGGTAATAAGTGTGAGATTTGTAGGCGAAAGTTTAGAACATCGGGTTGGAAATTGCGGGTTAGGGTTACGATTTTGGTGAGTAGCTAGGGTGGTGAAAGAGAAGCCAGCTATTTACTTCCCATTTTATCGGCACAGGTACGCGCAGTGGTATACTCTCCCTTTTATAAATTCTCGTTAGAATCACTGAATCAGGGCCACTTACCTTCCCACCTCCATCACACGCCATCACTCACCCTCTTCACAGTCCCTCACTCGCCACACTCACAGCCCCTCACTCGCCGCACGCCACCCCTTACCCGGCCTGCCCCCACCCCGCACCCCCACCCCGACTCCCCCACCTACCCCCACCACAAACCCCCCGCGCAAACCATGCCCTCCCCCAACCCAAAACCAACATGTCCCGCCGCCTCCTAATCCTCTATGGCTCCGAGACCGGCACCGCCGCCGACCTCGCCCACGAGCTCTCGCGCCTCGTCGAGCGCCACCACTTCCTCCCACGTGCCTCGCAGCATCAGCGCTCTCGCCGCCCGACTCGCTGCCGTCGTGGCCGCTCGTGGTATTCGTGTGCGCCACCACGGGGCAGGGCGAGATGCCCGCGAATGCGAAAGCATTCTGGCGGTTCCTGCTAAGGAAGAAGATCCCGACCGACTGGCTGAAGGGCACGTGCTTCACGACGTTTGGCTGTGGGGATAGTACGTATGCGGGGTTTAACTGGGCGGTGAGGAAGCTGCATCGGCGGCTGCTGCAGGTGGGCGCTGTGGAGGTGGCTGAGAGGGGGGAGGGCGATGAGCAGCATGCTGATGGGTGTGTTTGTGCCCCCCGTCCCTGGGAGGGTTAGAGAGCGGGAGTGCTGATGGGTATATGGGTGTAGGATTGATGGCGCGTTCCTACCGTGGTCGAGTAGGCTGCTGGAGGTCCTGCTAGAGCGATATCCACTGCCCGAGGGCGTGGCGCCGATCCCGAAGGAGGTGCTGCTGCCGCCAAAGTGGGTGCTCGAGCTGGCCGAGAGTGCGCCGGGGTGGTGCCGGTGGCGGCGGGCGTGGAGGAGGAGACGCATGTGCCACGGCCAGGCGCACTCGTCGGGGTGCTCAGCGCGAATGACAGAGTCACCCCCGAGACGCACTTCCAGGACGTGCGGCACATCAAGATCACGCTGCCCACGCCCGTCTCCTACGCACCGGGCGACACCATCTCCCTACTGCCCAAGAACCACCCCGACGACGTGGCCCACCTCCTCGAGCTGCAGTCCTGGCAGTCCATCGCCGACCGCCCCTCCAGCTGCTGCCCAACCCTGCCGTCCCCACCGCCGCGCTCCCGCCATCACCGATACCAAACCCCGTGTCCCCGCTCACGCTCAGAACGCTGTTGACCCACCACGTCGACATCACCGCCATCCCGCGCCGCTCCTTCTTCGCCACCATCGCGGCCCTCACCACGGACGACACACACGCAGAGCGCCTCCGCGAGTTCACAGACCCGCAGTACACCGACGAGCTCTACGACTACACCACGCGCCCACGGCGCAGCATCCTCGAGGTGCTGCAGGAGTTCTCGACCGTCGCCATCCCCCTCGATCGCATCCTGGAGGTGTTCCCCCCGCTGCACGAGCGCCGCTTCTCCATCGCCTCGCCGCCAACGACGGAGCCAGAGGTCGAGATCCTCGTGGCGGTCGTCAAGTACCGCACCATCATCAAGAAGATCCGCGAGGGCGTGTGCACGCGGTGGCTCGCGGCGCTAAAGCCCGGCGCGGAGGTCACCGTGGCTTTCCAGCGCGGGGGGCTGGGCGATGCGGCGGGGAGGCCGGCGGTGATGGTGGCGCCGGGGACGGGGGTTGCGCCGATGCGCGCGCTTGTGGGTGCGCGGCGGCGAAGGGGAGGGAGCGGGGGCGCTGCTGTTTTTCGGGTGTAGGAATGAGGGGGCGGACTTTTTCTTTAGGGGTGAGTGGGAGGCGCTGGAGGAGAGGGGCGCGGTGAGGGTGTTTACGGCCTTCTCGAGAGATCAGAAGAGTAAGAGGTATGTGCAGCATGTGATCCGTGAGAGGGGGGAGGAGGTGTATGATGCGGTGGTGAGGAGGGGGGCGTGGTGTATGTGTGTGGGAGTAGTGGGAGGATGCCGAGTGCGGTGAGGGAGGCGCTGGTGGAGGTGTTTGAGAAGTGGGGGAGCATGGGGAGAGAGGAGGCGGAGGAGTTTCTGAAGATGCTAGAGACGGATGGGAGGTGGAGGCAGGAGACGTGGGGATAGCTGTAGATAAATAACACTAAGGTCACATAGAGTACATAGCTTAAGAATTGCTTTATTGTAGTTATTCCGGTGAGAATTCCTTTTGTAGAAAAAAAGCCACCCTCATCCACATACGAGGCCAATGCATATTTCTCAAGCCTTAGCATCCATTACCAACGTAAAAGCTGGCGGGGTATACCTACACTCTCAGAACTTTACTTTGTGGAACTTTCATATTTCAGCGCTGATGTAGAAGGTCAGTGAAGTTTAGCATTTGCTACATGCGATGTTTTTGTACCAGTAATCGATGGCTGGAGGTCTTAAAGGCTGTTGGCGATTGATATCCCGCTATCTAGAGTATGAAAGGCCTCCAAGAAAGGTGGCCGATACTCTCTATTTCTCGGATAAAAGAAGACCAGAGAGGTGATGATTGGATCAATTCGGTGTAACTTTATAGGATCTCGGAACTAGCACATATGATTAACTGGCTGCAACCACGTAGCTGTCCTATTCAGACATCCTGCTCTATAACGCACCCTAAGAACACTATTCCTTGGGCGTAATAATACATGTATGTACGAATCCAGGCGCCAGAATCATGATGCATCACTCGGGTTCAATATCGACAGGAGTCTAACTACGTGTATTCGCCGTGTGAATTTCAATATGTCGGCTTGGTTTGTGCTCCCGCCGCTGAATGTTGGAATGATTGGTGCTTTGAACAGTGGGGGGTTGGTTAGTGTTTTCGTTGTTATAAAAAGGCACCACTACATGTAAATACATGTAGCTTTAGATACATGTAGTCCACGTAGTCTGTCTAAAGGTTTGACAGACTGACGGTTAGAAAGGTCCCACATTCCAGCAGTGTATATAGAGGACAGTTAACTATTAAAGAATTAGGGCTCCCGCGTACGTATACGCCCTCCGTACTGAATCTTGCTGTCTTTTATCCTTGCAATGGCGCCAGATAACGATATTACACCTCCTACCATCCAGCCAAGGGCCATACCCCACTCCTCCCCCCGCCGGCCACATCGCAACTCGTGATCAATTAAGCAGACATATATATCCATCCCCCTCATATCATCTCCACCCAGCTCCCCTCAGATCTCCTCCCATTGCTTAATTAACCGTACCCGATCAAAGATGCCACCCACCGACAGCACCCACCCCCCATTCCAAATCTACCGGCACTCCAGGTTGACTCCCACCGCCCCCACCCCCCTTCCCCCCACAGCACAAGCCAGACTAACCATCCCTTACAGCATCGGCAGAGCACTCCTAGAGACTCTAAACCGCGCATGGTTCCGCACCACAATGACACCAGCGATGGCGATGAAGGTGATGACGAACTTTGACTTGGTGATAACACGAGTACTAGCTGAGATGGCGCGCGCGAGCTTGGAGCTGACTGTATGTACTACATTACTGGGGGGGGAAGGACGGTGCTAGGTGCTATGGGGGGGCTGATAGTCGGTGTGTAGGCGCATCTAAGTGCATACACGTATTTGGACAATGTGTGGTGTTTTCAGTTGGAGCGTGTGAGGCTCACGCTGGATCCGAGGGAGGGGCCGGTGAAGCCGGTGCGCGCGGGGAGGTTGTTGGTTATTGCGCAGAATGCGGATCCGCAGGGGAGGATTAATAGCTATGTTGTGGTTTTTGGTTCGTCGATAAATGGGGCCGGGGATCTATGGTTGCTGTATGGTATGAGCGATGTCTGCATAAACAATGCACATGTATGCGTAGTATCGGTTATGAGGAGCAGAAATGTGGTTGGGTTCCTCAAAAACTCAAGCACAAATAGTAGATTCACAAAAAGGGTTAGCGCCATTAGTAATAAAACTTGGGTGCTACTAATCTCCAAGACTCTGCGACATCATTGGCTAAAGTAAGATCGTAACAGCGTTTTCTTATATGCAGTACTTTTCGGTGTACCTACATCTATCTCGATCCTTTCTTCCGTCAATTATCCGATCAAAACGATCCTTGTTGCTTCTTCCCAAACTAGAACCCATGTCCACCACCACCACAGCCCGCAGCAGCAGTGCGCTAATAAACAAAGCGCGCCAAATCCACGCAACACCATCAAATACCTGGTTTCGTGGTGTAGTTGGTTATCACACAAGTCTAACACACTTGTGGTCCCCGGTTCGAGCCCGGGCGAAATCATCTCTTTTTTCCTCTACTGCCTGTCTTGGAGGTGGTAGGGTGGTTGTTTTGTTCTGTTGCACGGGTAGGAGGATTGGTCAGTGACGTCTCCTATCAAGGTTGATTTTTTGTTTCTGGTCCCCAAATTTCACTCTACATACAGGACCCCTAGAGACGCTTTGGAGAGAGTGTGTAAATTTACTACCGCGACTAACTACATACTTGTTGGATATGCGCCGAAAACGATTATTGAGGGGCTGCAGTTTTGATATCAGTTAGGCTTGGTATAGATGTGCGTGTGTTCTATTCTAATTTCTAGCAAAGACCCCCAATGGCTCTGGAGAAGTAGTGGCCCTGAATATCTTCTTCCCATCACGCCCTAGAACTTCCTCACTCCGACTCTCCCCCCACGTGACCCTCGACCGGGTAATGCACTTAACACGCCAACGTCTGCCGCGTCCCTCGCGTCAAACCAAATCCACGCAACCTCACAAGAGAAAGAAAAGAAAAAAAAATGTCTTCAAACAAAGGTCCGTCTCTCCATCGACCTCTCCCATTGCAAACACTCCCATACCATATACTAACCATGTAGCTGTATACACATAGATATTGTTTGGCCTCCCCAAACAACCGAAGATGTGCTGATGCTAACCCCGCGCAAACACCGTCCCGAAGCCCCCTTCTCCCCTCGCCCCTCCGCAAAAACTCCCTCCCCTCGCCCTTCGACGGCGCAAACTCCGACGCCTCAGACGACGATGAGGACGAAGACGAGGAGATGCTGAAGCTGAAGCTCGCAGCGCTCGAGGCGAAGCTGAAGCTGAAGCAGCTGCAGAAGCGGCGGAAGGCCGCAGAGGGTGGGGCAACCGACAGTGCACGAAAACCCAGTACTTCCTCAACTAGAAACCGCTCAGGGTCACTCGTGCAGGTGCCGCAATCGCCCGTCAAGAACGTAGCTGCGAGGAACACAGACCCGCCGATGCCCAAGTCGCCGAGCCGGGTGCTGCTGGGCATCGACAAGGGCCTGCGGGGCGCAGACGTATCGCTGCGGCGGCCGCCGCCATACAGGGCCGTCAACACGCGGGCCACGTCGCCGTCCGAGCAGCCGCGCAAGACGTACAGCGAGCGCATTGCGGAGGAGCGGGCGAAGGAGAAGGCCAAAGCGGAGCGGCAGAAGGTTGTCGAGAAGTCGCGGTCAATGGGGTTCAACTTTGATCCTATCGCTACCACGTTTACCGCGGGGGGTAGAGGAGGAGGAGGGACGGACCCGTTTGTGGAGGCGTCGCGGGCGCCGACGGTGGCGCTGGAGAGTACGGAGCCGACGGAGACGGGCGGGTTCGATAGTTTTTCGGGGCTGCATTTGTCGTCGAGGTTGATACCGCATTTGACGTTGACGAGGCATCTGTCGCCGACGACTATCTACCTGCTCCCTAATCTGCTCAAGGAGGTGAAAGGCCCCGACTTTGAGCCCCCCGATATCGAGGGCGACTGGGTCGTGCTAGCAACCATCTGCTCCAAATCCGAACCGCGCGAGGTCGGGCAAAACACCAACTCCAAGAAGGGCACCGGCAAATACATGGTGCTCACGCTGACCGATCTCAAGTGGGAGATTGAGTGCTTCCTGTTCGGCAGCGGCTTCGACAAGTTCTGGAAGCTGCCCGTCGGCGCCGTCGTCGCCATCATGAACCCGGGCATCATGAAGCCGCGCATCGCCGACACGGGGCGCTTCTCACTCACGCTCAACGACTCGAGCGACACGCTGCTCGAGATTGGGCGCGCGCGCGACCTCGGCTTCTGCAAGGCCATGAAGCGCGATGGCAAAACGTGTGGGAGCTGGGTGGATAAGCGGCACACGCACTACTGCGCGTTCCACATCGAGGCGGGCGTCAAGAAGGCGCGTGTGGGCCGCGCCGAGGTAAACTCGATGGGGAAGCTCTTTTCGCCGCCGAGGAAGGGGAGCGTCCGCCCGCGGCGATTTATCGGTGGGAGGGGCGGCGGCGGTGGGGGTGGTGGGAGGGATAATGGACTGCTGCATGAGGGCGCGCTTACGGATCTGCCGCAGCGGGCGGGGGGCGCGGGAGGGAAGGTGTTTGTGGCGCCGAGGAGATCGGCGACGAGGTTGCTCGATGACGAGTATGATGGCATGCATAGGGGGAGTCGGGAGGAGAGGCTGCAGAAGCGCCTTGCGGAGGCGGAGAAGGAGAGGCAGATGACTAGGCGGATCATTGAGAGCCAGGGCCGCGATGGCGGCGTGGGTGTGGACTATCTTAAACTAAGCGTAGATAGGTTTGATCTCAATTCAAGAGTAAGCGCTCCTTGTCCTTCATTTCTCTCTCTCGAATGGAAAAACTAACAAACTATAAAACCCAACAGCCATCAACAGCAAACTCTGTCAACAGCTCACAGAATAACACATCAGTGGACAGCCTAACATCGCTGCTTCTCCGCTCCAAGGGCGTGACAGCGCAGTCGGTCTCCCTGAGCCCCATCAAGCGCAAACGGCCCGAAAGCCAGATGAGCAGAGACATGAGCCCTGAGAAGGGCGCAACGAAGAGGACGAGGTTCGCGCTGCCAGGGCTGGAGAGCACCTTTCGCGACGACCCGTTTGTGAGAGATGTCGACGAGGATGATGATTTGATTATTATTTAGTCTTTTTTTTTCTTCTTTCTTTTTTTTTCTTTTTTTATTTGAAAAGGGCGTTTGATACCATTGGTTTTTTTCAGTTCTTTTTGTTTTTTACTTTTCTGGGTGGTCGTGAGGTGGAAATAGATTCTTAAGTATTCTAGTCTTGGTGGTTTGTGGGTTGTGGTTAGAGGGCGCGCGCGTGCACGTACGTGGTGGGATGGATGGGCTCCTTTTCTTAGTCCTGATAATTCGTTACTACTCTGGCCGTTGCCCTGGCGGTGATGGGGAGGGGGAACGGTCCGGGGGAGAGGGGGGGGGGGGGTTATTAGTACTACATGTAAGTACCTAGGCAGCTCTTTATATATATTCTTATGGAGTACACACATGTACTAGTTAGTAGTCCGGGTTACGTTACGTTCAAGAAGGGGCCAGTCTTTATCATATCATATCCTTATAATATTATTCTCGTGCCTACTAGCTAGTAGTTTGTTGCATTGGTTGAATTGAAATTAAATGAAATCTAATTACTGGATTCCAATCATTTCCATCTCCCCTTTCTCCTTCTTCTTCTTCTTCTTCTTCTTCTTCTTCTTCTTCTTCTTCTTCTTCTTCTTCTTCTTCTTCTTCTTCTTCTTCTTCGTCTTCTTCTTCTTCCTCCTCATGCATGCATGCATGCAGGCGGGGCACATATATTTCCCTGTAGCTCCCGATTTGGCCATGTCTATCTACAACACCGACGAACGGCCGCCGCTCTTATATAAGTGGATGCCCAACATTTAATGGCGACGACACTAGCACTCTCTCCGGGCACCTACCGTTGAACGGGAACAACCCTGGCCCTGAGGGCAATCAGACTTGCAATGTTTACCCCACCAGCGAACGTTTTAAACCTCCAGTCACCGACAACAGATGCGCTGCTCCTCTGATGTGCACCCTGCGCCGCCGCGGCGGTAAATGGCCTTTACTGCTCATCCTATGGAGCAATTGGCTGGAGAATGGCCTTTCACTTAGAACAACAAGTTTATCGAGAAAAAAATATATATATATAAAAATCTTTATGTGCCATACCGGCCGGAGTCTCTATCTAAAACAAAAACCAAAAAAAAAAACCAAAAAAAAAAAAAAAAGATCAAAAGATCAAACCTGTCAGACCTCCATCCCCACCCACCCCGATCTCCAGCTCCCCAAAAGGAAACAAGTGAAGACAAGGGTCGAGATCATAGCCACCACCGCACGAAGCAGAGGCAAAAAAAGCGGCATCACTCTTGGATGGGGAGGATAAACCTCATCCCCCAGGTTGGAGATTTCTGTGGCTCTGGTAAAGAGTTCAGATGAGGCGATTTACTATAGAAATGATCCTATGAAGTAAAATCGCATAGTGAGAGAAAGAGGGGAGCGGGGGGAGCGCCCAATTTATACTGACTGGAGGTGGCGAAATTTGTGGGCCTTGGCTTTTTAGATTATGTTATCACGGTTGTGACCACTGCTTTTGGCCGACAAATTTTTCTTTACTTGACGGGAGACCCTATGCCCTGTTCCACGATTCATGTCCTAGCGCTTTAACTGAGGTTAGAAAATATCATCTTGAATTTCCCGTGGGGACAAACTCGAAGGCTGAGCTCTTTGGCTGTCCAAAAAAAACGGAGGCAGCCGGGCCTACCAGGTTTGCAACCGTAAAAGGAGCCATACCAATCCAATCGGTTCAAAAGGTGAATAACTTGCGACAAAACAAAAAACGAATCCTGGAAGATCCAGGTTGAATTAATGGTTCCAGAGGGGGTCGAACCCTCGACCTTGGCGTTAACATTTTTCAATATTAGCACCACGCGCTAACCAACTGAGCCATGGAACCGTGGTTTCAAAACAAACTTTTGAATATATAAACAATTATCATCACAATCTCTCACTCGGTTTAAGCAGGTTTATGGCGGCAAGCGAAGTCTTACCAGCAATCACGGCCTCCCACAAATTCGTTTTTTTTCTACTTTTGGGCCATGCTGGTTTAAATCAAAGCAGAGTTCTCTATACCTCTGTTCAGGGTTCTCAGAGGCTTATCATTAGGCAATACTTTGGTTACAGAGACCAAACCCGTTATTTGGATTCCACTAAGAAAACTCTCGCACAGAGCTCTACTAGCGATGGCGATTTTAATATAGATCATGTGACCCATGCTCTCTCAAAACCCACACCAGACGGTTGTGACATGATCTATATTAAAATCGGCATCGCTAGTAGAACATGCACCCTACAAACTGAGCAGAATCCAAGTCGCTCGAAGATGTCTAGAACTGGGTTCAACTCTCAAGTTGAACACAACCCCATTAAAAGGCGGACACGCCGGCGATGATAGCGATCTGAAAAGAGGTCGATTTTGCATGCACACATCCGGCACTAAAATGCGTATCTGGCCAACTACATATATATGTATGTACCACTCCCGGTCATCGTCAGCCCATCTTTAGCCTTCTGAATGGCTCAATCACAGACTACGAAATTCATCGACTCATAGGGGTGACGGAATACGGGCGCGGCGATGTTCGTCCGGGGATGGTTTGGTCCCGAGTTATGTTTAGTCCCGAGTTATGTTTATGTTTAGTCCCGAGTTATGTTTATGTCTAGTCCCGAGTTATGTTTAGTCCCGAGTGATGTTTGCTCCCGAGTGATGTTTTATGATCCGCTCCAGGTTCGTCTTGGAGGGTAATAGTGGGTAGTCGGCCGCTACGAGTTAATAGTACCACAAGGTATAACTACTACGTAAGGCTACGTAATCTAGGCGTGATATATACATCGGAGCCGGTTACGGAGTCAGGAGAACCACGGGAGGCGGTTATATGGATATCATATATCGTACTCTGACCTTAGGGCGGCTTGAAGACTTGAGCTCTCGCCACATACCGTAAGTCCGAGTACGGTGTGCGGGCTTCTAAATCTATGCGAGGTAGAGCAAGAGTGCTCGCCGCCTCTCTCACGAAGAAACGTAGGGTTGACCGCTTCTCCGTCCGGATATTTGAAGGCTTTTCCGCACATGCGCATAACTCCCCGGCTTTGCGCAGGGTAGGTGGGGGGATATCTGCGCGGCTCATAGTTTGTTCCGCGCATATACGCATACCCGGTCCGCCGCAGTCTTCTAGAAAACTAAATAATTTCCTGGTGCGCGGACAGAAGGGAGGCGTGGTATGAATTTGTGGCAAAACGCACAAGATGGCTCTGGGCAGGTTTTGAAAAATCGGAGAGGCTAGATATCAGGCACCCTCGAAGTTAGAACAGAGGACCCTTCCACAAGTAGATCTACCTAACTCACCGAAAGTACTTTAGATTCCGTGATATCCACGGTCCGCTAGCTCCCCTTTCCTTAAACAACCTAGCCAAAGCCAAAGCTCGTTACAAGCCCGTAACAAAGCTATATTTTCCGTGGAGAAATCTCTTCAAGGAGAATCCCAAGCATAGCAGCGGTGCCTTTGACCAGTCATATGGCCAGCATCTGTTCTCTGCCCGCCAGTGTGTAGGTCTAGATGGGACGGCACAAGCTTCATGTGTCGGTTTGTGATCTCGGTTTTGATGTCTCGCTTGAAGTTCCCCCAGCGATCAATTCTAAGCCTCGAGGGAATTGGTCGCAAGTAGCGCTGTGAAGGGCTTTCTTAGCCCATGCCGTCTGGCCCGTGCTCCCCGTGGTGCGAAGGCTTGTCCTTCTGGGCGAAGAAGGCATCCGTGTCCGTAGACGACGTCGAGACGGCATGTGCCGCATTCGCGGGGAGAGGGAATTTGTAGAGCACCAAGACCATCGATATGAACACCTTGGAGTCTGGGTGATGCACTGTGGTCTTCTGACCATCTCGGGTATCCAATTGATTTGAACGTGTTCAATTGATCAAATGAGTATGAGATAGTATCATGGAAAGGCCCAATGTAGGAATTCCAAAGCTCTGGTCTCTTTAACGCCGTTGAAAAGATGACGCCTTTGAGTGTAGATGGAGTTTAGTCATGCAAAATCCTCCTCGTCTCCTTCTGGATACTTTCTGAAATCTGATATCATATGCCAGCAAGCATCACATACTATATTTCACTCTATCTAGTCTAGATCCCCCAAAGGTGCGTAACCTACGCAGACAGGGGACCTCAAATTGGTGAGAACGACAAATTCTTCCATGTGATATTTGGCAAAAATCGATCCCGGTCTACTCTAGGGTATGGAAGATTCTATTCCCCCCTCCAGCCCGCGGAAAGTGCGCTAGAACATCATTTTTCTGCCTTGCGAGCAGAGCACCGGGAGCTGGAGAAGTGAAGGGGCACTCTGTTCTCCTCGGGGGGCACAGCATCTCGAACCCCCACGCCCCCAATCCATGGGGTTTGTTGGAGTGAGAGGATTTTGCTTGTGATTGTTTAAAGCTTTATATTAACACTCGCCGGCGGTTCAATTGTCGAATAGAGTTGTTATCGTACCTGAAGCACGAGAATTCAAGCACCCCCACCCCCACCCCCGGCTTCCACAACACCATGATGACGATAACAGGGATCGCCTAAAAAAGCCTCTGCTAGTCCCAACGTTAATCCGTAGATCTCGTCTGCAAATTTGCGCATCTAACGCTCAAAATTGAAAAATTCGTTGCCAAGCCACGGTTCTGTTGGGGATATCACGGAACTACCCCAGCTACTCATGCAGCTCATCGCACAATTCGCAATTGCTGGGCGATGGACATCGATGATGTATGCATGCACGTCACGAGATGAGGGGCCCTGATGAGGGGGAGGGGCTGCTTTGGACTTTTCGTAGAGCAGTTGACCCCGCAGCAGCAGATTGTGATTAGTTGGCCGCAATTGCAATTACTAGTTAGGTGGCTTTTCTATATAACTGCTCTCAATTCCTACCTTGGAAGGGTTCTTCTTCTTCTCTCCACCAATCCTCATCGCCAGCTTCGACATCTTTGCTTCTGTCAATTGTAATTGATTAGCCATATCCTTCTTTTTAGCACACTCCCTTCCATCTTCTCAAACCCATACTAACATTTCCCACAGCGCAAACAAAAAACAAACAGTATGCATATTTCACTACGGGAAACATGGCATCTTTCACAATATTATTATCTTTAAAGAGTCAAGGTAAAAGTATTCAAAGCATGACGGGTGTTCGGCCACAGCACCCCTCTTCCCCCTTCCCTCCAACTCAGAGCAATTATAGCTCTGAGAGAGGGGAGATGAAGAGGGATCTGCTGTGGCCGTTCTGAGATTATACCGTTAAATGGACTTGATCTAGATAATACTAGCGAAAGAACATGCTTCCCCCTCCGTTGCTTTTCCGGCACCAAGAGCGCGAAATACTGACCTTAGCCCCCGCTATAGAACTCATAAAGTATCATTTATACCATGTCTCCCCCAGCTGCCGTCATGCCCGCCCCCGTTGAGGCCCACCGCTTCGAGCACCCCTCGACTTTTGTCCAGGATGCCGCCCCGGCCACGAAGGCCGGCGAGAAGGTCGACAAATGGGCCGACTTCAAGTTCGAGCACATCCGTGAGTCCACTGTGTCTCGTGCTATGACCAAGCGCTACTTCGAGGACCTCGACAAGTACGCCGAGTCCGACGTTGTCATTATCGGTGCCGGATCCTGCGGTCTCAGTGCCGCCTACACTCTCGCCAAGGCCCGCCCTGACCTTAAGATTGCTATCATCGAGGCCGGTGTTGCTCCTGGTTAGTCCTCCCTCTATATCCCATTGACTCTAGAGTCCCCCTGCTAATCCATATATACGTAATAGGTGGTGGTGCCTGGCTCGGAGGTCAGCTCTTCTCCGCAATGATCATGCGTAAGCCCGCTCAGCTCTTCCTTGAGGAGATCGGCGTTCCCTACGAGGAGGAAGACACCTACGTCGTCGTCAAGCACGCTGCCCTCTTCACCTCCACTCTCATGTCCAAGGTTCTCACCTTCCCCAACGTCAAGCTCTTCAACGCTACCACCGTTGAGGACCTCATCACCCGTATCGACCCTGCCACCGGCAAGATCCGTGTTGCGGGTGTTGTCACCAACTGGACCTTGGTGTCGATGCACCACGATGACCAGAGCTGCATGGACCCCAACACCATCAACGCTCCCATCATCATCTCCACCACTGGTCACGATGGCCCCTTCGGTGCCTTCTCTGTCAAGAGGCTTCTCTCCATGAACGCCATTGAGAAGCTCGGTGGTATGAGGGGATTGGACATGAAGTTGGCCGAGGACGCGATTGTGAAGGGAACCAGGGAGATCGTCCCCGGTATGGTTGTCGGTGGTATGGAGTTGTCGGAGGTTGACGGTGCTAACCGTATGGGACCCACCTTTGGTGCCATGGTATGTGTATCCTTGTTGTTGTTGTCACTCGTTGGTCTGCTGAACCATATGCTAATGATGTGTTTGTTAGGCTTTGTCTGGTGTTAAGGCTGCCGAGGCCGTTTTAGAGGTCTACGACGAGCGTGTCAAGCAGAACATGGAGTAAATCACAACCGCTTGAGGTTTTTATTTGACCTGATCCTTGATGGATCGGTCCTGGGAAATTGGTTGATATTTTTTTTTATTATTATTTGGTATCTGGTTTGGTTATTATTGAGGGAATTTATTTTTTGTAAAAAAAAAAAACACAAATATATATTTTTACTGCGTAAAACTGAAGCTCTTCAATATATATATGTGCTGTAATATTGAGATGTCATGATGATTGACACAATCTGTTTCCCAGGGTTGACGGGTATCTCGGTTCGGATTATTAGTGACTCACTAATCTTTCTTTGGACTTCTCCCGCATTCTTAAATTTCGAATTCGATGGCTATCTTCTGGGCACCGTGTCAGTTAAAAAGCGGGGGGGGAGAGAGTTTTAGCTCCTATATTAACCCACTCGTTCCACTCCACAGCTCGGTATCATCCGCGATTGCTATATCCCACCACAAGCTCTATATCCTACCACAAGTCAGTAACCCCACCACAACCACAACCACAACCCACCCAAGATGCCCGCAATGTAACCCCCCTTCCACTCCCCGCCCTCCCCACCACTAACACCTCCAGGCTCGACGACCCCACCGCCGCCACCCTCCCCACCCCAACCCCCACCTCCCTCCCCGCCCCAGTACCCGTCACCCTCCGCGACGGCACCCCCGCAACCCTCTACCCCATCTTCGCCCCCTCCTTCCTCCCCACCTCCCTCGTCACCTTCCTCGCCGCCCAGTTCAACGCCGAGATCGCCCGCGGCGACACATATCCGCACGACCAGCCGCTCGCGGCGGACCACTTCCGCGAGTACTGGTTTGGCGCGTTTGGCGCCGTCCTCCTGACGGGTGCGTATGAAGAGGGCGTGCTGGAGGATGAGGGGAGGGACTGGGAGAGTGTGTGTTTGGGCACGTTTTATGTGAAGCCGAATTATCCGGGCAGGTGTGGGCATGTGTGTAATGCGGGGTTTTTGACGGTGCCCGCTGCGAGGGGACGTGGGTGTGGGAGTGTGATGGGGAGGGAGTATTTGAGGATTGCGAAGATGCTGGTGAGTCCTCTTTTTCTCTCTCTCTCTGGTGCGGTGTTGTGCGGCGTTGTGGGGTGCGGTGTGCGGTGTGCGGTGTGCGGAGGGGGCTGACGGCGGAGGGGGCGGGGCGGGGATAGGGGTACACATACTCGGTGTTCAACCTGGTGTTTGAGACGAACGTGGCGTCGCTGCGCATCTGGGACGGGCTGGGGTTTGAGAGGATTGGGCGGGTGAAGGGTGCGGCGAGGTTGAGGAGTTATCCAAGGAGGATGGTGGATGCGTTTATGATTGGGAAGGAGCTGTAGGTGCTGGGTGGTTAGTTGGGGAGTTGGCGGGGAGTGGGGAAATGGGTGTGGAGATGATGGGTGGATGGATGCTGCTCCTGGTATTGTTCTTGATGTAGATGGAGAGTGTCGATGGTGGGAGTACTTTGTGGTGATGAGATGTGTGTGTTTGAGTCTGGGCTGTCAACGGCCAGCCAGCCAGCGAGAGTAGCTAGCTAGGGGCAGAATCGGAGGTCTAAGTAGAAAGCTTACCACTCCAAACTTTAAATAGCGGCCCAATCCCATGCGCGCACCTTCTCTTCTCTACTCTTTGAAATCGAGATTACATGATGCGGCTCTCTCCACTCCACTCTCTCCGCTACATAGCTCTCCCACGACAATTGGCAGCCATTCATTCGCGGCCAATAGTTAAGTAGAGTACTCTAGGGTACATGTAGCACAACATGTATTGTTGATGTATTGGCCGATATTAATAGCCCCGCGCTGCTCGTAACGCCCAAAACAGAAAACTATTCCTGCCAGAAGATGAGTAAGCCGACCGACCGAGTGATGGCGCGTGAGCCGCCGGCCTGGCCGGTCCCAGAGGTTGTGTGTGAAGTAGAGTATTAATAACCCGCGACCACTTCATGATTCACTCGAGAGGTGGGATAAAGATAAAGCCTTGAGTTCAGCCTTGTAATGACTACTACTTGGTTATCTACATGTATGTCTATACCTACTCCCCCCCCTCCCGCTCGGAAGGAGGTAGCCGTCCTGCTACATACATACATAGCGTAGAGTAGATAGGTACTTCTTGTGTTTCATTCCGACCTGGGTATTGGTTGTACTCTACGGGCTACCCACTTGTAGGTACTCTACTTCTTCACCCACCCTGGCCTGCCTAGCCAGCTCTGCAGCAGATACATAGAGCAAGCTTTCTGTAGAGTAGCACAACGCAGCACAACGCAACGGCCGGCGCAGACCCAATCCCCAATCCCAGAAACCGGGCAGCGGGACCCATCATTGGCAAATTTCATGCAATGGGAGAGACGGTCTTGTCTCTGAGTCTCTTGTTCTTTTTTTTTTGTAATGTACGGTGCTCTATTTATGGATGTATTATTCCTATTCGGGGCTACTTTTCTGGCCCGGCGCGGCTATTTTGCTTTTGCTCCCTTTCTCTTCATGAAGTCATTGCACGCACTTGCACATGTAGCTAGAGTAACCTAGGCAGAGTAGGCAGAGTAGAGCATGATGTGTGTAGGTAGGGCCTGGTAGGCAGACTGGACGATAAAGTCTCGCCAGTCGGCCAGGCCGTATATCCGGGCGCGGCTTGCTTCGGCCAAACAACAACTCTAATCGTTTATACATAGATAACGGTTGCACTCTGATTCGATCATTCCTGCTCTCTCTTTCACTTTTATCAAGGCAGTGCAGTGCAGTCTGGTGCGGGGAAGGTGGAGGGAAGGGAAGAGGCTCTTAAAGCCCTTGGACGGAACGAAGGCAAGGCAAGGGAATTAAATAAGAGTGTGTGGTAGAAGAAGAGGCTTCAAGAGACAGGAACCCCCAGCCAATCTGTAACGCGTTACACAAGGCCTAGCACAAACACGGCTGTGTTTGGCGAAGCGTGGGCGATCCGTAGGCTAGGCTGGGCAGTGGGTAGGGTAGGGTATGTAGGTACTCTACTTAGGGTACGGTTGTTAGCTACAGTACTGTAGGCGAGGTTCGTTTGTTTGCACGCTAGGATTATATTAAGCTTAACGAGGCCGAGGGGAGGAGTGTGCTTTTCAATCGACAATGTCAAAGGGAACAAAGAGGATGTTCTTTTGGGCGGTGGCTGGCTGGGCTGGGCTGGGCTGGGCTGGGCTGGGCTGGCAGCAGCTGGCTGGCTGGGCTACTCTACATAGAGTACATAATAGAGGTGTAAAATTCAAAGAGAGGGACAGAGAGGCACGAGAATGGGTGAGTGACTCTCTGTGCGACGCTGTGCAGCGCCAGACATACGATCCGGCAGGGATTGGGGGGGGACAATTTAACCAGCAGAGTAACAAACACTGTGTTACACAGCGCCAGGCCCTGCCGTGATAGGCCAATCCCTCCCCAAAATCCCCACCAGTGCTGTAAATACGAAAGGGAAAAGAAAAGTGCAGTTGCTGCTGCTGTTCTGGGTGCAGGTGTCCTTACTCGAAATTTAATAAAAGCCTTGTGGGATACATCTCAACTTGTCTTGGAAATCTCCCCTTTTTTCGGCTTCTGTGTCTTTCCTTCTTCCTCTCCTGAACACCCCCCCCCCCCACCACCACACTGCCTCCTTCTTCCCCTTTCCTTTTCTTCACTTTCTCTTCGTCCATAATAACTAGCTGCGTTCCCGCTGCGTCGTTGTTGTGGTTGTTACCTTTCTCTCGGGACCATCATCGGAGAAAAAGCGACCAGCCCAGAACATCGTGAGGAGAACGGAAAAAAGAAAAGAAACATCAGGAACGGGAAAAAACCATATATCCAAGCATCATTCAGCTCGATACAAAAAAAGGACAGCAGCACTCGGAACACCACATATCATCCACAATGCGGCCATTAACGCTCCTCCCCTCCATAGCGTTGCTAGCGCTCACCGCCTCCGCCGCCTCTCCCAGCGCACCCACACCCTCCGCCGCCGCCGCCGCCGCCGCCTCCGCCTCATCCCCGCCGAACGCCGACGCCCCGCTCCCCACAAACCTCCCCACGCTCCAAGAGCTCAAACGCCGCAGCGGGACCCCCGCCCTGGCGCTCAACAAGCGCCAGACCTCCTGCCCCACGAGCTATGTCAACTGCAATGACGGCTACTGCTGTCCGTCGGGAAACATCTGTATAAGCGGTGGCTACTGCTACGACTCCAGCTAGTCAATACCCCCCCCTCCCTCCCTCCTCCGCATATCTATTTTGATATCTATTGCTGACACTTTTCATTCCCGCCCAACAGCTCAAACAGCGACGCAATGATCTCCTCAATGCTAGCAGACTACACCACCAACGGCTACTACTCCTCCATCTACAACTCCTACCTCTCGCAAATGGGCATCAGCACCGAAGCCGCGGTCCGCACCGGCTCCTCCGCCTCCCCCACTGGCGGCTCCTCCTACTCCTCCTCCGACACAACCTACGACAACACCTACACCGGCTCCTCCTCCTCCTCCTCCTCCAGCACAAGGACTAAGAAGAAGTCAAACACAGGCATGATCGTCGGCATCGTCGTCGCCGTCGTCGCCGTCGCCATAATCGCCCTCGCAGCATGGTTCTTCATCCGCCGCCGCAACAAGAAGCGCGCCGCCGCCGCCGCAATGAACCCCCCGCAGCCGCTCATGACAACCGTCATGCCCCCACCCCCACCCTCGCAGCCGCCGACGCCCGCACCATACAACGGCTACATGTCGCCGCCGCCGCACCCGCCGCCAGTGCAGGACCAGAAGCCGCCCATGGGCGGATACTTTGGTGCCGGGCAGCCGCCGCCGCCGCCACAGGGCGTAGTCGAGGCTGTCGGCGACTCGGCGTACTACCAGCAGCAGCAACAGCAGCAGCAGCCGCAGCAGGATTATGGTCAGCAGTACAACCAGCAGCAGCCGCAGCAGTATGGGCAGCAGCAGCAGTATGGCCAGCAGCAGTATGGCCAGCAGCAGATGTATGGGCAGCAGCAGCAGCCGATGTATTCCAACACGACGCCGAGCACGGTGAGTGCGCAGAGCCCCGGCGTGGCGCCGAGCGAGCTGGGCGGAAGCCAGCATATGATTAGTCCGCAGGTGACGGGGTCGACGACGGCGGGGATGGGCGGGATGGGGGGGCAGCATCAACCACCGCCGCCGCCGCCGCCGCCGCAGGGGAACGTGTATGAGATGCATGAGGACAATTATAGGTCCATGTAGGGGCCGGGTGGAAGCATGGGGTTAGAGGGAAGGGGAGTAAGGGGAGGGCGGGGCCTTTTTCTTTTTTTATATAATTTCGTGACGGTGTATATGTGAATAGGCTATTTTTATGTAGAAGGAACATGGCATTGTTTTTCTTCTGTGTGTCTTTTTCTTTCTTGTTGTTTGGATGATGGATTTGGTTTGGTTGATGCAGGCAGGCAGCGCAGGCAGGTGCGAAGACGATCGCGATACGATACCTAACTTTAACTACATTGCATGCTACTCTACGCGTTATATGTAACTGAGGCCTAGGCCGTTATTCACATGTCTTTTTTCTTTCTCTTTTTTTCTTTTCTAGTTAGTTACCTTTTATTTTTATTTTCATGGTATGTACCTCTGGCTGGCTGTCTAGTCTATTAGGCTGGTTAGCTAGGTAGGCTGGAGGTTGGTCGGTCTGGACGCACATTGGGTCTCGCTGGGGCCCTTAACACGCAGCGCAATGCATTGCGAAGAGAGAGAGAGAAAAAATTTAATTCTTATCCCCCCTACTTACTGCGATTCGGTTCAGTCTGGGTCAGTCTGGCTCAGTTCGGTTCGTTATGTGTACCTGCGTGTGTTTGTCTGTTGTCATGCAAGGGGGAAGTAAAGTGAAGGGAAGGGAAGGAAAGGGAAGGGAAGGTCGAGGAGCCCTATATACCGTTACGTTTCACACGCGCGTGTGGGTGAGTGAGTGAGTGAGTGAGTGAGTGGGTTGGGTGTTCGCGCTCCCACGTGAATGATTTGGTCGGGCCCTGCATGGAGAGGGAGTTAGAGTCTGGCAGACTAGTAGTCAATTCCACGGTCTGTAACGGTAGAGTAGGTTGTGAAGGAGTGTAGTGTAGGGAGCTAGCTAGTCACGCAGTGTAGGTGGAGGTGGGACGTTGTGGAGAAGGAGGTGAGTGTAGAGTGTACCTGCGTCGGATGTATGTAGGCAGGTACGTGAGCATGAGCATGAGCATGAGGTGGTCGCGTAGTTCAGTCGCGTCGCTCGCAGTCAGTCAGTCGGGTCAGGCGTCTGCAGGGGTAGCTACATGTAGCTAGCTAGGCATGAGGTGGTAGAATATATGTACAGCGAGCTTGTTTCGCTTCCTTCCCTCCTTCCTCCTCCCCCTCCTCCTCCTCCTTCTCCTCCGGGGATGCTTTTTTTTTTTTTTTTTTTTTTTGCGCTCTCTAGCTTGGGGGGAGGAAGAAGGGGAGCCGGAGAAAGGAAGGGGGAGGATATTTAAGTCCATGTCGACAACGTTACTGCGGTTTCAGATCGATCTTTGACGTGACGGATCTACAATGCCTACTACCTACGTCTGCTTGCTCTCTCGAGTAGGATAGGATAGGATAGGATAGGATAGGATAGGATAGGATAGGCTACTCTACCCCTACTCTCTCTTCTGGGGGAATGTCGACCCAGGTACAGAAATCACATCCTTTCATATTTCATATGTATCACGGAGTGGGTGATGTACACGTTGTTTCGCTGCATGTTTGGAGTGCGGATGGTGCGGGGGCGGGTGCTGGGCGTGATTGGCGGCGCACGTGGGTGGTGGGTGGTGGGTGGTGGGTGGTGGGCGTGTTCCTGGTAGATATCGATATCGATATCGATTAGATCTTGTTCCTGTTCCTGTTCCTGTTTCCCCTGACCTGGCTGGCTGGATAGATAGATAGATAGATAGATAGAGAGAGCTTTCCCCGTATTTTGTTTTATTTACTGTAGGCGGGCGGGTACGTAGGGCGGATCAGCTCAGATCAGATCTACGTAAGTAGAGTATTACTGATTACATGTATCTAGCATCATATCAGCTCAGCTGTTTTCAGAACCCCTGCCCTGGATCTAATAATCACAATCACAATCACAATCGGAGTAGTAGTCTTAGTAGACCACATCCATCTAGAGTAGAGTAGAGTAGAGTAGTGGAGGAGGCAGCTTGCCAAGGCTCACTTCACTGTCTTACTGCGTTGCGGATCACATCACTAGTGGAGTCGAGTAGCTACTCCCCTCTCTCCGCCGCGGGACCTTGGCAGAACCAAAACAACCCGGCGAGCGAGTCGAACTCTACCAGAAACACCCACACACACCCACACACACGCGTGACGTAAAGAATGCACTGGCCAATGATCGGATATGCACTTACGTGGAGGAGGAGGGGAGGGGTGGGGCGGGGTTTAAATTCTATTTGACAGCCAGCCAGTCTCTCTTTTTTTCCAGTACTCCCAGGCAGGTCTTCCCTAGCTGCGGGCTGGGGGGGCCAGTGTAAATAGGCCACGCAAGTTATTCTACTGGGAGGCTCTCCAATTCGGCTTGTGTTTATTTTTTTAGTCGTTGTTGACAAAAGATCAAGGAAGAATTCGAAGGAGTCTTGCAATGGGTGCATGGTATGTATGGGAGTGGGTAGAGTAGCAGCTTCCGGTACTGGATGTGGATGTGGATGTGGATGTGATGCGTTTGCAATCCGCTTAAGCACCAAGCAACCACCACCCCCCGCAGGAAAAAATACTCGGTTTTTTGTACAAAAGTGTCACATACTTCTTCTCCGCCTGCCTGCCTGCGGAGGGAGAAGGGAGTTAGATGTGAAGTTCGACTTTTTATTTCTTTTACTACTACCACTACTATTGCTATTACTACTACTGTTGCTACTATTGCTACTATTGCTATTACTATTTACTAGTAATACTACTACCGCAACTAGTACTGCTACCGCTACTGTCGTTGCTGCATCTAGTAGTTCATCCCATTCATTCATCGATCGATCATACTGAAAGAGAGAACCTGTTTTTCGTCAGCACTTTTTTCTGCCCTTATCTATTCACGATAGCTCAGCTGCTGCTCCAATCTTACTACTCCGTACATTACATACATTACATAACTCTACCCTATTACTCACCACACCCACCCACCACCCGGACCCGGGCCCAGCCCCCCCCCCCCCCCCCACAAAACCCCTCCCATCCTCCCATATAAACAATCGTGAATGATCCTGCTCGAACCCCGCAAGCTTACAGCACGAGAAGACGACGGGCACGACCGCATATCCCCGACCACGATCATCACTGTATCCGTATTCCTTGCCATCCTCCTCATCCTGCTCCTCGCTGGCATGGTATTCTGCTGGCGCAACCCACATTGGCTGTCGGTGTGGCGGCGGAAGCAACGAGACGACAATGCCACATACACGGCCCGAGCAAAGGGCCTCGGCATCGAGGGCGCCGGAGACCTGGAAGAGTCCAGACCAAACACCCAGAGATCCGATATGAGCTATGCTGATCTTGCACGGGAGAAGGAGCTGCGTAGAGAGGACTACCATACGCCGGTGGTGATGCCGAGCAGAGAGAAGGAGAGCTCGAGGGTGGACGTAACTACTGCTCATGATGCTCAAGCTCATACAACATTTCCAAAGCCCGTGGCGAGCTTGGGAACCCCACGGTTGGCAATGTCGAAGGCGATACGGTATGTCACAAAGGACGCACAATACCTCTCCATCTTCCAAACATTCTCAAAATCGCCATCCTCCGCAAAGGGGACGCCCAAAATTGCCCCGCCGCGCGTGGCACTGCCGCCGCAGCAGCTGTCCCCGCGGAAATACGGCTTCCGCAGTGCCCGCGCCGCAAAGAAGGGACGGACGGGTCCAAAACTATCAATATCAGCTCCAGTATATGGAGATCTCCCACCGCTGACACTGTCACTACCGACAATGACTCTATCGTGGGCAAATTACGAGAACGGGACGGGCCCGAGCCCGGAACCGTCGTCGATAAGTCCCAACCAGTCGGAGCTGGTGTTCACTGACTGTGTGGAGTCGCTGTCGGATGCGGAGGATGCGGAGGAGGTGTCGACGGTGGACTATGAGGCGTTTTCGTCGCGGGGCGGTGAGTTTAGTGATTATCGCCGGGCCAGCAACGGGAAGAGGCTGTCGTTTCATAGCCAGATGAGCGGCGTGAGTATCTTGTCGACGGATACGGGCAAGGTTAGTTTTGCCCAGGTGGCGATGAGGCCAGAGTCAAAACCGACATTGCAGATTATCGGACCGAGCGAGAGCCCAAGGAAGGTGGTTGTACATTATGAATAGTAGGTGACGGGGTTGTGGACTACATAGCTGGTGTCAGGTAAAAAAAAATACCCTGCCGAGTGAGTGGTCATGATTCTGCGGAATGTTCGAGTTAACACATTTCGATTTTTGTGTAACAGGAATCATTCCTATTCTCCAACATTACGATCACCTGAACCAGCTGTTTTCGTCCTAAAAAAACTGTCACCACAGATCCATCAGATAGAATTAAGGTAGGTAGAAAAAACAAACCTACAAATCAAATGACTCTAGGGAGAGCCTTAAACTAACTCGGACAACCAATCAAACAGATTCTACAGATATTCTATTATATATCTCCTTTGTATTTTTTTGTATTATACACATCCGGTACCGGCGTTATGGTTGCGTTTTTTATGTATATTTTCAATATTAGTTTACGGATACGGAGTCTCATGGTCAATCGTTTTTTTTGGGGGTTCATTACATACCACATTAAGTCTATATAACCAACTGCTCATAAGCTCTTTCTCTCTTTCTTTTTTCCTTCTAATTCATGTTTTCTGTTCCATACCAACAAGTCTTCGCATCTTTCCCTCAAGTCTTGTATCGGTATCATCCTGCGATACTGCTACCTCACACTACTGCACCTGTTAGTTATTTCCAAATCAAAATATGAGCGCCACGCCGTTTACAGGCGCCTATCTGCCAGAATTGGGCTCCATGGACATCCTACCACCTCCAATGCTCCCCGTGCCTGAATCCCAAATCTTTGACCCAGCCCGTTTTACCTACCCCCTGCACGTATGTCTGATGCATTCCGGCGGACGATTACCCATCGTTGTCAATATGCGGGCCTATTTCTACACCTACAGCGTAAGCCCCCCAAATCCCCCCCTAGTACCCCTACCACTCACCCACCATAAACAGACCGCCTGCCCACTCATCAAAAGCTCATGGCACACCGCCGGCCTGGACCCCGTCCCCGACTCCGCCCCGCTCATCCTCACCAGCCGCTTCGGCCTCGTCCTCAATAGTAAGAACTTCTGGCGCTTCCACGCAACCAAGGACACTTGCCTCGCGTGGTACGGTGCTTCCTCCATCGTTACCTTCGTGCAGCTCATGGCGGCGAAGCGGGCAACGCTGAGTGCTCACTTCCACCATCTGGGCGTCGCTGCCACGGCCGCATACTTCGCGACCCAGCAGGATGCAGACACCCCGCAGCACCCGGCTTGCGAGGACTTCCCGTGGGTGGGGAGGTGGGCGGCGCTGTATGAGAGGGAGGCGCAGGGGTCGTTGGGGAGGGCGTGGGGCACGCAGGACCCGAGGTCGTACCTAAGGGCGCTGGTGAAGGGGGACGACGAGGAGAGGTTTGAGGAGGACGAGGAGGTGGCGATTGAGATGTATCTAGATAGTGGGGGCGGAAGGATTAGGAGGAATGAGGAGTATCGGGCCATCAGGCAGAGCATACGGGATTCTCGAGCCGCTATGAGAGAAGAGGGGAACAGAGAGCTACTCGTAGGGGACGGACATGAGACTAGGGAGGGTGGTGCTGCTGCCAAAGAGGAGGAGGGTGATAGCTCTGATTGCGATGATGATGATTTCTATGGTGATGATATGAAAGTGGAGGAGGGATAGAGTTCGGTCTGGTCTGGAAACCGGACTGTGTTTTTGCGTCTACTTATTAGTTATAATGTTTCATGGTAGTTTAATGTTTTGTCATTTTTATACTTTGGTGTGGAATAAGGAATTAATTAATTCCCCAACATTCTCTTATCCTGCGAAGCTGTGTTCCTCCGCCGCCACCTTAAATGTGAAGCTGTGACATTGACATGTAGTACGTGCATGGCCAAGACAGAGGCGGGCTTGTTGATACTGTTGACCAGGTCGCGAATTTATAAGAGGCGGAAGAGAATCGAATTGATTGAACTAAAGAAGTAACGAAAGAAGAAAGAACAGACTCCTTTTATAACTAACAAAGTCGTGATAAACACGTATCATCATCAAGATAACCGAGCTCGTTGTCAGTACTTAATATAACAAATATATAGCAAATACTACAAAAACAACAGATATCTCATGTAGCTGTACGTGGCTAGATCTAGCAAAGCAGACCGTACCAATCAACCAACTCCGTCCCCCAATCCTCACGTACCCATTATCTCATCGAACCTCACTCGCCCATTCTAATCCCCACAGCACATGCACACCACGTGCACGCACACTTCTCGCCCTGCATTGCCTCATATACTATCACTCGGTACATCTAGTAGTAGCTTTCGCACCACGCAACGAACCCAGAAGCGTGATCTAGACTAAGAAAAGAAGAAGATACTACTCCTCCCACATCAAAATTCATTGCGCGCGCATTTACTTACTTGCACACCCGACCCAGCCCCCCGGGCCCGTTGATCATGAATTTTCACCCTCGACCCTCGCCTCCTCCCAACCACCCACCCACCAGCCACCACTTTATCGACTTCATATTCATGTGGACTATACTCTATCGGAGACTAGCTGGCAGAGATCAGTACTTCTGGCACCGGCTAACAAGCAGCTAGGATATGCAGTCATGGTGTCACAGAAGTGGTGGAGAATGAATCCTCGGAGTTTCTCATGCCTAGGTTCCTATTAAAGTTCCGGATCTGGTCGTTGTCCCGACTGTTAAGGGAGTCCAAATAAGTTGTCTAATAATATGTAGCTGGGGGATTGCCAAGACCCGAGTGACTCCCGATGTAAAAATTGGATCCGCCAAGCGCCTACAGAATTTCCCCCTCCCCCCTCCTCGGGGCCCCCGGCCCCCGCACGTGAAAAATTCGCGCCCCGTTAGAAACGGGGCTTGTGTAGCAACACACTTCAGAAGTTTTCATGCCAGTAGCAAAAGACTGGTTCCAGAGGGGGTCGAACCCTCGACCTTGGCGTTAACATCTTTCAATATTAGCACCACGCGCTAACCAACTGAGCCATGGAACCGTGGTTTCGAAACAAATTTTGAAATATATCAAAAAAATGATCTTTCATGCTTTCTCACTCGTCTTTATCCGTCTGAGTGTTAAATTTGATGTTCGGTAAACGCGCTCTGCAAGGCGACCATGAGGAGAAGGATGTGGGGATCTTTCTATATATGGTAACGCTAGTGAGTGCTAAAACCAATTTAAGAACGGATATATACTTAAATTAGGAGGATGAAACTGTTCGAATTCCATACCATGTACTAGCTTCGAATTTACTTGTTCTTGTTATAGATTTTGCCGTCATATTGAAGGAAAGAAACCAAATATTCGATCCCACAGCACACCCCGTATGAGAGTATGATCGAGCTACTCAGGCGTTCAACACATCCTACCTGCTGTAGATACTAATATAATCCGTGATATAATCCATTCGCATCATCCAAAGAATATTAATACGTCCAATGAAATCTAGATCCAATCAGCTTGCCACTTTAATTTACTACTGAGTACGCACGCGTATGCACCAACAATACCAGGATTTAATTATGCGAGGGGGGGTTCGATCCACGTCCACAGCTGCAGTCAATCACCCGCGAGAGCTAGCTGTCCGTTTTTGCTGAGCGCCTACTAATTATAAGCAGTTGTTAACCATCGAGGTTTGCGGTGGTGGTGGTGGTGGTGGCGGGCACTCGCCGGAGGTGGGCAGGTTTATCGACCTGGAACCGATCATGAGGACGTTAATTTGCAATATATATAGATACAATATAGATACATAGGCGGGCTTAGGATACGGAATGTGTACTCAGGTTATATTGATCTATTTGTCAAATAGTTTCCTCCAAAACACCACATATCATATACGTATCCATTATGAGCCCCCCAACGACCAAGTAGTCCAAGAGCCACCCCACCACCTCACCTCCCCCGGTCTCACTTCCCACACCCCCCCCCCCCCTCTCCTTCCCTCCCAAAAACACCACTCCCGCCACCATCTAACTCATCTCACTCATCACAATCCATCACTCACTCACCACCACCACCTCCACCACCACACAACACCAAATGGTAACCTACCTCACCACCGGCCTCCCCTCCCTCCTCCCCGCGCGCCTCCTCCGCCCCGACCCCCCCAGCATCCGCCCCCCGCGCGCCACCACGGGCACACGCACACCCACCGCCCCCACCGCCGCCGCCGAACTCATCCTTCAGCCCGTCGAGATTTCCATCCCGCGGCCGCCGCCGCCGCCGCCCCCGTCGGAGCGCACGGGGTGGTGGGGGTGCGTGCTGCGCTGGCTGAGGCTGTATAGGAGGGGGGGACGTATAGTGGAGACGAGGCGCTGCGGTGGTGGAGGGGGGTGGCGGAGAGGGAGGCGGAGGAGAGGGGACCGATTAGATTGGAGTGTTGGAGGTTTTTGCAGGGGGGGACGTTGGGGGAGAGTAGAGGAGGAAGGGGGGGAAGAGGAAGGGGGAGAAGAGGAAGTTATGTTTCGTTTTGTGTACGTTGGATGATCAGTTGCGTGTAATGGTTGTTGGGCTGCAGCTGGAAATTTGGAGACCGGCGCTGGTATGTTGTTATGAATTGTTGAGGATTCGTGGAGCGATATCGCCCGCTGTATAAATTCAAAAGCATAAGTAAAATAAAGGGTTTCTTTTTCTTAGTCTTCTTCCTCAGTTATTACATCGATTTACAATGGTGCCAATGGTTAGTAATACCTTCTTTTCTAGATCATGGGGTATCACTCGGTAGTCATCCCACCGAGTTTTCATGAAGTATCACTCGTTAGGCCTAGCGATATGTGATAGTTCGGAGCTAGAGAGGAAACCATCTGTCACATCTATATGCGTGAGGTTCAACTAACTGGCACCGTATATTTAGTTAACTACTACCGCCTGTGTCATGTACTTTTTATTCCATCCCATCCCATCCCATTCCCGCCCTGCCCTGCCCGACGCACCCCGCCGCAAACCGAAAGCTATCTAAAAAAAAAAAAAAAGCGAAAACATGCAACTAGAAGGGGTATTTATTACCAACAGCTATCATCACACATCAAACCCTAAAAAGCACAAAAAGAAAAGAAAAGAAAAAGCCATCAGCAAAACCCCAACCCCCACTACGTCTCCTTCTTCTTAAAAAAGCTCGTCATCTTCGCCATCCCCCTCGTATTCACCTTCCCCAGGTCCTTCACGGCCTTACTCTTCGACGCCGCCGCCTTCTTCTTCTTCTCATCCTCCTCCTCCTTCCTCCTCTTCTTCGCCTCCTGCACCCCCCTCCCTCTCCCCCCCCCTCCCCCACTCCCACTCCCCCCCCACCAGCACCCACAAAATCCCCACTCCTCAACACCGCCGCCTCATTCCTCGCCTTCTTCACCTCCCCCATGCGCCTCTCCAGCGCCGCAAAATCATACACGCCCCCCAAGTACCCCATCAGCGCCTCCGCATGCCACTTCGCCAAATACGTCCCGCCCAGAAACTCCGCCGCCGTACGCACGCGGAGCACATGCCTCAACCTCTCCTCCTCCACCTCCTTCTCACTCTTCTCCTTCTCACTCTTCTCCTCCTTCTCCCCCGCAGCAACATCCAGCCTCTCCACCCCCTCCACCACCCCCTCCACACCACCCCCCCCAACCCCAGCCCCCCCTCCGCACCACCGCCCCCTCCATACTACGCGGCAACCCCCCGCGAACCATCGCTTCACACTTCCCCGCCAGCACCCCCATCACCCTCCCCACCTCTAGCCGATACGCACCACTCGGCGGTACCGTCGTCTCACACACCGCCCTAACACGGGCTTCAAACACCTCTCTACACCTCGGCACCCTCAGGACCGCCGCCCAATGATACCGGCCCTCATCTTCAGCGTCGGCAAGGGCGTCGAGAATGTCATCGAGCGGCTGGTAGAGGCCGCTGGTGGCCGTGGGCGTGAGTGGGAGGAGGTGCGGGAGGAGGAGGAAGAGTGGGTCGTAGGGGGTTGTGAGGTATAGTGTTGCGTCTGACAGGGTTTGGCCGGTGTTGAGCCATGTTGTGTCGTCGGGGGAGTCGGGGGTGGTGGGGGCGAGCAGCCAGGAGCGCGGGGCGGAGGCTGCGGGGACGATCTTTGTGATCTCATGTAGGCCCGTGGACTCGTGCAGGAGGAAGCGGGTGGGGACTGAGGTGCGTGGGTGCGGGAGGGTGACGATCGTGAAGGGCGTGGAGGTTGCGTTCTTGGGGAGGAGGAAGACTCGCGGGACTTGGGGTTGGGGCGCCATTGTGGTGAGTTTTCGGTTTCGTGGGGTTGGGCAAGCAATTGTGCTGGTGAGGAGAGTCTGTCGATATCTCTCTGCTCGGAGGTTTGGGCTTTGTGGGAGACGCGTTGGGTTGGGCGTTTTGTGGTTACTATGCGCAGATCACTACTGCATTTGGCAAAGACCAGAGCACACCTGCACTGAGGAACGAAACATGATTCGAAGGCCGCGCGAGCCTTCAATTCCAAGTGTTTACTTGCATCTGAAGACTAAAAGACTCAATTCAGCTCCCAATGATCGCTACCGCAAATCTATCGAGATCAGTCAAAGGAAACGCGGTCCTGTGCCAAGAAAGGCCCCCTGCACAAACAGATCCCCATCACAAGAAATCACTCACCCCCGAATCATACACAAAATGCAGTCCACACGCTGTTCAACCCCAACAAGACACAACTACAGCCCCCACCTCACCTCTTCTTCACTCCCTCCAAGCCTTAACGCACCCCATAAGAAGCACCACAAAAAGCGTCACTACCACCGCCGCCGCCAGCCCCATCAACAGAAGCATCACCGCCTGGCACCACGGCATCACCACCTGCCTCCACCCGCAGCCCCTCCGTGTTTCGCGCTGACGTCCATCATCACTATCACTAGGAGCCATGTCAGTCAGTCCGCAACAAGATACACCAATAACACACAACCACATACCTCGCACTCGCCACCCCCAGCAGCGGTCGCAGCAGCGGCCTCAGCGGTGCCGTCTCATCCACGTGGTACGGCGGCGGGATCCCAGACACACCCGGTGTGTCTGGGTAGGTGTAGTTGCGGATATATTGCTGCCTGGGATGCCCACTGTTCTGGCGGGAGCTGCCCGCGAAGCCGGGGGACGAGAATAGGGGTGGGTTGGTGTTGATGGCCTCCTGGAGGGATGCGGAGAGCTCCGGGCAGCTACTGTCGATAGTGGAGACGCTGTGGGAGAGGGAGGAGAGGGAGGAGGATGAGAAGCTGGGGCTGGGGCTGGAGGCCATGGCGGTGAGATGGGTGTGATAAATGGTAGTAGGTATAAGATAGATAGTAGATAGATTATAAACTAGAATGGATGTAGAGAAGGATGCTGCGAGTGGAGTGGAGTGGATGGAAAGAGGAGTATAAGTACACAATTGCAATGATGGCTAGTCCGGCTGGCAGGCAGGTAGATGCCACATCTCTCCTATTGAGCCCAAACGAACACCGACAGATCTCTTGATGAGAGGCTTATAATAACAACACACACACATCCAGACAGAAATACCGCTTTGGTTTAGTTCCGCTTAAGCAAACCCTCAGCCAAACTCAAAGCACCGAATACTTGATCTTTAGCCAAAAATCATAGTTTGGTTAATTTGGGGTCGTTTGTGGGTCGCAATAAATCTATTCACGCTTAATCCAGTGAATTCCATGTGTAGCCTGAAGACAAAAGCCCGGGCTTCTTTTCTCTAAATGTTTTTCCAGAGGAAAGAAACCCCAACAGGCAAAAAAAAAACCCATCATGGAAATGACCCGTATTATGCCCCTGGTTGAAAAGCGCTTTGGAAATCAATTTTTATTTATTAGGCCTAATCATAGTCATAGCTTGATTCTCTCATCTTCTTCATGATAGCATAGGAAGCTAGCTAGCTATATACCCCCCCAAAATACGGATCGGAATCAAGACTGTAGCTACTGGTGCAGTGCATGGGGAGGCTGTCTCTTAAAAAAACAACGAGTGATAATACATTATGCAACTTGTTCTTGGCTTTAGAAGCTGAGCATAAACTCAGTGAGAAAGAATACTCGGAGAGCTGTTTTTGATTTTTTGATCTTTGAGTTCTCTAGAAGAGGGGGGAGGGGGGAGGGGGGGAGGGGGGGAGGGGGGAGGGGAGGGGGCATCATGGGATATCACTCAGCCGTCCGACTGAGGGGATTCAACTCTTCGTTGGACGATGAACCTTTGAATCTGGCGATGGATATATAAAGGCTTGACGTTGGTTAGCTAGCTTCTACACCGTTTTTATTTGATGGGAGTTAATGACCACAGCTGTCTTGGTTACATATGGACACTTTTCCGAGCGGACTGGTGATGTTCCGCTATAACTTGACTTTCCAAAAATGAACCGACTTTGGTAAATGTGGAGGTCTTGTACCAGTGCACTTGTATCACTGTACTGTGTCTGACCATCTGCACCTTGTTGGCTATTTGTTGTATCCACGAGTAGAGATAGAAGAAGGCTCTATTCAACCATACCATGAACCGATTATAATTTATAATGGATAAAGGAGGAAGAAGCCTAGGAAAAACTAAATCCATGATTCACACACAATCCTAGAGTAGAGTACACGACATCACATGTTTAGTCTAGCACTCTGATTAGTCATCTAAGGTCTGGGCTTCGCATGCGCCTCGTTTTTTGAATGGCAGCAGACCTGAAACGACCATCTGATAGAAAGCTAGCGTGAGGGAATGATCTACATGTACTCCTACAATTTAGAGTTCAAAGTAGAGTTTTAATCAGGTACTCGTACAACAGCCTTATGGTAATCTAATCTGACGGCCTCAGGATTTCTAATAAACTTATTATTACCACTTTAGGCAGTTGAGGATGCCAAGTTCAAGGTTTGTGAGACAGGATCTAACCGCCTACAGCCTCAGATCTTCCTTGCCACTTCCTATTCCAGTAGTTATGTGTAAATAAAACACTTTAGGTGTCGTGGTAGACAAAGCTCCACGCTAGCGATACTACGATAATGTCTCTCTAAATGATTGTATGCTCTAATATAATTGACGTAGTTGTTCCTAGCAGATTCAGGTGGCACTTGATAAACACCATGGGACAGTGAAGAAACATCATAGCTCACGTGCGACATCTTGGCGACAACCGTCACTTGTCGACGCCTTAATCCTTACTCACACTCTCATCGCCTGTCAAAATCAGAGCCAACCTGTGGTGGCGTTCCGACAAGGCGAGCATTCTTTTTTTATTTGTATTTTTCATTATTATCTTAATCTCTCCCCTCTCTCTCTCTCTCTCTCTCTCTCTCTCTCTCTTGCTCTCCTCTCTTCTCGTAATCAACCTCGCGCCGCAGAACACGACATACACCGTATCACGACCTACCCTCGCAGCCACATAAACTGATCTGGAAGAAGGGCACAGCACAGCACCCGGACCTCCACCGTGAGGAGGAATGCCGATACTAATTTATACAGCCCATACGGGAGAGTGTCTACAAGCCGAATCCGGATCCTTCGCCTCGTGAGCCTCTCCATCCTTTATCGCCGTCCAAGCTAGCTAGACAGCTAGAGCTACGTACAGATTAGCTACGAGATTTGGAACTGACAGCTCTCTCTGCAGCGTCGAAGAGCTCCGAAAATGGATCGATTCAAAGATCTCTCTTCCCCCGGCTTGCCAGATCTTGATGACGAGTCGGGGCACAAACTTCAAGCCCGCGTCCCTCACCCAGGAGGTCTGTTCTCGTCGGCTCCCACCGATTCCCCACTGACAGCTAGCCCACTAGCTAATACCATGATAGCGCGAACTTTACCTGTTTGATCGTCGACACCTCACACATCCGTTTCCCCCGCCCCCCACATCTCCGATCCCCCGTGTTCAAATACCCACCCCATTCCCGACGAATCTCGATTCCGAGACCGAGCTTTCCTCCTGGCGCTCCCTGTTTAAAAAACGCTTGAGTTGGAGCGAGAGCGTGTTGAGCCATGCCCAGATGCTCGCCCAGCAGATTACGGAGAACGACACGGGGACTGGGGTAATACGCCAGGCCGTCAAGGTCGCATTTAGCAATCTCGAGTACCATTCCGGAACCCTCAACAGTTCGTTAGGGAAGCTACGGGATTGGGCTGAAGGGGTTCTCGTGGACCAGGACCACGTCTTGGCCGAGTGGGAGGGCGGAGTGGGTATCCTTACTCGCCTCCCGGTGCACCCTGAGTTGAGGAGGTATCATCAAACGGGCTTAGAGGAAGAGCAGGAAGCTAAGGTGCTTGCGGACTTTTTCATCATAAGAGATGTTCAGCTTGCCGCCTCAACCCTCTCAAGCTTAAGCCAGAAGTTTGAAAAAGATGTGATTGAACTCAGCGAGACAATCGAGGACATAGTTGGTCAAACGCAGGTACTCAAAGGAGAGATCCAGCGTGAAAAAGAACTCGCAGAACGAGATGGGGTGGCGGAGAATTGTAAAATGTTGATTGGAGAGATAGAGGTACTAGTTAAGAAGGTAAAGACGGATTATGACTACGTGCTCACGCTGCAAGGGCCAAGAGCAATCTCTACAGCGAGTAAGAGGGCTTATGCTAGTACGACCGAGTATCTGCCAGGGTTGGTCAGTGTAGTCGGGGATGTAGGGAGAGTCTTGCAGGAGGCCGTCAAGCTTAAGGTAGACCCAACTAGTCCAAATCCAAATCCGCGTTTTTTATCACCGCACTCCACAGAACCCTAATTAACGTAATGAAGAACGAGGCCTCTGAAAGAAGTACTGCTCATCTGCAAACGATTGCACACATTCAATCTCTCTGTGCACCTGTTAATCCCGCCCTCACCTCTCTTGACAGTACCTTTGCTGAAGACGCTTCCCTCCGTCTCTTAACCCTCATCACGCGCTTTCCCACTATCTATGGCTCTCTTCTTATCGAGTGCGTCCGCCGCCGTGAATGGTCTGCAAAATTCACCAGTGATTCTCAACGCGTTGCAGAGGATCTTGCGAATATCAAAGAGGATGAGGAAAAACGGCGAAGAAAGTGGATGCGGAACACCGGATCTCTCCTACCTTTCAGCCTTGAAGGCGGCGATGGCGTACAAGGGGTTGTTCGTGCAGAGCTGACCACGCGCGGCGATGCGAGCGGAGGCCTACCAAATATCAACCGTGCAGATATCGAAGCATTTCTTACGATGCTCAAGACAATGGAAGGGATGGAGGGAACATGGAAAGAGCTTCAGGGACTCTACATTAAACTAGATGACCCTCAAACCACCGGGGGAAGAAAACACGGTGGAAAACGCCCAAAAGGCTTCAAGTTCGGCTCTATACACGAAGCTACAAGCACAGGTGGAGACTCAGTCTATGTCTCTCGTGGCGACGAAGAACTCAAAACTCTGCGCACGGAGAAGGAGGCCCTGCAACAACGTGTGCAAGGCTATGAAAGCCGTGTGAGAAAGCTGGAGGACCTAATCCATAGGGCCAGGGCAACCACGGGGAACGTTTATACCCCTTCACAGACTCCACAGTCCGCATCGAATACACCACAACTCACGCAACAGGCTTTCCCAAACGATGGGCCCACGAGCCCAGTCAATGTGAGACGAATAAGCTCTGAAAATATTGTAGATCGGAACCGTATAACCACACTTGAAGCAGAGCTTGCCGCAGAGCGCGAACTTACCGCAAGGCTACAGCAGGAGGCCGCGGCTCGTGCAGGGAGTGAGAAAGAGATGAGCGAAAGGATGAGAAGCGCTGATGATACCAAGCGTGATCTTGTCGCAAACTTGGAGGCATTAGATCAACAACACATCGTTGAGCGTAAAGCTTTCCAGCAAGAAATCGAAGAGCTAAAAGGTAAAATTGAGGAAGCATATGAAGACCTTGATCGAGATGAAGAACGCATTAAGAGCCTCGAAGGAGAGTTGGAAATTAATAGCGTGGAAGTGGAGAGGCTCCAAGGCGAGAATGCAAGGCTTATCGAGAGTGTGCGTGCGATGGAGGAATCGATGAAGGGTATGAAGGAAGTATTGGAGAACGCAAAGAAAGATAATTTGGAGCGAGAAAGTCTAGTAGGTAGAGTGAAGGGGGCACACGAGAGGTTTGGAGGGGAGGCTGCGCCAGATGATTTGGGCAAATTAATGGACGGAATTGAAGAACTAATCGCGAAGAGTGTCGACCGGTGTAAAGAACTTTCAAGACAATTGGAGGATGTGAAGGAACATGGTGAGACAATCGAGAAGGAGAAAGAAACGTTGGAGAGGAGACTAGAAAGCAGAAGCATCAAAGCCAAGGATCTTACCCAGAGGTTGTATACACATAACATCCGCTCAATCCAATTGCTGGAGGCGCTCGGATATCGGATTGTTAGGAACGAAGGCAGTACCTCGATCGTGAAGGTTTCTCGAAGCAACAACAGCGATAGCGCCGTGCTAAGTCGCTCATCCCACGACATGTCCGCTTCCATGAAGAAATCCGGAAATCTCCCACCTGCCACAGCCGCCGAAGATGTAACTCTTCTCTATTGGCTACACGATTCAGACTCTTCCGCTGAGGACGAAGCCTTCTCCGCATATCTTACCAACATCTCCTCACTTGACCTAGACGCATTCGCAGATACCGTTACTAGCAGAGTAAAGAAGGTTGAGAACGACTGCCGCCAGCTTATGAAACAATGCCGCGCTTACCGCGAGAAATACTACCGCTCCCGCGATGAAGCCAACGAGAAAATCGCGTTTAAATCCTTCAAATCAGGTGATCTAGCTCTCTTCCTTCCTACACGCAACTCCGCGACTCGCCCATGGGCCGCCTTCAACGTCGGCGCGCCCCACTTTTTCCTTAAAGAGGAAACAGGCCATAATCTTCGCTCACGAGATTGGCTCCTCGCACGTATTACCAAGATTGAAAATCGTGTTGTCGACCTCTCTCGTTCCTCCGCATCGATACAGCTGCCGCCTGATCGTGCTAGTCTGCACTCATCGGACGGCGCAAGCATCGATGACGAGAACCCATTTGAACTATCTGATGGTCTAAGGTGGTATTTACTTGATGCCGTTGAGGAGAAACCGGGTGCGCCTTCCACCCCTGGTCTATCATCGAGTACTGTTGCCGCCGCGAATGTGGATGCGAAGGGATCACTCCGTTCCCGAAAACCAGTTACAGGAGCGAAGAAGACACTGTCGCAGATCACGACAGAGCACTCGCGTCGGAGCTCTTCGGCCAGTGGAAGAGGTAATTTGCATTCGCGTGATGGGCCACCGGCAGATGTAGTGGCTGCTGTGCGGGAGGGATTGGAAGGTGCGGGGGTTACAGTTATAGAAGGAGTAGAGAAGGATGCAAGTTGACGATTATGGGCAGGGATTTGGAGGAGAAAGTAGCTGTGCTTTTTGGCGTTCTAGGTCTTGTGATTCTTGATTCGGATTCGACTGGCTTTTGATGGGAAATTGGACTGCTAAGGCGAGGTGGCTGAATTGGGAGACTGTTTTTTTTCCTTTTTTTTTTTTTTTAATTCATTTCCTTTTGTTTTGCCTTTTGTAACTGGTAATTCCTAACCCTTTCAAGATAAAACGTCTTTGACAGACTCTTGCAATACGGAATGGGTATGGGTGTCTGTACAGCTTGACTGTTGTAGTTATATATTTCCTGTCGTCTTATTCGGGCTTGGCCCTATTTTGTTTATATAGGTCATTTCAATTGATCAGTCAAATATCACATGGGGCCGTCACTTCAATATGAATACGATATTTTATCAGTGCAAATCTTATATTCACGCTTAGCTAGGGCAAGAACCCCGAAAATAACGTTATGCAGCTATTGTGAACAATGAGACTGCCGAACACCTTCATAGTATATATATACCTGTTTAACACTCTCGTAATCGCCTCTACAAGTGCAGTGATGTTAATTTATTAACATGACACTCATTTTCAAGTTCAAGTGAAACGGCTCCTCTTCTTCTTTTCATTAAGCTCATCGTCTGTCTCATCCTTCTCAAAGTCACTAACGGTGTTGTCTTTTTTTAAACTAGTAGTTCCAAAGATTGAATTTTTTGCCAACGGACTACAGTCCCGGGTTGGTTTTCTCCCCCTCATGAAATGCAAGTCTAACGGTACTTGCATTTCTCCGGCCATGAGTCTTCCCCTCTGACTACTTAGCGGCGAATTTTCCACACCCTTATGCATAGGAGAACGTCCCATCTTCTCAATATTCGGATTTGATGAATGCCCTCCGCCAGGCCTCGACAAAAGAATCGGGATTTTTGACGCAACGTACCCGAGTTCAATTGTTCGTGAACTGGGATCTTCCATTTTTTCAGGACTACAAGAAGAGCTTGCCCCTCTGTTTTCACCTTGAATCTTCGAGATCCAAATTTCCTTTGCGGGCACACTTTCCCTTTGCCCTGGAATAGTTAGAGACGCAACCTTTCTAGGTGATTTGGACTTTTCAGCCTCGATAACTCTCGAGGTGTGTTGAGGGTCTTGGCAGCGTGCAGCCTGGCCAACTATCTCCCAATCGTCAAACATGACATCCTCGGGCGCCATCATCATTTTCTCGGCTGGGGCTTCGGCTTTAACATCTTTCTTCACGAGTCGAGGAATCCTCGAGATTCTCCGAGTAACGCTCCCAAGTGCTGGATTCTCGGATCTAGATGCCCCGGGGATACCTGTGCTCTCAAGAAGAGAAAGAACACGACGTGATGCACTAGTAATAGATATGTTTCCTTCAATATCTTCTTGGCAGAGATCTCTTGTATTTTGGTCAAAGTTTGGAGATACGCCTGGCCACGGTGCCATTCCTGCCTCGTATCTCTGCATTCCCTCAAGAACATAGGCAATTATTACATGGAAATCACGAAGAACATCACCAATTGTCGACCGCGTATTCCACTGCCTCAGGATTTCGCTCAAAGGAGACTGTGAGCCATCCATTTGTGTGTTAAAACCTTCCAACTCCTCGTTATTGGGCGATTCTCTCTCTTCTTCTACTTCGGCATCCCCTAACCGGCTTGTTGTTCTTGCTTGTTCAACTGAGGAAGGTGAGATATATGCGTCAAAATGAGGCCATCCTGGGCTTAATCCATTCAACGAATTTCTATCATTCGGGCATATTTGTACCCGACTTCCTTCACCTTCCTCGCCAATTTCGATCTCATACCTATTCCAGTATTCCGGCTCGTGTAAAATCATATCTGGTGTAAGGGCTTGGAGATCTCCAAGACAGAAATCAGTCGTGGAACCGTTTGCAGGCTCCTCGGGCGAAACGACTATTGAAGTTTCCCCTAAAGCATTCAGAGTATCAGATACATAGCGAGATGTCCTTCTTGTTCTTCTCAACACAGTTCCCCCTCCCGATGAAGAGAGTGTCGTCCAGCTTGGATGCCGTCTTCTCTGAGAGGACAACGGTGATGCCTGTATTGGGTCTGATGTATACGTGACTCTAGGTTGCTCCTCGCTCTGACTACGAATAGTGAACGAAACCCTTCTTGAAATTGATGGGTAATGTGGGTGCCCATCAAGGTAAGCATCTGCACTGCTATCTTCACGATCTCCCTGCCAGTTATATCTCAATCGCCAACCCTCGTAGCAAAATAATTCACTCCATCGATACTCACGGAACCTGTACTGCCTTCTGCAACATGGACAACTAGGACTTCCGTGAGAATCAAAGAGTTAGCTAAGCTCGAAAACTTCATGCCACAGGAATACTTATCTCGTGGAACCAAACAGCAAGGCAAGCACTATGAAATGTGTGTCCGCATGGTAATCTAGCGACTTCCCACTCAGCACCACTTGAATCCAAGATAGCTATCTCTGCTGGAGTAAATCCTCTCCAAATCCATTCTTCTTGGCATATTGGACACACCCTTGATTCGAAACATGATGCAAGCCCGGCCTGAGATTCGATCACATCGCCCGGTTGGAAATGCCCTTCAGAATGTCTAATAACAACAGCAGAATTTCCATTTGGTTCCACTCTGAAAGTCATCAACCCTAAAGATAGAGGCGAATCTGTATTCTCCGGGACTTGAGATATTTGTAATCCTAGGCTAGCCAGATGCAGCACCCCAGGTGCAGGAACCTCATTGCGTGATACACTCGCAGCTCGGATCGGGCTATTGAGTGGTATCTGGGTATAATTACCAAGATAATTTTGATGATTGTCGTCCCGGAGATCCTCTTGGTTTTGTCTACTTGGGTAAATATTGTAGTGTTCGAGCGGAAGTGTGTCTAGAGGCTGTCGATATGTCATCATTAATGAATTCGGTGAATAAGTACTAGAATGCCTAGTAGTAACACGTCTTTCTGATAAACGATACGGTTCTCTTTGAGTGAATCCTCGTAGATTTTGGATTGCAGTATGACGGGGCAGGGGCCCGGGTTGACTTAAGTGTTCAGGGGGTCTCGGTGTGAAAGTCTGTTGGATTGCCTGTGCAGCAGCAGCTGGGGAGGGCTGTTGGTTTTGGGATTGCTCTGTCTGGTCCCTGCTATTAAGGCTTGATCCACATTCCGCACCGGTCACCATGGTGGGATAACGTAAATGTGATAGGTGCATCTCCACGCTATTCGAACCCTCTGAGCTTTGTGTAGGAATTGTGGGGGGCAAGGATCGAGGCTCAAGAGTGATCGGGCAAGCTGTTTTGCAGTTAAAAAGTGATAGGCGAGACTACGTGTATATGTGTGTTCAATACGAAAGGAGAGTAAACCTATACCTAGAGTCACGTAGTTTCGGTAAATTACAAGTATGTAGTAACTTCAAGTTGTTGACACTGAGAGGCTACGTAAATATCTATAGGATTTTGTGTAGGTAACCGCCAGTACTTGTAGGTGTAAATAAGCCAATACAACGATTTTTAGTAGGATAGAGCTACATATAGCTTCTCGCTACATATTAGATCTGGTTTCATAATGATACGGGTTCCACCCAATATTGTCTTCCTAAACTTAGAACGAGATTCCATCACGTGACCTAACGCGTCCTGAGCACAGATCCTCACTCGACCGAGATGTTCGTAGATTTTGCTATATGATTGGCTTAGGATAGATACTACGTACATGTACTTCCCATAAACTTGAATTAGACATGTTGGCCACGTGTTAAATTGACCAGCATCGTAACACCGGCACTAACGCCACCTTACTCTCCAAAATGCTCGCCGGTCTAAAAGCTTAGTACTCACAATGTCTTAAATCCAACGCCAACATCAAGAGCGTTTTGTACTAGCCCATTAACCAACAACAATGAGAACGATGATGTGAGGATAGATTTACATTCACCAAGCTCTAACGTTTCAAAGAACATCACTAAAATAATCGCAATAAATTATAACTAACAGGGATTATGGTTCACGTCTAGTCTCACGTCTCTTAAGCTTGCCTAGCCTTTTGTAGTCGGCTGTTAATATTATATGCAGATTACACCGCGTTTTTGTGTAAAAGAAAACTATCTTACGTTCTATGCGAAAAGCAACATCATAATATTATGAACTCATCTCTAACCCAAAGCTGATCTGCACAGATTTCTTTATCTCGAGAAGGAAGCCATTCATAGTACCATCATAAGGTAAATGCAGGCAGGTAAAAGTTCTAGTTTAATACTACACTCTCAAGTGGGCAGATTAATTGCTATAACTGTAGGGTTGCATGCAATTAATGAATTAAACAAAACAAAAAAAAAATCAAGTGGGCAGATTATATTGATAACCTCTTAACCCCCAAACCAACCAACTAACGACTAGGGCTTGGCTCACAGTATCTCACTCGCTCCCCTTCGGGATGAGTTTCTTCTTTGTGGATGTAGGACATATACGAGATTTGATTACTTTATCGACTACTTGCTATACAATAGATGGGCCTTTATATATAATATAACCCTTAACCAATCTTGGCATACCGGAATATCCATCCGGTGGCTCCCAACATCGATCCACTGCACAAATTATAGTGACTAATATATAGAGGACCAAATATATCCTCCAATGTTCGGAAGCCAGAAATCAACGGAGTTCAGGTCTTCATTATATCTTAAACGTACGATCTCGTAGAAAACACCAGCAGCACTCAACCCAACCGTAGATGGGATATCGATCATCAGCTCACCACCGCATGCTATTTATGAAATATCATTTCTCGCAATTTATTTGTTTTTAACTCTCACAAGTCAATTGATGAAGGGAATCAATCACAAGCTCCGCTGATATACTAGTGAGTTTATCAAACTTGATAGGTCTCAAAATCATACAGAGTTGAAACGCCGCCTCTTGGCAATAGAGGGAAAGGAACCACGTTCACGAAAACTCTATCATGCGACCTGATAGAGGCTAAATTAAAAAATTCCGCGTCTAAATTCACTCCCATATACATAATCTCTATACTAACAAAGAAACCTCACAAACCCTAAGGGGACCGTGAGGTAAAACATTTCCCTTTAGAGTCATAAGTTATCACTCGGTTAAACAATATGCGGCCCCCAGACCCATTGTGCGATTGTTTATCAATTGTATGCGGTGATTGTTGTTATTTTCGCCTATTTCTCAATCAATCTAACTAGGCTGTTGGTAGATATCAGAGTTATAGAAATATGGAATCAGGACGCGACATTCTTGAATGAGTACACTTAATTACGACCTACTAGCTCGCGAGGCCGAGCTCTAACTAAATCACGATATGACCTGTGAGAAGAGCAAAAAAGCCAACAATCGACGTGTCACGTGAGTTAATTGGGACTCAGCCTCGCGAGTGGTATCTACGCGTATATATACGGATATATATGTGGCATGCGCAATTAATATATATAGTTACAAGCTCCATATACGTATAATACATACGTTTATAAGCCTAAGCTTAAGGTCTAATATATAGTAATTACGTATACATGTAATATATATATAAGAATAAGCTAAAGGACGTTACCCGGAGTGTTATAGGAGGTGTAGCCTCGTGAAGTCGGCTTCCCTCCTCGTCCCCGAGACATCGACAGCCACACGTGTACTCCCCAGGTACGTACTGCAGCCAAGTGTTCCTATATAACATCAAGCACAACCTATTCCAACAATACTCACAAAGATATATACTACATTTATTATCACTAGGCCTATGGGAATACCTTCAAAATCGCTAGTACTCTCTGTTTCCCGGAAGTATGTGATCACGTAGCCACCCATGGATGCAAAGTCGATGTCTCGAAACCGAAATCACTGTGCTGAATAAGGTGCGTTACAACCCAGGAACTCACATGCTTGTTTAATTTGGGTGTAGTCCTCTAACACCTGATCTGACACAAGATGATCGGAAACTCTAGGATATTGCCATAATAAAGTTTGTGACGTAGGTCCCGTCGTTGATACATAAATCCAGCGATGATATATCCAAATTACAAAAACGATGAGCTCCATCGAAAGTAATCATGACGCTTGACTTAAGAGTTCCTATAACACGAACAGATCGACTGAAAAATAGAGTGGTAAGTACGTGGTTTCATTTATCTCTATGGTTCTGTCACTAACCTTCAAGATTTTGACAGCTGTCACACCAGTTCGCTAATGAATCATCGTGAGTGGATGAGCCCCTGTCTCCAGTTGCATGGAGTGGACAGAGCACCCTGCCACATAATACACACACTTTACTCTATGTTAATCAGATGCATGATATTCACGATCTGCAAGTGAATAGGACATGGAGAGACATTAACACGGCGGTGAGCTTCTTATATATATGTGTGTCTATCGAAGTACAGCACCAAACATACCCCGATCCATTCTGACGGACTTCATACTGGTCTGGTTCCCGTTCGCCCTCATGATTATAGATGAACGGCCATATCTCTAGTACATTAAGCCTTCATCATCGAGCATCAAACATAACACCACGTACCATGCAATAGGAAATAGAAAGGAGCTTGAAATTCCAAATTCTATAAACAGGGATACATTTGTTGGAACTTGGAACTTTGAGATAAACTCCACTGTAGGAAAAGTACAGCACTATACCATTGGAGAGGATTTATTTCCATGTTCTGATTTAAGCGGCTGCTTGCAGTTAATTAACATCGAATATAAAACAGGGCAATGAGGGTATGTCGCAACTCCCCACATTTTCTGATTGGTTTAGATGGAGTTGAGTAAATAGCTGTCTGGCTATAGCTAACTGACTTTTCAGCATGGCAGGGATAACCAAGCCGACAAGAAGCT